GAAAAAGAGTTGTGAACCCCGGGTGAGAAGGATGGGCCGACCCATGCTAAATCCCTCTCCTTCTTCGATAACCGAATAGTCACGGCGCCGCAAAGACGGGGAGGGAGGGGAGGGGATGAAAGAAGAGGCAAGGAAGGGGAGAGAGAAGGAAGGGGGGGAGGGGGGGAGAAGGCTGGCAAATCCCTCAACGCTCGCCGCTCTGTTGAGCATATTGCCGATCTGGACGGAATGGGACAGCAAATGTCAAAGGTGCAACGGCAAATTCGAAGACGCGATAGTATGTATTATCGTGCAGACGGTAGCAGGATCTGCCGTTGCGACCGTCGTAAGCTCATCCGCGCTCTCCCTATATGTACATACGACGACAAAGGGGGCAGTGTTAGTTGTGTTCCGCCTGGTGCAACCCACACCGTTGTCTCTCACTGGCCAGAGAGTCGAGAAACTCGCCCGTCCGCCGTCACTCCTCCACACCGTCACGCTGCTCTAAGCCAGCCTGCCTCGCCGACGTAGACGCTGACATGGTACGAGAAGGCCTGGTCGGCGAGGGTGCGTAACCAGTTAGACGCCCGTGTAACCAGAGAGGGTTGCGGCGGGCCTCGCGCCCTAAGAGGGGCCCTCCGACAGTTGTGCGGTGAAGAGCCGAGCAAGCGCAGGGTTATACAAACCCTGTCTAGTTTCGTAGCTCTTCCGTTGCACGGCAAGTTGAGAAGCGGGACGCGAGACGAATGGGGAAGTGGGGAGCAGGATGAGGAGGAGGGTGGTAAAGGGGGGGGGGGAGGGGGGGCAAAAGGGGATTGGCGAGGTGGATGAAGACGGACATGCATGACTCATCTACGCATTGCGCGCTGCTTACGTCGGACTGGAGATGCATGTCATCCTCGAGCCTTACGTGGGACAGACAGACAGACAGACAGAAACCTGCGGGCAGTGAGGGACGTAAGGGATGCGAGGGTAGCATAGAGACAAGAGAGAGAGAGAGAGACAAGAAACAGACAGAGACAGGAGACAGACAGAGACAGACAGAAACACACACCACACACACACACACGGAATTTGCACTACTGGGGGGCTCGCGGGGGAGAGGGCTGCGCCGCGGATATTATTGCATTACCGGGATCGCGGATAGGGAGCATGAAACAGAGCCGTGCGGTTCTCGTCGTGCAAGAAAAGGGGTTGATGATCTTAAAAGGGTTTGTCAGCTGTGGCTGCCGTAGGCGCGCGAAGGCAGAAGAATCACGCCTTATTTTCTAGGCGGCAACGGGTCGCTCATCCCATCCTTCTCCCTCCCCAACCGGACGGGACCCGACCTGACTTCCATCTACCTACCTCTATACTACATCGTCCCGTCGGGCTCTCGCTTACCTGCTTGCCCATCTCAACATCTCAACATCTCCATGTCCATCCCCTTATTCTACCGCATCTGGCCTCGAGCCACCACTGGCCCTCTCGATACCTCCCTTCCGTCGCACGCACGCACGCACGCACGCCTACCCCTCCACTACATTCGGCTGACGTAAAACGCAACGCAGAGCCTGGCCGCCGAACGACACCCATCGAGCGCCCTCTCATGTCTGCCTTGCGGTTCGGCACAGTTCCCCGGGCTGAGGGTGATAACTAGCGAACCGCGAAACCGCGATACCGCTACCGCTACCACTAGGCGAGGCCTACGGCGGCAGAGTGGAGGTAAGTGAGGTTACGGTAGAAACAGTAGTGGGGAGAAGAGAGAGAAAGAGAGTAATATCCGACGCGTTCTATACTCCCTGTTTCTTGTTTCCTGCTTCTAACACACACACACACACACGCACGCACGCACGCACGCACGCATATATATTGCCCAGGTCGGCGCTGGAGGGTGCCAGGGCCGCTTATGTTCCCGGCTGGACGCTCTCATGCACCCGTGTAGAGTACCCCTCCCCCCCCGTCCCAACCAACAGGTTTGCCGAACCGTTCGCGTGAGCGAAGAGGTAGCGAAATAAGTTCGGTTGCGATTTTCAGCGTTCCAGCTGAGGAAGAACGGTTTGTCAGGCCACATCAACGCCTCCTCCCCCCACCCGAACGTACGTCGCGTACGAGGTTCCGTGGGGGAGCTTAGCGAAGAAATTGTGGCTCTCCTGAGGTCGTATCGTGGGTCGTTCGTCGACGTCGTCGATGCCACACACGGGGCACTACCGGCGTGGGATGCCGCATCTCTCCTTATAGCCATGCAGGCGGGAGGCCGCCTGGTCCTGTCCCCCTCCCTGCTGGCGGCATGCCTGCTCGCCTACCTGCCTCCCTGCCTCCCTGCCTGCTTGCGCACATATGTCGTGTCATGTTACCTAGGGTAGGGGTATTTCTGCCATCTGGTTGTCGAGTATACATCGCTACTTACCCGGGATGCACGGCATATCAGATCTGTGGACGTAGGGGACAGCCGGACGGGGAGCCCATTCGGCGAGCAAGTGTCGTCGGGCTCTACCCAGCTAGGGAGGTTTCCACATCTCCAGATCCTCGGGGGGGCGGCCTCCATTCCCTGCTCTCCCCACCTGCAGCGCGATGCTGGGGAGCAGATTGGGTTCTGGGACGCGCTGAAGCGGGGAGCAGACCCGACCAGCAGGCTAGGCCTTTCCTTAAGACCCGCGAGCTGAGAATTGATCGCCGGCGATAACTGTCCGCGGCGCTATTATTGAGGTGGTACGTTAGTTTTGCCTCCTTTCTCGGGACGCGGTGTGAGGGAGTGCTCTCTGGCTCCACAACTGGCCATGTCGGACCATTCTGCGGTTGGTACGCAGAGTGATATTCGCAGGTGGATGGATACATTCACCGTATGTGAACGGGCTACGAAGCGAAGCCGCTGGCAACCTAACCCCAGCATAGGGGGCTCGCTAGTAATGACTTGTAGCCGCAATTACGAGCTCTCCCTCTCGAAAAAAGGGGTAGGTAGTAGGCAGCCACACGCTCAGTTATCGCGCTCTCCCAGCCCCCCCTCCCCTCCCTCTTGCGCGAACATGCCGATCCCAGTCTTGGGTTAACTACGGGCGTTCTTTCGTGCTAAGAGTGACGTTCTCGTCCCCCGCGCACGTGCGACGATGCGGACAATCCCGCTTTTTTCCAGCCGCGCGTCCCCGACGCCAGTCTCTCGCCCGTGGATCCTAGGGCTTGGGATGCAAGCGAGATGCTGCGCTAGGATCTACCTGGCGCTCCGCCCAGCGCGCGCCACGCGCGGCCCAGACGCCTCCCGGGTCCAACCTGAACGCCCCCGGAGGGGGGTCCGGCTAGAGACCTGAGTTTCGCGGCATCCCCGGCGCCCGGCTTCTCTGGCGGCTGGGCGGCCTGATAGTGGGTGCTGCGCTGTCCCCATCCCGCCAGGCAGGATGTGCGGCGGGACGGCGGCCCCCCGAGAGATAGAGGCTGCGTCTGGGCCGGGCGGTATACGTACGGGGCGGGATCGCGGCGTGTCGGTCTGTGTATCTATCCACCTACCTACCTACCTACCTACCTACCTACCTACCTACCTATCTCCTCGCCGGCACGTCGTCCCTCGGCTCGCGGGGCGCGCCTGGCCGGGGCAGCAGGTGCTCTGGGATAATACTAAGTAGTTAGTTAGGATCGGGACGCAGTCGCGCTGAGTCCCTTAGTCCAACGAGCTTAGCTGTTACAGCCCACGCCGGCTCCTGAGTACTGCGATGAGGGGTATTGGTAGGTATTACGTGCTGCGTATGCGTGACGTGCGAGGCGGGCGGGGGCGGGTGGAGGATGCTCAGGCCTCCGGGCGGGGATTTCCAGGCCTCCGGGCGAGCGATGCGAAGTATCGCGAGCCGTTAGAGCGGAGGCGCTTACTTACCTCTGCGATATCGCCGAGACGGGGGTGGAGGGGGGGGCTCTTGTTCTGTCTGTCTTCTCGACAGACAGACGGACAGACGTCTGGAAGCGCGACGGGAGTCGGGGACCCGCGCGCAGCCCTATCTCCGAGTCCGCCTTTGCCCATCTTGCATTTTTCCCCTGACGTCTGCGTCCCCCCAACCCCGCGCCGTTCTAGCGCCGGCTCAGCAAAGAGAGAGAGAGAGAGAGAGAGAGAGAGAGCGTTTTTGCCTGGCCTCCTGTTGTCCAAGCTGGGGGAGGGTACGGGGGGGGGGGGTTCCTGGCGGATCGTCGAGGCAACCAGGACGAAGAAGCGCTGCCACCCAATGAACCGTCGTCCGTGGCAACATTCACACGCAGTAGCTTCTAACGCCGAGGGGGGACGTGCTAGATAACGCTGCGCTCGCAAACATGCACAATTTTCTACTGTACGGACCGATCGATCAAGCCGAGCGCTTCCAGGCTTAAGCAGATTCTTCTTCTGCCGTTCTAGATACTACTCGCTGCCTCTCTTGATCCGGCTCCGAGGCAGAGAGAGAGAGAGAGAGGTTGTCCGAACGAACACTACACAAACCCCCCTTTATCAAGCCGCACAGCGCCCAAGTTCTCTATCCGCCGAGTCCGCCGTGACAAAGCATTCACCTGCTGCAACCCCCGCGCCGCGGCAGGAGACAGACTACGAGTCTGCCGATTCCTCGCGAACAGAGGCGTCGAGACTGAACAATGCCGTTGATTCGACCGGCGGCACACTCACTCTTTCATCTAGCCCTTCCCGCGCCCCAGCCCCAGCTCTCGCGGGCCCCCCGGGCTCAAGCTCGACTCTGACCTCTCCGACTGCTTCTTGGCGATTATTACCACGCCATCCTTCCGAACCCTTCCTCCCACGACCGAGCTGCGTCGGCCCCGCGCCGCATCATGGGCAACTGCGTCTCCAAGCGAGCCGGCGACGGCCGCGGGGACGCGGGGGGCGGGTTCGCACCGCGTCGCGAGGAAGGTGTTTCCCTCGGCGGCTGTTCGTGCCGCGTGGCCTGCAGCATCCGATGCTGCGGGCGCGTAGCGACGGTCGACCGTGCCGCGTCGCCCATCTGGCCGGCGTCCCCCGGGCACCAAGCCGCCCGCGTTGCGCCCCTGCCGCCACCGGCGCCCCCCGTCACCCCCTTTCCGTCCGTACCCCCCGCCACCCCGCCGTACCGTGCCAGGGGAGTCGCCTCTCGTGCGTGCCAGGCGATGCTCTCCTCCGAACACCTCCTCCTCCCTGCCGACGACGCCGGAGACGCCGGACCTGCTGCTGATAGGGAGTGGCCCTCCCTCAGCGATCGCGCGTCGTATTATACCCACGAGCTGAACCCCCACCCTCTCACCGGCAACTATGCCCGCCTTCTCGACGAGAAGCTGTCTCCTGCGAGCAGCGCTGGACCATCCGATGGGGACGTCTGGCCCGCTGCTCGGGAGGCCGAGCGTGCTGCCGACTACCTCAGCAAGACTGGCCCCGACGACGAGCCCCCGAGCCCGATCGAAGACTTCGACCCCTCGGCCGACCGCGTTTCCCCCTTGAGCGACGTCTCGGGCTGCCGGGCCGTGGTCAAGGTCCTCGGGCGCGGGCGCGTCGTGCCGCCGGGGTCGGCGAAGCTGCTGCTCGCCTCGCAGCCGGCCCGCGCCGGCATCGTCAAGTCGGCGACCGTGGGCAACATCCACAAGCTGCTGCCGGCGCCGCCCCACGGCGACCCCGTGGCCGCGTACGTCGAGCGCGACAACCTGATCGTGCGCAACGCGCTGGCGAGACTGCAGGCGCTCAGCGCCGAGCACCCCCCGCCCCTCCCGATGTCTCAGTCGACCCCGGCCCTCCACGCGGCCCCCACGCTCCGTATTGAGACAGGGGAGCGCCGCGGAGCCGGCGAGGACGGCGCGGAGCCCGCTACCGAGCCAGTCGGCCTTCCCGAGACGGCCCCTCGCGACGTGCCGGGAGGCCCGTCCGGACACAAGGTGCGTGACCCACGAACCGTAGCGTTTCCGGCAACCCCCGCCGCTCCGGGCGTCGGACGGCGGGGGGCGCTCGGCATCGTTGAGGGGCAGCGCGTCGGCTAACGGCGACCCACAGACTCCCGAGACTCCGCGCGACGAGGCGTCGTGCGGCCAAGACGCGGCGGTCCGGCGCTGCGCGTCGGCGCAGGACCTGCGGCGATCTCGGGCGGTGGCGGCGGCGGCGGCGGCGCCCCAGCGCAGCGCGTCGGCCTGGCGGGGCGGCGGGCGCCGGATCCCGCGGAAGCCGGTGCCGGGACGCCCGGCGCCGCGCCGCGCCTCCTCGCTGCGCAACCACCACTTCTGGGCGGACGCGGCCAACCACGCCGGCCGGCGGCACACGGACGCGGGGCGGGCGATCGCGCGCCAGGTGGCGGCGCACGCGCGGGGCGCGGCCGAGGCGGAGCTGGCGACGTGCGTGATCCTGCACGGGCCGGCGGCGGCGGCGGCGCGATGCGCGGCGGGCGACGACGCGTACGTCGCGGCGCGGGTGGCGGAGATCCGCGCGGCTTTCGTGCGCCTCGAGAACCGCGCCTGGTTCCTCCTGCTGTGGGACATCGTGCGCGCCAGCGAGCCGGGCCTGGCGCGCCAGGCCAAGGCCGTGGCCCTGCTGCGCAAGTGGGCGGCCAAGGGCGAGGCGCGGCGCGGCGCGGTCCGCCGCGCGAAGGGCGAGGGCCGGATCCTCGACGGCCCCGCCGGTCTCCCCGAGAACTACTGCGACGGCGCGGCCGCGCGTCCCGACCCAAGGGCGGGGACGTCCTGGTTCGCCGACACGTCGGAAGAAGAAGAAGACGAGTAGAGGGGGGTTTTCTCTAGCACTAGTCACGCTCCGAGGGAATAGTCATCTCATGATGAATAAAATAGTAATAATTTGCCCGCACGTGTTTATATATGAGTCGGTTACGAGACCGAGGAGTGATATGTTACGTTTCTAGTATCGCCAGATGGCGTCGGCCATCTTCACCACCTGCCCCATCTCGACGACGTCGTGGACGCGGACGATGTCGGCGCCGCCCTGGACGGCGGCGGCGACGGTGGCGGCGGTGCCGAAGACGCGGTCCATGGGCTTGGGCACGCCGGTGACCTTGCCGATGAAGCTCTTGCGGCTGGAGCCGACGAGCCAGGGCAGGCCGCGCAGGCCGGGCCAGGCCCGCAGCTCGTCGAAGTGGCGCAGCACCTGCAGGTTCTGCTCGCCGAGCTTGGCGAAGCCGAGCCCGGGATCGAGGACGATGCGCCAGCGGCGGACGCCGGCGGCCTCGGCGGCGGCGACGCGGGCGAGCAGCTCGCGCGCGATCGTCGGGACGAGCCCGTCCGGGTACTCGTTCAGCCTGCTCATCGTGCCCGGGGTGCCCCGCATGTGCATCAGGCAGACCGTCTTGCCTAGGCGGGCCATCGTCGGCAGCATGGCCGGGTCCATGAGCCCCGCTGACACGTCGTTGATCATGTCAGCGCCGGCGCGGACGGCGGCTTCGGCGACCGACGCGCGGTACGTGTCGATGCTGATGGCGACGTGGCGCGCTTCGGGAATGCTCCGGACGGTCTCGATGACGGGCAGCACGCGACTTATCTCTTCCTCGGGGGTGATCTCGATCTTGCCCGGGGCCGTCGACTGGCCGCCGATATCCAGCATCGTGGCCCCGCCTCGAATAAATGCTGCGATAGTGTCTCTTAGCGAGTCGGGCGTATGGATGCCCCCATCGGAAAAGGAGTCGGGCGTTATGTTCAGAATAGCCATGACATGTGTTTTACGGGTGGCCTTGAGGCCGTTCAAGGGGCCCACCGATCTCGAGATCGGGGTTAGAGTTGAAAGTGGCTCGTCGGTGAGGGGCAGTTCGTTGAGATAATCCTGGATGAGCTTCCCGGGCTTCTGCCAGCTTAGGAGCTTGTGTGGTACGAGTTCGGCGAGAGGACGCAGGACGAACTCGCGCTCTGGAATACCGATGTGAGGGATTATGAGCCTCTCGTCGTCGATCTCGAGGTCCCCATAAAGCAGGATGTCCAAGTCGATGTTGCGGGGGCCTTTGTCTACGAGCTTTTTCCTTCCCATAGATTTCTCTATACTCTGCAATTCGTCTAACAACTCCCGCGGCTCTAGGCCCGTTTCCACCTAGCAGAGGGCTCAGCTGAGAAGTCTGAAAGGGGGGTTCCGAGACGCACCTCGCAGGCTCCATTCACGAAGCTATTCTGATCTAGTACGTACATGGGCTTGGTTTCCCAGAGGCTGCTGGTCCTCTTCACCTTGATCCCCCTCGCGTCCATCTCTCGACACGCTTGCTCGATCATGGATATGCGATCGCCGACATTGCTGCCGAGAGCGATGTAGGCAAGCACCCCACTACGGCGACGTTTCCTGCCGCTCCCGCCGCACCCAGACGATCCGGCATCCCGGGATGAGCTACCCGAGAAGTGACGGTCCATCGCTCGACCACCTTGGCTAAGAAGGGAGTAATGCCGGCAGGGGGAACCGGAAGAAGAGGCCGGGACACGGAGGGGATTACTCAAGCGAAGGGTGGAATTACACGATGGAAGAGCCGGTGCACGTCGGAGTGGAAGAAGAAGACTCCATGCTCGATAGGCCGACGGAGAAAGGCTCATCAAGGCCCGATGAAGAGCAGACAAGCTTCTGGGCGAGTCGCTTGCTGCTGTATCAGGCGTATAGCACCCGACTCGAAGTGACGTGAAAATTTCGAGAAGCGATCCACCGAGCGCTGCCCCTGGGCCATTGACATGTACATGCCAGAGGTACCTACCTAAGGGGCCGCCTCCTTCCATGTGAGTGATGTGTTTACGTCAGGTTCCTATACCTACCTTGGGTAGGTAGGCACGATTGAGGGATGTACATAGGTAGGTACGCGCGGCGTGGCAATTGGTGCAGTCAGCTTAAGTGTGGCAGGTGCTGTTCGCTGGCTGAGTCAGACTCGGCTCGGCGATAGGTGTAGGTACCTAGGTTTAGGCACCCATGTATCTGCCGATGCCGGCACCGCAAATCTTCGCGCGGCACTTGGTGCTGCTACTTCTCGAGCCGTGTGCTATCGGGTATTAGGTACACACGGACGGGACATGGCGCATCCATTCGCTGAACACGCCAACCTGTGTATTATTGTATAATAGGCGGCTCGGCCTATCGACTCTAGAGGTACCTTGGGATGTTACGGACAGATGTACCATCGGTGGACACCTGAGACAGGTACCTAGGTACGCGGTGCTCTGCAGTGAGACCAGTGGGCGTACGGCGTAGTAGGGCGGACCGTCCGGAAACACGGGCGTCGGTGTCGATAGGTTTGTATATTGAACGTGGACGGTACCTACCTAGGTACCTAATATAGGCGTCGTGCAATGAGTCGAGTAATCGAATAATCCATTGCAGCCGTGTACCCATACGTACTTACCTAATCTACTAGATGTACCTGGATACCTCTATCCTAGGTAACCTGCGTACGCCACATACGCAGCCTTACTAGGAGGCACCCAATATCGGCGCCTCCTCCTGACGTACACGTACATATCCAGAAGCCTTCTGCCTCCTCTTACGATGCGCCCGGGCTTCGATAGTAAGTCCGCAGCGTCGGCGGCAGAGCGGGAGAACCCCAAGCTTGTGAACCTCGGCTGATCCATGGCCCGCAACCGCCAGGAATTCATTCACTCGGCCTGACCCCACCGCCACGGAGCCTAATCCAGGAACGGTCTAGCCCGTGATCCCTGCCCCCAAAGATGCCTCGGTTCCCCAGCTTTTGGGGTCTCCCATTGCAGGCCAACCTCCCGATCCCCAGTTTCCACCAAGGCCCATAGGTGTTCCCTCCGTACTTTTCCAATACCAGCAACCAGAATATCCCCTTGCCGCCTCCTTTGCCGGCATTCGACTAATCTTCTCGCCGGTCCTGTCTCCTTGAAATAGACCTTGTCGCCTCCTTATACCCTATAAAAATACGCTCTATCTCTCTTCTCCCATTTTTGTATTGCCCCCTGGGGAGTTGCCATTGTAGTAAAGACCTTCCTCGAGACCGCCCTCGCACCCATTACCAGCGCCAACAATCATCGCCGACAAAAAAACATTCATCGTCAGACCGTCAAGATGGCCTCTCCTCGTAGGTTATTAGCCCCGAGTCTAGCCGGCTCCGGTCGTTGGCGAAAGTGTGCTCGCTGACCAGAGTCGACGCGTAGAGAAGATCCGAACCCCCATCACCGATCTTTTCAAGATCAACCATCCTATCCTCCTAGCCGGCATGAACGTGGCGGCTGGCCCCAAGTTGGCCGCCGCTGTCACAAACGCCGGTGGTCTCGGTGTTGTCGGAGGCATGTCCTACAGCCCGGCAATGTTAAAGGAGCAGATTGACGAGCTCAAATCGTATCTGCACGACAAGAACGCGCCGTTCGGCATCGACTTGCTGCTTCCCCAGGTCGGTGGCAGCGCCCGGAAGACCAAGTACGCCCGCGTCCCTGATCCCGTAGGACTACGCGCAGTGGACCATATGCTAACGTTTCTCGCCGGAATTTAGCTACGACTACACCAAAGGCAAGCTGGATCAGCTGGTCGACATCATCATCGAATCGGGCGCCAAGCTCTTTGTCTCCGCCGTCGGCGTACCCCCGAAGTCTGTCGTCGACAAATTACACAAGCATGGCGTCTATTACATGAACATGGTGGGACACCCTAAGCACGTCCAGAAGGCGCTCGACATAGGCTGCGACATCATCTGTGCCCAGGGCGGCGAGGGAGGTGGCCACACTGGAGACGTCCCGACCACCGTCTTGATCCCCGCGTGCGTGCAGATCTGCAAGGGGAAGAAGAGCCCGCTATCGGGCAAGCAGGTGCAGGTCATCGCCGCCGGCGGTATCCACAACGGCCAGATGCTAGCTGCGTCGCTGATGATGGGCGCCAGCGCCGTGTGGGTTGGCACTCGATTCATCCTGGTCGACGAAGCCGGCGCTCCGGAGGCGCACAAGGAGGCGGTGAGGACGGCTGGGTTCGACGACACCATCCGGACGCTCATCTTCACCGGGAGGCCCCTACGGGTGCGGAAGAACCCGTACATCGAGAACTGGGAGAACAACCGCCAGGCCGAGATCAAGGAGCTGACCGCCAAGGGCATTCTCCCCTTCGAGCACGACCTAGAGCAGGCGTCGAGCAACTCAGACAGCGACACAGATGCGGACGATCTGATGGATCAGTACACGCCCCAATTGATGGGCAAGTGCGCTGCGCTGGTGAATGAGCAGAAGAGCGCCAAGGCGGTGGTAGACGAATTCATCAACGACGCGTCGGCGCTGCTGAACGAGGGCGCCAAGATGGTATCGAAACTGTAGGTATGTAAATTATATATATATATACCTTTGTACGGGTAATCGCACGGACGCATGTATATTAAGAGCTGTATCGGAAATCGATATCATGTTATTGGGATAAACGCGTACGTGCACCTGCGTACCGGAGGACAGCCTCCACGCGCATCGTCTCAATAGATACCTAGGTACCTCCCATTATCGGCGTACAGATGCCGCTTACTTAAGAACGCCTCTGCTCCACGCAGGCGGAAGCACATGACGCCCGTTGTGCACCTCCTTTATGCCAACTCCGCGTCGAGATGTGTTGCGTGCCTGCCTGCGAGAGCCCGCGATAGCCTACGTAGTCGTGACCTCACCGTTACGGGTGGTTATGACGTCAAGTGATGAAGTTCCAGGGACCAAGTCCCCTTATCACCCGCCTTCTTCCCCCAGCACGTAGGTGATCGTCATGTCTTGGCCACGACCAATTCTGTCTTGATTCCGCCGATATTCTACCCATATTCTGCCGGTCGGCGCCCGAAGAAAAGTTCGACCACTATTCAGCAACATGGCAGAGACGCACCAGTTTGATGTATCGAAGCTCTTCTCGGTGCGAGATTTCGTCGCCGTAATCACAGGTGGCGGCACCGGGATCGGGTTGATGGCGGCACAGGCACTCTCCGCCAATGGCGCCAAGGTATACATTACCGGGCGGCGGACCGAAGTTCTTGAGAACGCGGCCAGAAGCCACCAGCCGGGGAACGCTAGCGGCGGACGGATTATTCCGGTTGGGCCTTGTGACGTGACCGACAAAAATGACCTCGAGCGGCTAGCGACCGAAATCGGGCGCCGGGAGCGCTTTATCCACCTCCTGGTGTGCAACGCGGGGATCGCGGGCCCCAAAGCGGAGCCTGACGTCGCAGAGGCTACCGATCTGAAAACGCGATTGTGGGAAAACGAGGACCTGGCCGACTGGCGCGCCAACTTCGATACCAACGTAACGGCCGTCTACTTCACAACGGTGGCCTTCCTACCCTTACTGCAAGCAGGTATACGACCGAGAGGCCCGCTAGAACCGTACTCCAGCTCCGTGATCACCATATCTTCTATGTCCGGCATCATGCGCCGCTCCCAGGGCCACTTCAGCTACAACACGGCCAAGGGCGCAACAGTCCAACTGACGAAGCTCATGAGCAGCGAGTTCCTCAAAGCGAGTATCAGGGTTAATTCGATTGCGCCTGGGTATTTCCCTAGTGAGAGTAAGCTATGCTTCTTGCCTTAGGCATACAGCCAGACAACCTCAGCCTGTGGCTGCGGAAACAGAATGGGTCCTCCAAGACGGATAGAAGCCATCTACTAACCCCCGTGTGCAACAGTGACAGCAAAGAGCAGCGACGAAAGGCAAAAGAGCTACGTGCCGCCGGAAAAGATCCAAGATACGGGACACGTCCCGCTCATGAGGGCCGGGCGCGAAGAAGAGATGGGGATGACCGTGCTGTACCTGGCCAAGAATCAATACGTCAACGGAGAGATCATCGCGGTCGACGGCGGGACTTTGAACGTCCTGGCGGGGCGATAATGAGCCGATCCTTCTCTGATCAGCAAAGGTCGGTGGCTTCGCAAGCTAGGATATTAGCTTCCACAGTTCGTACCCGAAGGTGAAGAAGGGAGGAGCGGGATGACGAAAGGAGCGCAGATACGTTGAGGGCGTCTATCCGTGCTAGGGGCGTGGGTCTCCTCACGAAATCGATGAAATCCATCGAATGTACTAGTAGTCACGTGAAATGTGCCATATATAAACATTACGTAATCACATACACGTGTGGAGTCAAGTGATAGAGGCAAGGGGCGAGGGTCAGGGATGGTACCTTGCGCACGCCATCCTGGTGAATCATCCCTCCTCATCCCATAAATAGGTAGATACAGGAATAGACGAAGACATAAAATCTAGTCATCTCCGACCCCTTCCGCAACCTGCCCACGTTCTCTGTCTCTCGCTCCAAGGCATGCCGCTGACGACGCCCTCCTCCCTTTCTGCGATTTCTCTTCTTCGCAAGCAGTCGAGATTCGTCGCCGCGTACCTCCACTGTTATGCCGAAGAAAAGACATCAGAGCAAATACTCGAAGCCGCCGTCAGTCGCTCCACCTATCCTCAGCTCCTCTTCATCGCGGGCAACGCCTGGTGAGTTAACCCTGTCGAGGTCCGCGTGGGCATGAGCGGCGTCGGGGCGTGGAATTAACAGCGGGTGCGCAGAACATCACGAGCGTTCCGTCAACCAAATCCTCGCCGACCTACGCCGAAGCAGTCTGACGCAAAGTGGCACCTCAACCGGCTATACCGCGGCCACTCCCACCGTCCCACCGCTGATCCGCCAGATCCTCCAGATTCCCGAGACCCCTGCACCCCCACCCCGAAGACTTCAGCGCCGGGAGATCAATGGCCGACGAGCACCTCCGGGGCCCCCACCACCGCGGAGCTGGGTGTCGCTCGCACAATCCCGACATGCCCCTCCTGAGCTGAAGGCAAGTGTCCTAGGGCGCATTCAGATATGGCCATTGCCAGGAACCTACGCGCCAGATGCGGGCAGCTTTGTCGATCAGGTTCTCCGGCAGATTGCGCTAGACTGGGACCAGCAACGACGATGGAACAAGTTCTATCTGTACACTTTACCCAGCCGACTTAGAACCACGCTGCTGAGCTACGTTTTGGAGCTCCATGGGCCAGGCATTACCATCAAAGATCTCCGGCTGATCCTTGCCGGTCCTGCTGAGGAGGATCTGGCCCAATACGAGATCGAGAAGCCCGACTTGGTCGAGCTAAACGGGGATTTGCTCTGCCTGGACCTGGCGGGTGCGGTGGGGAAATCTCTGACACTGAAGGAGCTTAACGAATTACTGGGTATTCCCAGGGAAGCGGCCGAACCCGATCTTCAAGACTCGTGGGATGTGCCGGCGCCTACGTCAGGACCCGTCAAACTCCTTCCCAACTTGTCGCAGCTCTCTCTGGCTGTCGATCCCGGGGTAGGACCCCTCGCTTCTTGGAAACAGCTCCTCTCGCTGGCTACGAAGCTGCCGACCCTGACGCATCTCAACCTCTCCGGCTGGCCCGAACCGTCCCTGACACCAAATGCCAAGTTTGTGAAGGTTACCTCGTCGGTGGCAACCGGTAGACTCATCCAGTATGCCGCCACCGGACCCTACAGTCACGACCTGGACGGCGAGTGGTCGGAAGCCATCCTGGTGCTAAAGCGTCTGAGCAAATCCCTCTACAGTCTGGAGTACCTCGACTTGACAGGGTGCGGGGACTGGTTCCCGGCGCTGATGAAGGAATCGGACGGAACGTTCATGGTCGATTTTGTCGACTGGGCGGGTGACTGGGGCAAGATCATGACGCTGAGGCTGTGCTCCGGCTACGCCATCGCGGATGATTCAACGATCGGCCAAGTCACCCGGTTCGCTGACTGGGCCGAGTCGGCCACGGCGGTAGAGAAGCACATCATAGCACAGCGGTCCGGGCGAGGGCGCTGGATTTCGGTCGAGAAGGATACTCTCTCGGAGAGCGCCAAGGCCGTTATCGCGAGCCAGCGGCTCCGGGGCATCGCATGACACATCGAAGGCAGGTAGATGTGTTCGATAGATAGACTTGACACCATAGAAGGCGGGCAGGCAACGAATAGAAAGCGATCGCAACGGGATAGCTGATCATCGTGGTATATTCCTCTCCGTATCGAGGTGGTTCTGTTGTTTCGAGGACGGCCAGCTAACCCGCGCGCTTCGAGCCTAGCCGGGAGCCGTGACGGGAGATGTCAACGCGCAGCCTAGGCGTGGTTGCGAAGAGGTTTCCTTTCCTTTCCCCGGCGACGCCCAGCACAGACTAGGAATAGCGGCTCCGCGTTCTGGGGGCCGGGCGATGCGGCCCAGGGTGGACTAGTCCACGCGAGGCGAAGATGAGCCAGTTTTGCCGCGACGGGACGCAACGGGACACCCTCATGACGCAACCCCAGCCGACAACCAATCACCGCCGACGACCTGGACCAAAGCAGGCAAAACCATCGACTGTGACGCTGCCCAGCCCGCTTCGATGCGGCCCTATGCGAGTACGTGGCCACCCGGCGGTACCTTGGGTATGTAGGTATTACTACGATTATTATGACTATTGTTAGTATCATGATTATGATGATTCTGCCTTGTCTTGCTCAATGCCTTGATCTCTCTACTGTGTGCCCCTCACCCAGCCGGCGGCAGAGGGGGGGGGGAGAGAGAAAGACTGACGGTGCTGGCCATGGCCTAGAGGCACTCGCTCATTCATCCATCTACCCATTCATTGATTCGGTGAGGGAGCACCGCAACGAGATTCGGGCGGACAAATTGAAGCCGACCTTTCAGCACCATTTCTAACTAGATACCTCGAGATGTCGAACGTCTAATATCCCCCCTTTCTATGGATGACTACCGTGTACTGGCTCGCACCGGCACCGACGCAGCGCATTCTCAGAGGCTATTATCTGGCTAGATCCTCCACACTTACCCTTAGCTTTCTTGTCTTATTTTTCTACCTGCTTCCCAGGTTCTCGATTCTCTTTATACATCCTATATAAAGAATAACACTACTTATACCCTTAACCCCCCTTTTCCCCGTCGCTAACATCCCTACTCTACTGCCGAACCTATTCCTCTTTCCCTTGACGGATCACTCTTCGGGTAATAATAACACACTTGTAGAACCCCCTTCTAGACCACTTAAGAACCATGTCTATCCCAAAATACGACCACGAACCGCTCACCGCCGCGCTCTTCCCGCTCTTCCTATTCGGGGTCGTGTTCGTGCTGGCGATGGTAGCGCTACTCGCCGGCCCTGGGCCGCGGCAGCGGTCGGCGGAGAGCTACCACCTGCTCGCGGTGCGTCTCCCCCCGGGCCCAGGCCCGCGTTTCCAGGTCCCGCGCCGGCTAGCGCAGCCGCGGATCGACATGCCGAGTTTTGAGCGAGACTTATTAGCGCTCACGCCGACGTCCGCCTCCGCCGGCGACGGCGCGTTCGGGGGGTGGGGAGACGTCCGGATCGGGCCCGACGCCGCCGACGGTCTGGCGCGCGAGCTCCGGCTCACGCGGTGGTATTACAGCGTCCGCGTCCTGACGGCGTGCGAGGGCGCCTGGTACTGCACGACGAACTGCACGACGCTCAGTATGCGACCCCCGTCAATCCCTGCCCCCTTTTCCCCTGCACGCAAGAAGAAGAAGAAGAAGAAGAAGCTAACCCGCCCCGTCTCACTAGTCCACTACAACCAGACCACTACACTACAGCACGCACCCGACCGCATCCCCGGGCCCCCGTGGGCAGCCGCCGCGGCGCACGTTCCCCAGCGCTGGCGCTGGCGCTGAGGAGGGAGAGGGGTGTGAAAGGGTGGGGGCGGCGCTGGATAGAGACGGAGAGAAATGCGGACGGTATCCCCTCGTGGTCGGGTGACAGCGGGGCATTAAAGCGGAACGCTGCGGGTGTCTGCCTGCCTGCTTACCTACCTACCTGCATTCCTCCCGCGCCCCCCCCCCCCAACCCCCGGGGGCGGGTGCGTCGCTCGGTGGCGGGGTGCGGTGTTAGAGTGCGCGGACGACGCATCGCGGTATATTAGGGGCAGGTTTTACTGGTTTTCTTTCCTGGTGTGGAAGGGGAGAGAGGGAGGGTATCCTTTCTAATATTGCCGGCTCGGTTTATATGCAGAGATCCTGAGCGCATGCCAGCCGAGCTGCTAGCTCACCGGTCCGCGGTGCGCAGGTTCTCCTGCGGCTCTGCTCGGTCTGCCGCGCCGGCACCGAGTCGCGCCACAGAGCTTGGGGTTATATTATGTTAGGTACATATGTCCCAGAATGTCCTGCACTGCGCGTGTGTACTAAGAACGCGTGCGCGTAGTGGTGATATGCGCCTATATATGTACCTGCTCGCGCCCTTCACGCGACGCCCCCCCTCCTTCGGTGTCCCCTTTCTTGGGGGCAGGATGCTGTTGCCGACCCTACTGTTACAACCGTGTAAGTGGACCAGCCCGGCCCCTTTGAAAATCGAAAATCAATCCCCGCCGGCTTGTCGCGAAACGCCGGCTTAGACTCGCCCGATTGCTTGCCCTGCCTAAAGAGGCTCTTCACTTACTCATACAAAAAAAAATACGCTTTTCCCTTCCCCCTTTTTTTTCGTACTGGGTATCCGTCCACAAAAGAAAAAAAAAACCTCAATACCACCGATCTGGGTCGAATCTCGTCTGGTCTGACCCCCTTCGCATGCGGTCTAGGTGGACTCCGGTGCCGCCGCTTGGCTGGGGCCCGGTTTCGTTCCCGCTGCTCTCGGTGTGGCCCATGCGCCGCCACTGGCGCTGCTGCGACCAGGACTGGCCGTAGGTGCCGCTGCCGTGCGCGCGCAGGCTCTTGATGAGGCTGTTCAGGATCACGAACTCGATCTTCAGCTTGATGCCGTACACGCACGGCTTGAACGCCCCCTGGATGTAGAATAGGTTGGCGTATTGGACGCCCAGCAGGGCGATGACCAGGAGGCTGATGCTAGACGGGGAAAAGGAGGATTTTAGCATGGCTCTGATCGGTTCCGGCTTACGTTGGGGAGAGCCTGGTCCCCAGGTTCTCGTCTACGCGTGTAGCGTCGACCCGAGAGACAGGTTGGGGTGGGGGCCGGGGTGGGTGGGTAAGCGTGTCTTACTCTAATGCGATGATAAGTATGTTCGCGTAGATGAGGTGGCAGAGGACCCTTTCCTCCTCCGACGTCGCGTCCGTGGACGCGGGGGACGCGAAGACGGAGAACTTGAAGAGCACCGAGGAGTCGCGCAGGTATTTGCGGGTCTGGTAGATATACAGAAGACTGAGGCTCAGCTCTTGGGCGAAGAAGACGACGAGTTGGACGCGGTCCCAGATCAAATTGACGTGAGGTAAGCTCGGGTTTATGGTGGTGGCTTGCTACGATTTGCCCTCGTGCGACCATGGTCAGCCCTGTCGGAGCTTCGATTTCGACGGGGTGGAGGGAGGGGACCGCCCAGGGGCAGAGGAGGAGGCAGGGCAGGGAAGAAACTCACAGCCAGTGTCCCGATGACAATAGTGGGCACGGAGAAGACGATCGAATTAAATATCAAGACCACCATAATCCACCTCAACATCTTCTCTCCGTGCATGATGAGGTGTAGGCGCGAGTACAGGACCCAGCTCTGCGGTACCACCATGATGAGCCAGGTCAGGTAGATCATGCTTATCGACGCACTGAGATTCGACCAGATGCCGAAGTCCGCGAGCACGATGAACAGCGGCTGCAGGATCACGCCCCAGGAGCCCAGCGCGCACGACCAGAAGTACAGGCCGCTCCAGCGCTTGAACAGCATGAAGAGCGAGATGTTGATCTCGATCCCGACGTACCACGAGATGCCCGCGAAGGCGGCCATGGTCATGGACGTCGGGAGGTCCTCCCGGATGTTGCTGAGCTCGCTCATGATCGCCGCTCTCTCCAGCTATCCGGTCGAGGCGCGTGGGGTGAGGAAGCCCCGGCGGGGAGGGGAGGAAGTGAGAAGTGGAGAGAAAGGGGGGGAGAGCGTGTGTGTGTGAGCGTGTGTGGGTGTGTGTTAAAACTGTGGATGAAGAGGCTTCTCGAGGGCATTTACGTGATTCGAGGGTGACATCGACAGACGTATGATTGAGCGGCGTCCCACCAAATGATGTTTACCTGACCCAATCGGACGAGGCCGCATTAGAGACGGCTGATGGAAACTATTGCGTGCGTCCTTTTTTCCTTTTCTGTTCTTGTCTGGTCTTATCATCTGAATTGTCGCGATGTCTGTGGTCTTTTTTTTTTAATGGTGTTTCTTTTCGCGAAACCGGGACAGGAACCTTCATCGAGAGGTCACACGAATGCCTCGCATGGCCTCGCATTGCCGTGCTTCATCTTGGCGTATCATTGGAGGCGAACAGCAAAATACATACATGACCACACCCCCGTCATCTTCCCTCGCCCTCCTTCTCCATATGTACTACGTAGTACGTGTGCCGCCCGACAAGCCCTCGACCGATAACGAGCCGTCTTGCTAGGTTGCTTCGAGGATACGCGGGGGCTACAGGCCGTAGGATTCTTACTGCATGAGGGCCTGCTGCGAAATCCATCAGCTCCTTCGGACCGACCCATGCTGTGGCAGGGCTAGACCAATGGCGTCGTCAGAAGTCCTCGTGATCCCGGCGGGCTCAATTTATTAGGCGCCGCCGTCCGTCCTTGGCTCCCACCCCTCCTTAGCCATCTCAAAGCTCTCAAAATTGAAGGCGGGCGCCACCGAACAGCCTACCAGGGTCCACGACCCCAGGCTCTGGGCGTGCTGCCATTCTCCCCGTTCGACCACGACCTGCGGTCGCTGTCCGGCCAAGATATCGTTGCCCAGCACCACGTCTCGCACGGGCTTGCCGTCGTCCCGGGACAGCGAGAGGCGCAGAGGGGCGCCGGCGTAGTAGTGCCAGACCTCGACAGCGTTGAGGACGCGGTGCCAGTGCGAGAGGCCGGACTCGCCCTCCAGGAGATAGTAGATGCAGGTGCTGTTCGAGCGGCCGTCGGACGTCTGGGGGTCGCGGAAGGTCTCGACGTAGTAGCCCTTCTCCGGATGGGGAGCGAGATTGAGGGCGGCGACGATTTCCTGGGCGGTAGCCATGGCGGTTCTGGGGGGGGGGAATATTCGGGTAGGATTAGCTGGTGGTTCACGTAGCTTGCCTGGCTTAATTTGGGGGGGGGATAGCGAAAGGGGTGAGGGTTGGTATAAAGGATCAAATAAATCCACGACCAGATAAGGGTAGCAACGACGGATTTTAAATTGCGCGAGAGACCCGGCGAACACGGGGAGAGAGCAAACTTCTTCTGCCAGAGATACGGACGGGATGCGTTTTACCTAGGTAATCAATCGATCGATCTCGCTCGTGAGATAATGGATCGGCGACCAGTTGGCTCCCCCTTTGCCGCAGTGCTACCTGGGCGTTCCGTACGGATGCGAACATGTAGCACCGCGTCATAACGTGTGCGTTTGGAGGCGTGCGAGGTAGGTGGAGATGCCCGGCCTCGATGTGTACTTGGGACCACGACAACGAGGTTAATAGGCAGACACCCACCTATCTACCTACCTATCCAATCTACCTACTTACCTACCTACCTACCTACCTACCTACCTACCTAAGAAGGCCCTCCTCCACTCGCCATACAACCGACATTCGCCGTTCAGCAAGCCAAAATCCATCCTACGCACGCATGCCTACTCGAGGGCGCCCAGCGGCATGCTTAATTGCTTTAAGCTAGGTAGCAAAGGTACCTTGCAGGTATACCTATGCATAGGTGCGAGTCCACATACAGACGTATGTACCTACATCCATGTCGCTGCGGCGTGTCCCTGGTCTCTCCCCCAGGAACTTGCCTGGGTGGGAAATGCGACAAACGGGGGAGCCATGTGCCTGGCGTTTCTCCCGCATCCGGGCCTAGTCGTCTTGTTCTCGCGCCCTCGATGCTGCTGAGACAGAGAAAGAGAGGTGCCTAAATCTAAAAATAAACCGGCGTGATAGGTATGCTGGCTGGACGACTCGAGATCCTACCGACATTGCAGCGAGTGCCGGGTCGATCGGCAGAAGCCTATCGATTCCCCCCCTCCCCCCCCAACGCCGCAAGTCTGCCTGCCTCGATTTCTGGCATAAGCATCACCCGCGAACAGGTTATCCGTGAAGGACGGTGTGCGGGTGTGCGGGCGGCTGATGCAACCTCAAGAGCGTGGGTGCAGGTAGGTGTGGGTTGGAAACCCCTCTTCAGGGGGGTCATTTTCGGGGCAGATTCACGAACCGCAGCGCTGGGGTGGAGCTACGGAATCAGACGGGTTGCCAGCACCAGTGCGAGCCTCGACGTCGGGAACGCTCGCCAGCCGGGGAATATCTGCCGCGGGGACGGAGAAAGTAATACCTAATAAGCACCTAAAACATTCGCTCACCCAAAGTAGGAATAGGATGATCTGGATGCCGGTGTCCCCCCCCTCCCTCTATGGCGCCACTAACGGCGCGGTTGTCTGTGGGATCTAGGATCTAGCCACTTGGCCGTTAGTCGTAGTAATAGCGAAGCCCGAGTCGACCGGACGGCGACCTCGAGCGCGGGAGCGAGACTGTGCCGCGGTCCAGCTGCGCCAACGATGTACAACTACCTTAGGTAGATCTAGGTACCTACCTACCTACCCACTTACCTGCTACGTTAGCATGTGGGCGATCCGAGTTGTCCCAGTTCGTTCCCTGCCAGATCCAGCTTAGTCGAGGCTTGGGAGTCGATACGAGGCGTGCTGTACGGGCGGGAACTGCGCTTATTACACTGCCGCTGCGAACAAATGCCGCCAACTCCTCACCGTTGGTTAGGGTCAGCCAGCCCGCCGATCCCAAGACCAAGACGAATTCTTCCCCAGAGGAGAGGGAAGTCAGACGCCTCGAGGCCAATGAAGAATAGCAAGAGAGAAATGCCCCAATCTCAATCTCGAGGTCCACGTCACCGGTCCTCCCGCTTCGCCCCATGTATGCAGATCTCGGCTGTTGATAGTTGCTGCTTTTGTAGGTAGGTAGGTAGTCATGCGTGGGCTGTCTGACCTGCTACCTCGGGTGCTAACATAGGTGCCTACTTACCTACGTAGGTACCTTACCTACCTATAACTTACCCCGCAGACTGCACTGCCCAGCACCAGCTGAATCCTCTTTGCAACAGGTCCGTTATCCGTCTCGGCGGGCCACCCTGGACCGGACTGGACTGGTGGCACGAGAATTACAGCACCTACATATTACGCTGTGCCGTCCAGCTCCGACGCCTCTCGCGTGCCATTCATACCACCTTACCGGCTTCCTCGTGGTAGCTATTGTCACCTTCTGCCTCCCCTCCCGTCCGGCTAGCCTCGACCCGTCCGCCTCCTGGGGTGCACCCTGCGTAGCAGCGACCGATTGCCTCAGCGCCCTTTTCGAACAGTCCGGACCATGTCATCCTTCCCGCTGACCGACAGCTCAGACGCAGAGGCAGACGACGGCGAGCGACGCACCTTGCTGCGCGAGGGCGAGAAGCGGGTGCACCGCATCTTCTCCGGTTTCATCGACTTCGCCTTCTCGGGCAACATCCTCGAAATCGCATTCGGCCTGATGTCGGTGAAACCGTTAACATACCTAGGACTCGGGAAATCGAACTACTAACTCTTGTTTTCGCTTTTCGGCTGGCCCTCCTTCGTAGTCTAGCGACCGCCTTCACATCGGTTACCACCTCGCTCGTCAGCGACATCCTGCTCCCGCCGCTGTCCATCGTCCTCCCGCTGCGGAAGAACTTGGTCGAGAAGTTCGCCGTGCTGCGGCCGGGACCCAAGTACGATGAGTTGAACGGCTACAACACGCTAGAGCAGGCTCAGGACGATGGTGCCATCGTGCTAGCGTACGGGTACGGCACGTCGCCCGCTCACCGCCGACTCGTTCATCTGTTTACCCTGCTGACCCGACTCTGCCTAGCGTCTTTCTCAACAAGGTCGTCAGCTTCCTCGGCATGGGCGTCGCGCTGTACGGCTTGGCCCACCTGTACCAGTATCTGTCACGTGATCCCATCATCAAGCATACCGTCAAGTGCAGGTATTGCAAGAGAAGTGTCAGCGAGAAGGTTAGTGCCCGGCTCCGTCCCGATGCCAGCGGTCGTGGTTCGCGAGCGCGCGACGCTAACCGGCCCAGGCGACCCGCTGCGTAAACTGCACCAGCTGGTTGGATGGCCGAGAGGACCGGACGCCATAGACGGGTATCTCGACGAGATCTGTGCCGCGTCGGACGCTAGCATCTTGCTCTCCCGAACGCACGGCAACACGTACCTAACACGGCGAGATGGATGACCAAGACGACACTTGCCTCTTGTCGCCTTTGGATGCGTACCCTTTATCGCCAAAATAACTACTACCTATTTCCTCGTACGGCGGGGCGTAGGGCGGCGATCTTTTCATCTGTCGGGGGTTGTGGTTGCAGCAAATCGATTTCAGCATGTTGACATCTCTGGAATATTTCCGCATTGTAAAGTTGGGAATCGAGAAAATTGAAATCGTTCCTCGGGGACTCTGCCCCGCTACCTCTTCCCTCTGCATGGCTGGCATCGCCGAGACGGTCTGGTCGATTGATGAGGTGTAAGTTGGTGTCGATGTACGTCGACTCGATGAGGTTATGTGTCTAGGTTCCGTGGTAGGGTGCGCGCTGCCCCTCATCTAGGTTATACTATAGGCTACGGTCCCCCGACCAGCAGTGGTTCCTCGCTCGTCCACGTCCGATGTGCGGCGACCTCGCCTATGATGTCACGGTTGCGACTGATCCGACGTACAGTTTTATTTCATCCGCCCACCCGCCTGACGCACCGCCAGCCCTCGAGTCCGCATCTAACAGCAGCATCAAAGGAGACGCCATCGACAGGCCGGTGGGTAGAGTTATGTTAGACCGCTAGTCAGGCACCCGGGGTATCTTGCATCCCAACCTTGTATTAGGCATATGACGCGCCGGCAATCTGCACGGGGCCGGCCTGACTCTCTCCACTCTTCTCCCGACACGTCGCTGTGAGGTGTCCCGGGGGAATGTCTGGCGAGTCTCACGTCCCGTTCTACGCGGTGGAAAGACCCGTCGAAGAGCCCGGGGCCACTAACAGCACCGCCTATTTCCATGCCCCTAACCGTCGTACCGCACTAGGTCCGGGCCTCGCTGACTTTCTTGACGTAATCGGTGAGCGCCTTGTCAAGTGCCGCTGGGAAAAGTTGTGACCGCAAGACCGTGGCTGACCTTTTGCTCCGGCTAGATCCCGAAGTGTCGACGTTGAACAACGTGACCAACATTCAGAACTCGCTTTTTGTCCCGTCTCTAGGCAAATTGATCAACCGACGTCCAACCTATCAGCTATCTAACAACCGTGATCCCACAGCCCCCCGAGACGAGGAAGGAGAAGGCGATGAGTTCACCTTCAAGCATGCCGTGCTCCCCGACGGCGTGTTCCTCGAGGGGTGGAGTGACGGGGAGAAGGCCGAGCTGAACGACTACGTGCGGCATATGCTGCACTCGCGACGGTCCAAGTTCAAGCGTAAGATGAGGGCCTTCGGCAAGTATGTCAGGAAGCCGCTCGGCTTCCTAGTGACGCTGTACGCGACGCTTATCACCCTCTTTGGTCTGGCATGGGTCCTGTTTCTTATCGGTTGGATATACGTTGGCAAGGAGCAGCTCTACGCCATTAACGTCATCGACAATGTCCTCGTAGCCCTGTTCGCCGTCGTTGGCGATGGCCTCGCGCCTTTCCGCGCTATCGACACCTACCACATGGCCTTCATAGCACACTACCATCGTCTAACGTGGAAGCTGCGCAGGAAAAGGCACATGGGAGGCTTGCGAGACAAGAACGACCTGCCGACGATCCTGGAACCCGAGGCTGCCCATGAAGAAGTCTCCGTTCTCATGGCTGATCAAGAGGCGCGGCTCGTGCATCACCAGACGAAATTCGCCAGATCCCACACCTTTTACAAGCCGCACGAAACGAAAACTCACTACGCATTCCCGCTGAACCTGCTTGTAGCGATCGTCGCCCTGCTCGACCTACACTCGTGTCTACAAATCGCGCTGGGCGCGACGACGTGGGGGATCGATTACCACACGCGGCCTATGGCCATAACGGCGACGATCCTGAGCTGCTCTATTGCGGTCAACATCACGGCGGGGGTTCTGATCGGCATCGGCAGCCGGCGCACGCGCAAGAAGGACGTGGTCGAGCGCCTGTTCCGCCAGGAGCTGACGCGCGAGGCCTTCGGCAAGCTCCGCGTCCGGGGCAAGAAGCAAGGCAACGCCGGGAAGCAGCTCAAGGCGGAGAGGGCCCTCGAGCAGGGGAGGCAGAGCGAGGCGAACGACGGCGAAGGCGATGGGGCGCTAGTGCGAGAGCAGCCAGCTACGCAGGGGGGCGACGCGAGGGCAGAGGCGGATGTACGGTAATTTCGAAGCATGTGCATTGGATAGCACTGATTTCACTTAATACCTACCTATGTAGCAGCTCATCGTCTACTTCAGGAACACATAGCGAGATTGTTGGTTGCTGCATGGGACATTTTACCTCTTTTTACTCTTCTTCGATGTTAGCGTGGTTATTATTTATCTTAAAGATCTCCCATAGGTATGATATTAGTTGCATATAGACGTATGAACTCTGGGTCGGGGGACCACCGTTCCGCGAGGGCCTAATAATACTAATCACTACATTCGTGATTAAAACCACTATGATCGTCTCTCTACCTTGGCTATCGCCAGACTGCGTTCCGCGTAAGCCTGTCGAGGAACCTGTGCAGTTTATTCTACCTCTCCTTTTCGTATTATCCCGGAGTTTTTCGTTGGTCTCTCACTGCCCGCATTAGTGCTCTGGGAGCCTACATACGGCTCCCGTCTTAAGCTACTCTGCTGCTCTTCTGCCATTCTTTCAGGCGTCCCGGCGTTCCGGGTCTGATCCTGCTCGGTAGGGCTGGTGGCCAGGGACCGGTCAGGGGTAGCCGGGAAATCGCGCCGGGCAACCGGCGGCAAACGGCCATGTCACAGCGGAAACACTAGTATAATGATCCCATGTAATATACAGCGTCGAGATTCTGACATGGCAGGTGGCGTAAAGTAGATCCGGCGTTCTTTGCTTACGATATCCGCCCTACCCAGTCGGGACTCGGCGGAAGACGCGGGCGATGTTCGAGCCGGAGCATGGACACCGCAACTAGCCGTGCGGCTTTTACAAGGGAAGGAAGACCAAGAGGCGCCGAGTTCCCTCCTCTTTGCGCGAACACATACTGGACGTAAGCCGGCTTGGAGAGTCGAGGTCGTTGACCACAAGGAGATGTACCTACTATTAGTCCTAGACCATTACATAAGAAGCCTCGGTCCTCCAATTCGGGGGACCCCTATCTATGCTTGCGGGACGAGCGGAACACCAGATACGAGGGGGGCCGACGAGGGAAATCCTCTCTAAAGCCGGTTCCGCCGCTACCTCCTCCGACCCCAGGCCACGCCCTCCGGGCACACGGCAGCCCCCCGTTTCGCCTCCTATCCGAGTAGGGCACGTCACTAGCATAGAGACCGCGAGGCCGCGCTTTGCCCAACTAGGTCCCTCTGCACCCTCCTCCTCCTCACGCCCTCCCCCTGCGCCAATGTTTCAGTTCTATTTCCGCCGGGTTTCGGCGCCATACCTCCGCGGCGACGCGCAGCAGCAACTGCAAACCCCCCGCACTCCGCAGACAGGCGCATGTTGACCCGTCTGGGTTGACGCCGTGTGTGTGCGTCGATGGCGGGGCCGCCGGGACTGGCTCACGTGTGGTGTTCGTCGCTAGAAGCAACTAAAGGCGACGGCGAAAGAGGTAACTGTTCGCGGCCGTGAGGTCCGCCGGGACTCGAGGTTCCGCCTCGCGTTAGCCGCAGCAGGTTTTCACGGCAGTTACTGCGATGCCGTCTCTTATTTCGACTGCTGGCTACGGTGGCATGCGGCAGTTTACAGTTGCCCGTACCCTACGCCTACGCCGACTTGGGCCGGCCGCATAAGCAGTTCTGTTTTTCATGCGCCCCCCTGAGCTGAGCCTTACTCGTATTGCCGTCGCATGCAGGAGGCCGCATGCATTTCAGCTGGCCGCTGGCAAAGTGATGAGAATTTGCAGAATGTGATTGCCTAGATGGTCACATAGATTGGTGAACGGGTCGTATCACCAGATACTATTAAAATATATAATATACACCCGTATATGGATAATTAAAGCATATTACATCTGTCTATCTGTATCTTATTACCGCTCTGGGCGAGGGCTCAAGTGGCAGTCCCATTCACAAGAGGACCGGCATCTTTATCGACTACGCTCATAAGCAAATCCCAAAGAGTGACCGTAACAGGTCGGCGAATCGGTCCATAGAACCGGAAGGAAACGTATACTGGTACAGGAGGAACCGCGACGTTGTATTGTTGTAGGCCACGGCATATGGTATTAGTTGGCAGACGGAGCCAAGTGCACTAGCTCGGTTCATATCACCCGATCCGGGTGTGTCGAGCGACCAACCTTCGACCCCGTTACTGCCAGAAGCCACCCGAGCACGCACCTCTTTCGGCTGCGGCCGCCTCAGACACGCGCCGACGAGGTCGAGCTGAGCGAGGCCTGACGATAGGTGAGATTGCGGTGCAGGCACGACGGCCGTCACGCCAACCAGACGGACAGTCCGCGTGTAAGTGGCTAGTTGGCGAGCTGTAATATTCATACCTTGACGACCATGGAGTCGGTCACCGCTGTCAAGTTTAGCGTTCCTTTCCAGGCTGAGCATGCTGACGGTCGACGCTCAATTTCCGGAACTGGCGAGCTGCTTGTGGTTCAGCGCAAGGTAATTACTCTTGTGGAGAGCTGAATCGAACCGCTGACTCGAGAGATGCTGTGAGTTCTAATATATATATACACACATAAATAATAATACCAACTTGGGTGACTTGCGATTCCCTCTCGGTTGGCCCAACGGAAGACACAATCAAGCCTATCAAACGATAATTGCCATTCTTCCTTCGTCCTCCTCCGCACCCGCACCCTCAGAACTATGGCGGACTTCGTCGTAGTGTTCGATGTGGAGAATAGCGATGGCGCAGATTATACGCAGTTCATCCAGGGCTTGCGCGACAGGGTGGCCTCTGGGGATGTCTGCTATTATCTCCCAGTTCTTTCTCCTCAACCATCTACGCCCAATGCGTGGTTCGACGTCGTCCTGACCGCGGGGGGGCGGTCGGTGACGCTACGGATCCGGAGGGACAACCTGTACCTGGATGGCTACCAGCAGGGCACGACGTGGTTCGAGTTCCAGCACAACGGCCCGCTGTACATCCCCGGGGCCACCGCGCTGCGGTACGACGGCAGCTACACCCGCTTGGAGGGCGTGGCGGGCCAGAGAAGGGAGGCGATTCCGCTGGGCCAGCAGGCGCTCGTCAACGCTGTGCATGGGCTCTCGACGGCGGGTATAAGCGACCAGGCCAGGGCCCGGCAGTTGATGGTTGTCATACAGATGATATCGGAGAGTATGAGGTTTCAATATATCAACCATCATCTCGCAACGAATTGGCAGGCCAGCGCGCAGCCGCCGACCACATTTTCCAGCCTGGAGAACGCCTGGGGAGGGCTATCGGAGGCTTTGCTGCACGCCGAACAGAGTGGATCGGCTCAGTCCTTTCGGTACCGGGTAGACAACGACTTGCAATTGCACAACGTCGGGGCCGCGGCCGGCGTGCTCGCCATGTTGGTGCATCGTAGTCTTCCAGGACCCTCACGCGCCACTCGCGCCATCGGCGCTCCTTGGTTCAACTACCCTCAGGGCCGAGCTCTGGTCGAAGTCTTCTGGGTGTGCATCAACGAGAGCGACGGGGAAGACCCGGCAATCCTCTACGGCACTATCAAAGCAGCCGATGGCCCAAGCACCCAGCATCTATACAATCGAGACAGAGACAATACCGAACATGTCCCTTTGCGTGGTCATGCTTTACTCACTGGCCCGCGCGAAGTCATCTCAGCAGCGGATAATTTCACCATCGATGTGGCCTTGTGGAATAGGAACACGTGGCTTTCGGACCACGAAATCGCTGCTGGCAGCATATTTTTTAATGTTTACGATCCGAAGAACCAGTACGACCAGGCCATAACCCACAAGGCTAGCACCGAGTACGGGTCGGCGACGCTAAGCTATGTCGTGCTGAGCAACGCCGCGCAAGCCCTAGTGACAATCGTCCTGGTCGACGGGGACGGGGAGGACCCCGCCGACGTCTACGGCACCATCACCGCCGACAACGGCTACGGCGAGATCGAGCTGTTTCGGAAGGCGAAGTCCGAGTACGTCGAGGTGGGCCAAGGCCAGAACATTCCCCTGTTGCGGACCGCGTTGGCCGTGCCCATGTCCGGCTCCCTCCGGATCAAGGCGCTGCTTTACGACCACGACCCGATTAGCCCCGACGACGAGATCGCGAACGGCGATGCCGCTCTAGAACCTCTGATCTTGCAGTCAGGAGTGGGGCACATTAAGGGACAGTATGGCAAGATTGAGGTGAGAGTCGAGTGGAATTAATAGGGGCTTGATCGGAAGACGGCGGCAGCTCGTACCGCAAACAGAGCTGGAGATAAAGTCAACCAAGGGGGAGGGATTAGATGTTGATGTAGCGGAGGAGGGGACAGCACCCATGAGCTTTCTATCCCAGCCGAGGGTAACCCTTTAGCTACCCTTCTGTTTGTTTGTTTGGGGCGCGGAGAGAGACGGTTTCCAATGCGCCGAGACAGACTGCCTGTTCGGTTTGATTTTTCGCGTCTTTCGTTAGCTCTTAAGAAGCTAGCAGCCATCAATAGTATAAGCTCGAAGTCTAGGCACACGTTAACACGGGGCAAACTACAGAAGGATCCCGAAACAATATCATCGATACCTACGACCTTGACCGACGCCCTGGGCCTGAACTACAGAGTAGGAGGAGCATGTGATTGCCTGGGGTGACATCGTGGCTATCTTTACTATGTAATAGCTAGCTCATTAAAGCCGTGTCGACGTCCATCATTGTTAGGGCTAAGATTGGACTGGATCTCATAAAGACATAATATATAGCTATTTATCTACTCCACCTCCCCCGTACCTCATAATCTCACTCCAGATCGTCCTCGTCAGGGCGGCAATGCGCTTCCCGTTCCACCTGGAGGTGACAAAACAGCGAATCCAGCAACGGTTAGTTAGAGGGCGAGATCAAAGCGGAATGAGGGGGCAACACTGGACTCGAAGGTTCTCGGCTCGAGCTACGCCCCTTCTGGACTCCTCGAACCCCAGAACGCGCCTTGACGGTCGCCCATGAGAGAACGAAGGATATTCAAACCCCGGCAGTCCGCTCACTGGCACAGCTACAACGACGCGTCGAACGTGGGAACTACGAATGTAGAGTAAGACATGGAATCTCTCCGGCCAGCTATGTGAAGCCTCCGCAAGCCTCTAAAGTCCAGCGAGCAACTCGCTACTCATGGACGCGCAGAAGGCCGCGCCGCATAATCTATTAGCTAATATCTGATGTCTGACACGAATTAGTACCTAAGATCAGCGCCAGTGCTTCTGGCAATTCGACTTGTTTTTTTTTTTTAACTCCCCGATTCGTTCCCAGCGGATGTCCTGGGCGAAGGCGAGAGGCATGGGCAAATGAATGTCGAACATGCAGGATTACGAGGCGGCTCGCTAGAATTCGCTGGCGTCCCCTGTCGATCATTGTCAAAGCTGTCTTAGAGCTCGAGTGCCAGTCAGCTCGTATTCACGGCCATTGTCCCCCACCCGAAAGTCAACCTATCGAATTCTCTCTTTTGCTGATTCTTTTCCCCGAATTAATGGATAGTTGATCCCGGGTCGCCGGCGCTCGGCCTCGACCCCTATTACGCTGCACATCAACGTCGCCGTTGGTAGTACTAACCAAATAGCCGTGAGACAGAAAACGCGGCGGTAAATGGCTCGGTACGCGGGCGGACGTCGATACTCAGACTTATTGGCTGACTCGTAGCAAAGCACATCACAGGCCTAATCTCCCGGGAACTGGTTCGAGCTTTCTTTTTGGCTCTAGTTTCTTGCTACCTCTTAAACGCTGCTGGTTGAGCCGTCTGTGTACTTATGCGCCGCTTAGGAAACTCATGGTTTCCTGCCATGACGGCTTGCGAAGAAGAATATGTCTAGCCTATTAATATGGCGGCATAGTTGGGAAAAAAGAGAAGGTATGCAACGGATATTTGGTATCAATTCTACTCTTACCTAGTAGCCACATCCACCAAGCGGACATGCCTGATAGTTGGCTGCTATGATGAGCGATATTACTCCATATTCTTTGATACCGTTTGGGGCTCTCCATGTGTCTTACGGCCCTAGCCGTAGGTGGGTGGATTATGTGGGCGAGGAACAGCAACAAACAACAACAACGAGGCTGAATCACGGTTGATGTCTTATATGTTGTCGTAGCTTAGCGCGTACTATTGAAGACCGAGACCTACCTACATCCACGGAATGGCCACAACACCATCGCGTAGTCAGATGGCAAAATGAATCTTGGACATGGAATCGTGAACTCGCGAGCTCGCGAGCTCGCGATGGCTTATAAAAGCTTGGTTGACGTCCTTCCTCAATTCCCAGATTCCATCCACCAGCCCATCGCTACTAACCAGAACAGCATCGGGAACAACACCCTCCTCCTTCTCCTCCTCATCACCATCGTAATCTTAATTCCCAGCTCAGTCCAACACCATCACCTCCCCCAAGTCTTCTACACCCCCACTCCTTAAATCCACCACCATGCAGCTCAAGACCCTCCTTCCCATCGTCCTGGCCGCGCTGGCCGTAGCCAGCCCGGTAGCCAGCCCGAACAAGCACGACGAGAAGCACGACGAGAAGCACGACAAGCACGACCACAAGCACAAGGACAAGCACGATCCTACCACCACCACCACCTCCCCCACCACGCACGTGGCGTACACAACCAGCACGCCCAAGGTCTACACGACCACGACCAAGCCCAGCTACCCGACTACCACCGTGGCCAAGGCGTACACGACCACGACGAAGGCCAAGTACCCGGCCACGACGCTGAAGACCAAGTACCCCGCGACGACGTCGGCGCCCAAGTACACGACCACGAAGCCCAAGCACGCGGCCTCGACCACCACCGCCACACCGGCCACGGACCCCACGACGACCACCACCACCGAGGAGCCCGCCGAGACCACCAAGAGCAGCAAGCTCCACGGCGCGTGCCCCATCGGCGCCGGCACCCCCCAGTGCTGCCAGGTCGACGTCGCCGGCATCCTCGGCTTGACCTGCGGGAGCCGTAAGTAGTCCCCCCCCCTTTATCTGATCTGCCGCAACTCGTGCGCTGACCCTGTGCCCCCCCCAGCCGGCCTCGACATCGAGTCCATCGAGGAGTTCCGGAGCACCTGCGCGGCGACGGGCCTGACCGCGGCGTGCTGCGCGCTGCCGGTACTGGGTCAGGCCCTGTTGTGCACCGTCGCGTGAGCGGTCTGAGACGCTGTTCTAAATGGTTTAATTTGGGGAGTTATGGGTTTGGTGTTCCTGCGGCAGCCCTCGGGACGGCGCAGTAGGCGAGGTTTCTGGCGTGTTGGTGGCGGCGGTGGCGCACATTCTAGACTTCGACACTGTTTTTTAATATTTCTGTAACATTCTTGGGCCTCGCCTGATCCTAGATATTCTTTGCTGCTGCAGCATTCTTCTTTCACATAGCCGCTTACACATGGAGTTTCTGTTTGCATTGATCTTCTTCTCGCTGTCTGTACGTGAGTTTCGTCCCCGTGGCCTCTTCGACGTGCTCTTCCACTCTTCCCCGATTTCTATCCACATGTGCCGCCTTTCTAGATCTTGTCCTCCTCGATCTTGTCCTCATCTTTCTCTTTCTCACCGGCCAAGGCGCGTTTGCCCAATCTGCTGACAATCTCGACGGTCACCACCGTCGCTCGAACCACCTGATCCATGACCGCTGCCCCGTATCCTCCCGTGGCGGCGCTCTGAAAGTAGGAGAAGGCAGACTTCGCCGGGATAAACCCGCCGAACCCCACCTGAGCGCGCGCCGCAGCGGTTCCTTGGCATCGTTAGTTAGTAGACTGTACGCGTAGATATGAGGCATCAACAACATACCAGCGGCAACCCCGGTGACCCCGAACCCGAGAGCCCTGAATACCGGGCCCCAAAACATACCCGGGGCGACAATCACAGCCACCTTTGCCGCGTCTCCGGCGGCGTGGAGGATCGTGCGGCCGGGATCTTCACGCATATTTTCGTTAGCTTTGTCGGCCCACGCGCTAGCCCCTTGGAGCGCGCTATCGATCGCTCCGCCTGCGTCGGCTAGCGCAACGCTCAAGTGGGCGCGAGGATTCGCCAAGACGTCCGGGAGCGGGTTTTCCGGACCCCAGGCTCCTCCGTCCGGGGGGCGCGAGCCGTCGCCAAGATCGGCCTGCTCGAAGGTCGCCTTGACATCCTTGCCGGCCTGGGACAGCATGCGGCTCGCGCCCTTAGCGGCGTTGTCGAGGGCCGATCCGGTGCTCGCCAACAAGTCGGACAATTGTAGGGCTGGCAAGGCCGGGAACCCCTGAGCGCCGTCCGAGAGGCAGTACAAAACGACAGCCGAGCTCTTTAGAACCTTCATCGCTTCTTCTCGCTGAAAGCTAACTTAAGTACACTAGAGGTGTATATAAATAGGGATGTACAAGCTGGTGGGGGTGGTGCTAGGGGGGATGACAAAGAACCAGAGATGTCGGCGATGTCGGCCTAGAGAATTAATTAGTGTTAGGGCTGCTAGGTTAGGCTTGCTTATTTTATACCTGCACCCAACAAGTACGTACGTAATCAGAGCAGAATGCGGGGACGCATAATTCCGGGATGCGTGCCATAACTCCGGTAGCTTATCGATCGCTGCCCCTTTTCTTTCCGGGGGTGACCGATCGCCCTCTCCACGTTCACAGTCGCCTCGCTCTTGATCTAATACCCCATAACGCCGTGCGCCACGAAGTGCACGCCGCCTGGTCCCGGCCGCCAACAACCACACAGGAATATAATACGGTCGCAAACGAAGACGAGGGAAAGAAAAAAAACACCCTCAGACAGTGCAGCGTGTCCCTATTCGACGAACCTCAAAAAACAAGCTCACGGCACACCCCGGCAGACCTGCACCCGACCGACCGATATCCAGTGCGAGAGCGAATGTCACTTGTCCTTCGGGTGCATGACGGGCAGGTAGGTGTAGGCCGGTGGGCGACCCTATTGTTTGGAGACATGTCGGAAGAGAGAGGACGCGTGAGCGGCGGATGGTCGACCCCGTCGAGCATTTCAGATCCGCCCGCCCATGCATAACACTGGCGGCATGCCTTGCGACATTCGGCGCCCAACAGCCCCCGGCCCCAGGTCTACGGCAGGAAACAAGCCGTGCCAACGCTTACGTGATACGTCAAGTCCATCCCCGGACACAGTTGTCTTCTGCTGATGGCATTATTCGTATCCCTTTCTACGACTGAGCAAGGGGAAGAACGTACGGAAGCTATGCCTGATCCCTAAGCGTGTAGTATATATTGGGTATATCATATCCTATGTGCACCCAACGAAGTAGCTATTTTCCAATTTTGGTCCCAATGGCCGGTTCCATAGCCCTGCCACAAATACACAAACCCTCGCCTGTCTATTGGAACTTACAACCCATTCATCCTGCTATGTATTTGGGCCCTATCGCCAACCTGCGAAGGAATCGGGTGTAAATACACCCAAGCTGTGCGGATATACGCAGCTGCAAAACGAACGTAGAATATGCATCGGTTCCCCGAGAACCGTGCGGGGGTAGCATCAACGAGTTCCGGAACTACCGATCCCCCCAGGGGCTAGGAGCGGCTGGTTCTCGCCCACCCCTTGAACGCTTTCGCGGTCGAGGGCACGTTCGATTTCTTCCTGGGTGTCGGCATAGGCCTGTAGATGAGCTGAATACGGCCCGGGTGACGGTAGAACCCTGGGAGTAGTGCGTCGGTTGTACGCTGGTCGTTGTGGGGTATGGGGTTGGCGGCTAAACTCGTCGCGCTCCTTCTGTGACGCCCATTCGTACGAGATAGCCATGGCCAACAAGCTACCCTGCATTATGGCAGACGTGACATAGACTCCCCAAGAGCTCCAGCCCGCCCAGCCGAGGCGTGCCGCGAGACTGCCAGCGAAGAGGAGCCCACCCGGCGTCTGTATGCACATCATCAGGATGCTCAGGCTGCCGGCATGCTTGAGGTGGTACGTAGTCCAGATCTGGGGTATGTATTGGATGGCGGCGAGCAGGGCGGCCATAATCCCGAGCACATTTGCCCAGGCGCCCAGGTACGAGGGAGCCCAAAGGGCAAACGCAGCTGATATAATCACGACCAAGAGCCCGTGGATTAGGCATAACGCGGCGACGATAACGGCGGTTCTCCACGTGGGTTGGTCGGGATCGAGCTCGAGCTCTTCTTCCGGCACGTCGGCATCATCTTGTCGGAAAAAGATTAGGAACAGAGCCAGGCTATGCCAGGTTAGCGCTATGCCAGCACGTGTATCTCGGAGGGAGGGGTCGCGAACATGACGGCGAAACAAATCCACTGCGTGCCGATCTGGGCAATTCCCAGCAGGCCCGCGACACACTCGAACGGACTGACTTCTTTGCAGCACGAGACATCGGCCCGGGACTGGGGTAGCGTAAGGATGTTGCCAAATTGGGCGTTCGCGGACGTGACACCGAGGAGGACGAAGTACGGAGAGATGCCTTCCGAGGAGCCGCGAGAAATGATGCGATAGTGTTGGGTGACGTAGGAGAACATGATGCCGATGATGATGAGACTGGGCGGGCACGCAGATCAGTTAGCATCGTAGAGGTGGCGGTAGCAAGAAGGGTCGAGGGAACGCCGAGTACTGACATGGAAATGAAGAAATTCGTGAAGCTACCCTCGCGGAGCGCATCGCAACGGTCGGCGATGAAGAGGCTATCCATGGTGAGCGACTGCAGGCTAGTATGCCAGGCCGCCAAACTCGAGATGGTCAAGGGATGTCGAAGGGGGGACGTCGGGCGTGCGAAGCTTTGTCTCCGGGAGCTTCGCTACGAGCGAGCTGGAATGACGCCAGTACGGACCAACCTGGGGTTGCGGCCAGGCAGACGAGAACGATGATCCCGGAAAGGGGATTGAGGGATGCAGTTCGGATGGGACATAAAAGACGAAGAGCGTTCGTGGCGCGTCAAGATATAGGAGAGCTCGGCCACGCACTACGGAAGATGCATGGCGGTAAGTAAGGTCGGTCAGGGTGAGGTTGTGGTAAAAGGCGACGGTTGAGGAGGTGCGCAAGCCTCACCTAGTCTTGGGCACGCCAGACCGGGACGCGGCCAGGGTCAAATGGGAACCTTCAGGATGCCACGGGATGACCAGAGCCAAGGGGACGAGGGTTGCAGTATCTGGTACCATGGTGCGCTGCCAAATCTCAGTTTCCAGGTGTGTACTGCGACAACGACCATACGCACATGCCGGGTTGCTTGGAGCACAGGTATTTAGGTACCTAGTACTTCGGGTATGGCAAGACCCCAGCGGCAGCCCACGCGGCAGCTGCAGCAACCCGCCAATCCCTGGCCCTGGAAGCAGGTACTGTTACGTTAAGTACGTGTAGTGCCACAGCAGTTGTCGGGTACCTAGGTCCTTAGGTAGATTAGGTACCTAGGTAGGTAGGTACATTCCGTAGAATATAGGTTATCCCATGCACCAATCAGAGGACCCGTACTCCGTCGATGTGGCCGGTACCTCCCAACGCCACGTACGTACGCGCAGGAGGCAGGTACCGGTGCCTGGCCTGTAGCTTGCTCCATTACAGATTCAGTTAGGTGCCCAGGTGCTTACCAGGGTACAACCTCCTTTTGCTCCCCTGCCCCAAAGGTGGAGGAACACGTACCCACATACCAAGCCCCGGATCGCGCTACGTAGCGAAGCGCACGTTTCAACAGCCACCTCAGGTACGGCCACATGCGCATCAGATCAACACGGCGAACCCTGGACATCGCAGTCACGTATCGACACGAAAACGCATCCAACTACCCACGGGTGCACGTGGATGGGTGGATGACGTCTACGTATATGGACCAGCCCCATCCGTTGCCCTGAGGCGCCCAACCCGCTGACGCCCCAGTCGGAAATGAGAACCTGGGACACCGGAACTGCCGGACGACGCATCGCCCAGAGACGACGATGATGCCCCTCTCGGGCCAGAAGGTAGAGCTGCTCGCCTCGACGGGGGACACGACCGTCGCGCGGCAGTCGCCGCCGGAGGGAGCAGAGGACGCGACGTCCTCGCCGCGTCCCGACAGGAGAGCCGACGATGGCGACGGCGGTCTGAGGGGGTACTTTGAGACGGCCCAGTGGACCGCCGACGGCACCACCATCCTGACGTCCTCCTCCTCCAACCTCGTCTCCGGCTTCGTCGTGCCGGCGGACCTGCTCTCGCCCGCCGCCCGCCGCCCGCTCGCGCTCGTCCCGCAGGCCACCATCCAGCTTCCGGAGCCGAGCAACGTCCTGGCCGGCGCGCCCTACTTCCGGCTCGCCGAGCCCTGGACGCAGCAGCTCCTCGTGTCGAGCTACGACCACCCGATCCAGCTCTTCTACCTCTCCTCCGCCGACGCCTCCTCTTCTTCTTCGTCGCCCTCCCCGGCCGCCTCCTACCCCTTCGTCAAGGAGCGCTCCGAGACCTTCCTGGCCGCCACCTCCCTCGCCTGGCCCGCGCCCGGCACCCACTTCGTCGCTGGTGCCCGCAACCTGCTGGCCTGGTTTGACGTCGGCCGCGCCGGCGCCGGCACCGAGCCCCTCCTGCGCGTCAAGACCATCCCCTCCGAGCGCCACCTCGCCAAGGGCGGCGGCGTCGGCATGCGCGGCACCGTCTCCGCCCTCGCTGCCTGCCCCGCCCCCGACGGCCTCGTCGCCGCCGGCACCTGGACGCGCTGGGTCGGGCTCTACGACCTCCCGCGCGCCGGCGCCTGCGTCGCCACCTGGAGCGTCGCGCCCGCGCCCGTCGAGGCCGCCGGCGTCGGCGGCGACGGCGTCACGCAGACCCTCTGGAGCCCCTGCGGCCGGTACCTCCTGGTCGGGGAGCGCAAGTCGACCGGCGTGCTTGTCTACGACGTGCGCGTCGCCGGCAGGCTGCTCGGGTGGCTGTCGGACCGCGAGGCCCTGGGGAACCAGCGCATCAACGGCGACGTGTTTGCCGGGCAGGACGGGGCCGGCTTCGAGGTGTGGTCCGGCACGACCCGCGGCGCCGTTAAAGTGTGGGAGGGCGTCGGCAACCGCGAGGGCGCGCACCCCCCGAGCTGGCAGTGGGCCGCACACCGCAGATCCACCGTGGGCAGCACCTGCGTGCACCAGAGCGGCTCGGTTGTTGCTACCTGTTCTGGGTCGTGGGAGTTTCCCGATAGCGAGGATGGAAGCGAAAGCGAGGGCCGGTCTCAGACCGACGGCAGTAGCGCCAGCGCCGGTGATGAAAGCCGGACCTCGAGGGAGGAGACAGCCTGGATGCGCAGGCGGAATAAGGAAAGTAGCTTGAAGATATGGGGTATAGGGAGCAACGACGAGGAGACGGCGAGTCCCCGGGAAAATACTGGAAGCGCTGAATAGGTAGGTAACGAGGCCATTGCTGGAATAATACGCATCCATTCAATCATTTCTACCTTGTCCTTGCCGTCTATTACTCTTCGATGTGCAGGTTTCGAGGAGAGATAATGGCCATGTACCGAACCCCGATATTTTCTAAGCGGGCAGCACACACCTTCAATTACTCCATTTTGTCTCCAAGACCTTGTTAACTCGCTGCAACACTCTCTCTCCGCCCATAAGGTCACGAAACTCTCGCACCCTCTCCTCCGATGTCATCCTCACGAATGCTGACAGCCCGTACCTGCCAGCCTCGTGGTCCTCTTCCGGGACGTCGTCGGGGGGTCTTAGCCGCCCTAATATAGCCTGCGCGGCGAATGCATTCAGTCCCGCACGCCTCAGGAATAACTCCCACAGCGTCTCTCCTTGAATTAGCGTGTCCTCTACCGTGGCCGCCTCCGGTGCGTGCCGCATCAGGATTGCAACCAGCCAACTCGCTAGCGTCTCGTTACCGCCCCCAACGTAATATACCTGCGCGCCCGTGTCCAGCCCGGTGACGAAGCCGACAAAGTCGGTGTAGCCGGCGCACTCGGAGGCTGTCAGATTACGCGCCGCCTCGTCAATGCGGTTTGCTTCGGAAACGAGGATAATGAGGCGCTCGTACCGGAGCGCGACGCTGCGAACGCGCTCACGGATCGCCGCGAGACCGGCTTTGCCCTTATTTCCGTTATCGCACGGAACCGGCTTCTGTATAGCCTTGAGCAGTGTAGTCACCATGATCCCCGTAGTCGGCGAGGCGATTATATCCGCCTCAGCGGCGAGCGGCGATACCAGTGGTGAGCGCACCACCGAGTTCCGACCCCAAGCCAGGGTATTCCATCTGTCGAAGTCCCGCTCAATAATCCGAGCATTCGGATACAGCTTTTCTAGACGCGAGAATATTCCGCGCTCTAGCGTTAACGCTTTGACTATTTTCGTCGGCGGGGGTGTCCGCTCTAGTTCCGGGATAGGGGCTGGAGCCGGTGCCCTCTTCTCCAGATTGATTCCTGGAGTCGGGGGCGCCTGGGATTCAATACTAGCCCTTATAGAACTCATCTGGTCGGCCGCTGCTTTAGATTTTGCGGAGGGGGGCCTTTTCATTTTCCTTCGCCTCTTCGAAGGGTGGAATTCGACATAGTTTGATAGCAAAGTCGACGTCGCGAAGGGGTCACTGCATCCAAGAAGAAGACTAGGCGCTTGACTACTGGACGATGCCAGAATTGTCGGTGCTGTATTTTCAGTGACTTTGACAAGTTCAATCGGCGATGCCGAACCACGGCTCCTATCAGGCCCAGGGTCTGGGTTACTAAGCTCAGCACGCCTTTTCCTAAGCAGTGAGTCCAGACTTCTGCTGTTTTCTTGGTCAGTAGGAGGAGGGTCTAGTTCGTCCTCTCCCTCTTCGGGGTCCCGGAGGATCGCTAGACCTGGATATTTCCATACATAATCCGCGCTCGTCGGTACCTTATCGAGGTTTACAGGTCCCAGCAATTCTTCAATGGTCCCAGCGTCGTCGATAAACTCTCTCGCCGAGAAACGGCTCATCTTGTATGCAAACGGAGCCCAGCGAAGCCGGTTTTCGGCCTGGGAATCTTTTGGCCAGGGTGCGACAGCAAAAGTCTTACAAGTCTCTTTTATCCAAGCCAACTGCGATGCCGGATCTAGCGATATGTTTTGCCAGTCGGGCTTTGGTATCGAGTAATCCAGAGCCGGGACCTCTACGCGGGCGGTCGCATCTGCAGTTTGTAGATATTCCTGCTCAACCCTTCTTTTCACATCGGTAGCTCTCTCGTGAAATACCCCCAGGGTCTCGTCACTGAAGATAGCATCGCCGCGGTCTTCTCCTTCGGTGTTCGAAGGGTCCGACTGATCTGTAGCTAGGACCTGGTCAATATCCACTCCCTGAATGAACCGCGGCGTATCTATTGCCAGCTCGGAAGCGCAGAAGGAGTCCACTGGGGTTAGTTTCCCTTCCAGTTTCAGCGAACGTAGGCTCCGATATTGTGGCGCAAGCAGTGGAACTTCCTCGGAGGGGGATCTGGCAGTGGTTGTGAGGCGTAGAGGAGACGGAATGGCGACGTCACAAGCATCTTGCCGAAATATATCGGCTTCGACTCTATCCAAGTCAGTATCGAGCAAGGTACTAACATCCGATGACACGGGGACTTCACAGGTGTCGTCATCAGGAACAAAGTACCCCTCATCTCGGTCAATGGGGCTGAGTGGAGGCGTGATAGCTAAATCTTGACGATGCTTCCCGTGGTCTATCAGCACATGCGGTACTAAGAGACGTACGAAATCTATGACTTACCTTCCGACATGGTACGTCGATCTCATCGAAAAATTCTTGTAGATTATCATCACACCATGTATCTTTCATTGCGCGGGAGAGATGGAGCAAAGCTTGTCTGGGGACGTCCAACATTTCCCCGCGGGTTTCCCTTTCCAACCCCTCCCTATATTGGAACGCCGTGTCCGGGAACGTAAGAGCCTGGTCTAATTGTGGGTTGAGAGGCTCGGACGGAATTTTCGTAACGTCTATGTCGACCCGCCTCCTTTCCCGGACGGATCTCGCTAGTTCTCTACAGTCGTACTCAGGATCGTTACGAAGCAACGGGGTTTCCAATTTCAACCCGGCGAAGCTTGCAAAGGAAGCCTGACTCAATTTCTCGGTGTCGATCGCCTCGACGGAGGCGGCGCTTCGCAGTAGCTCGAGCGAATCCTTAGGTATGCTAAGCTGCTCAGTTCCAGGGGTTAGAGGAGGTATTGGTAATGAGGGAATAGGGATGCTATCAGCCGACTCGCCCACATCACTAGGGGGGAATAGCAGATGCAGGCTCCTTTCTCTGAATCGGGCGAGCAAGGGGAATATATCGACTTGAGAGTCGACGGTCAAGCCGTTCGCGCGCGCATACTCGTCCAGCCGCGAACCGACGGTGTCGATGGGGACCTCGTCTTGCTCCATTGTGTTGCTGAGCATATATCCCCTACGTGTCAAGTGGCGAGACGGGAGGCGATGAAGGTTGGAGCACCAGGGCAGTTAACCCTACCCAAAGGTATTGGCCATAGTCTATGTACGTGTCATAATCTGTTAGGCAACTTGGCTAGGTAACTCGTCCTTCCAAACACTGGAAACACGACCAATAACTCAAAGGACAGTCATTCCGGGGTTCCAGCAGTGCACCCAGGTACTAACCTACGTGCCTGAGGTATAGGTGGTAGGTACCTGTAGATAATGTACCTCTATTCAATGCCCGGTGATACTTAAAACCGGATGTAGCTGCATAATATCAAGCTCGAGGCGGCTCTACCGGGACTAACCCCTAAGAGAGGTTCATCCCATATTACGGATAATATAACCGCATGCTACATACTGTAGTAGGCACCTAAGCTCCAACTCCGTGGGCTGTCGTCGCAAATATAAATCATGCGACAGCCTGCAGCTGGCCTGCTCAGTTCTGAAGAAAGAAGACACGAACCGAGAACAATGAAGCTTTGCGGTGAGGGCGAAAAGAGGACCTTTCGGTTGCGGAAGGGAGCGAATCGCTGGTGTGACAAAGCCGCGATCATATATAGGGCAGTAACAGAGGTAAGTATCGAGCCGTATATTCTCTCACGTAACCCGCGGTCTAGAGACTCCTTCTACCCTTCTGTCTAATGGCGGTATCGGCGTTTGCTGCTCGCGGAGTCCCTCCGTACCCGAAGTTCATACCGTATATGCGGGGAGTTCTTATCCTTATCTCCATCGTCATCCTAGGTTTGGCTGCTTACGCGATATCCGTGAACGGAGAGGCGCCGAGTGGCCATTCCTCCGGTGTCCCTGGCTACCTGCTCTTCCTCGTATGATCAACCCCCCGTCGGCATTTATGCAGTTGTGTTCTCCTCTTACCAACTTGATAGGTCGTTTTCACGTGGGTTGCTCACGGCATTCCCATCATCCTCGAAGTCATAGCGCCTAGATTCTACCATCGCCTCGGTGTTCTGGTCTTGTACACCCTTAGCGTCCTCTTCTGGCTGATAGGCTGGGCCTGGAGCGCATCGTGGGCGTCGTATGCCCTCTCGCTTGACAACACCGACGAGAAATGGGCTAACGGGGGTTCCTGGAAAACGTTGGGGTCTGCTCTGGGGGCCTCTGCCGGGTTTGGTGCCGTCACCTGGATTGTCGCCATCGTCGAACTCGTCTTCTTCTGCCGCGGCTGCCTTCAGGACCCCGATTCTAGCCACGTCAAGCACGTCGAGCTAAGATAAACCCGTGCGGAAATCACCCCAAGCATTCCGTCCCGCGCATACGGTTCGTGCGCCTTCGTCATATCGAATCTCGCGACCGGTATACGTTAATAGACGATCTTGCCGAGTTCGGCCAGGACCAAGAATCTGGAGGCCGATCGTGGCGTGACATCCCGGGAGCCGCGTCTCTCTCCCTTGTCTACCCGATCATACTACCACCTACTTAGTAGTATCTGGTTCCCAATCTAGGGTACTGCAGCTTGCTTTTGGGCAAGTTTCGGTACAGGTAGAGGAGGGATGCTACATTAGGGTTAGCGTAAATAGGTGGCGGCAGCCTATCCCCCTCTCCTGGCGGCCAGCATGCGTTATGGTTCTGGGACCAGGTCCGCGGTATGCCACACATACAAGGGATAACGACGCATACTCATATGCCGGCGTGCAAAGCTTTCGGCCACCTGCTATCCTGGCACGGCATGTGGGAGGGAGGGCCTGCTTAGTCCAGCCACTCGGAAAGACATGCATCGTCGCCTTGAAATTGCCGTTTCCTTCGTCAACCGTCGGAAGATGACAAGTTGATGTCGTAAGGGGGGTGGGGGAGGGGGATAAGCTCGCCGCCAATCAGGTCTGGTTTGGAAGCGCATGATGCCTGGTGCGAATATCTCTTGAGTTGCGTCCCATCTCTGTTCTCTGTCAGACAACCTAGGTCGGTCTTGGCCTGGCAGTGAGAGTGTGCTCGTCCGTTGGCCGAATACGGGCAGTGGTAGGTATTCCAGGTTGAGGTAGGGAAGAGGTGGGTAGATGCGGAGGATAAGCATGAAGCATGAAGATGTTGGTGCTGAGGTTAGGTAGGTACTTACCTGGTAGCGATATGTAGCATATGATAGGTACCTGAATATAGGCATAAGCATCAAAGCATGGGCACGGGCACGGGCATTAGGCAAAGGTTGGCGTGCAGGTATGGAGGGTTGGCGTGCAGGTAGGGAGGATAGGCGGCAGACGGGGAGTTCGAGGGCCGGGGAATTGTCGGGGTGTGATTGGGGAAAGTCGAAGTCCGTGGGCGCCAATGCCCGAAGCAGCTAGAGCCGGCAAGGTACCTACGTAACGGCCTGCCCCATGCTCTTCCCTCCAGCCATGCGTTGGATTCTGGTCCAAGCCCTTCATACCATCGGCCGCCGGGTTTTATGTAGACCGTTACAACCGTTCAAACCGCAGAGTCGGCCACTGCTATAGCGACAGCGTCAGCCCTCTAGCATTAGGCGGTCGTCTTTGCCTGATTAGTTTAATTTTTTTTTCCCTTATCCCCAAGGCCTGTATTTATTTTGAGAATGGATCCTTCGTCGCTCGACCCACGCCTCCGCGACGCTGCCAACGACTCAATTGTCGTCAACGGGCCGACGCCAAACCCATCCCAGCAACGTGTCGCCGTCGCTACCCTCCCCGCCTCAGCATTACCGCCGCTATCCATCCCGGTTGAGCTTCCCGAATCACCGCTCCAGCGCCAGCGCCAGCTCCAAGCCCAATCCGCAGCCGTCGCAGCGGCAGAAATCGCAGCGGCAACGACGGCAACATCGACAGCGACGACGTCAGCAGCCGGGCCTTCGCCGGTGTCTTCTGCCGCCGGCTTTACCCCCCAGACTCCCACCAACCACCCACGTCCGACCACGGGCGACACACCTGGCGCGTCTGGCGCCACCCCCCAAGATCCCAATGACCCCAAGCGGCCGCGGGCCTGCGAGGCCTGCCGCGGATTGAAAGTGAAGTGCGAGCCCGATGCAGCGAACCCCGACGGTCCGTGCAAGCGATGCGCGAAGGCGGGACGGAACTGTCTTGTGACGCAGCCCACGCGTAAGAGGCAGAAGAAGACGGACAGCCGTGTCGCCGAGCTGGAGAAGAAGATAGACGCCCTGACCGCAAGCCTGCAGGCGACGAGGGGGACGCCCAGCACTCAGCAAGCCCCGCCAGAGGACCGCAATGGTTACAGCACCCCTTATTATGCTGGTGCCGCCAGAGATTGGGGGGCCCCGCCGTCGCGAGACCACCCACCTCAGTATCCTCCCGAACACGACAAGCGTCCCTTCGCGGCGCCGGTCCCCATGGCCGGCCAGAAGCGCAAGCTTACCGAATCCATCGGCAGCTCCCCTGAAGCGGCCAGCGTCTCGCCGGCACCTGCTAAATCCGCCACCGGGCCCGACCAGCAACCCGACATAGTCGACCGCGGGATAATAACCATGAACGAAGCTGCCGCCCTCTTCGCCCGGTACACGGGGGACATGGTACCGCATCTACCCGCCGTCGTCTTCCATGAAGGCACGACGGCTGCCGAAATTCGAAAGACCAAGCCAATCCTCTTCCTGTCCATCATGGCAGCCGCTTCCTCCGAAATGCCAAAGCTCCAGCGCCAACTCGTAAAGGAGCTCATGCAGATATTCGGCGATCGCGTCATCGTCTCGGGCGGGAAGTCGTTAGAGTTGGTCCAGGCCTTGCTGGTCAGCGTAATTTGGTACTATCCGCCGGAGCACTTCGAAGAGCTCAAGTTCTACCAATTTGTGCATTTGGCGGCCGTCATGTCGATCGACATCGGTCTCGGCAGGAGGAAGAACAACCCAAAGTCTCGGCTTATACCGTACACCTGGCGCGACCATCCGTTCCGGAAGCTCCCCCTTCCCGACCCTACGACGATCGAGTCGCGGCGAACATGGCTTGCAGTGTATTTCTTGGCGTCCAACGTAGCCATGGCTCTGCATCGTCCGAACCTAATTCGGTGGCAGGCTTTTATGACGGAGTGCATGGATATCCTGGAGTCTTCCCCGCAAGCTGCACCCACTGATAAGTATCTCTGCCACCTGGTCTGGACCCATCGGCTCGCCGAAGAGGTTGGCATCCAGTTCTCTATGGATGACCCGACCGTCTTCATCAACATCACCGAACAGAAAGTGCAGTATGCCCTGCGAGGGTTCGAGCGCGACCTTTCCAAGTATAGCGAATCTATTTCCAAGGCTGATAAGAAACGTGAGTGCTCAATCCGTCACAGCGCGTAGCATTGTCTAACTGGGAGACAGCGTTTCTCCTGCTTAGTTTCCATGTATTGAACTTATACATGCACGAGATCGCCTTATATGTAGATAAGAGCCCGGAAGAGTGCCGCCCCCCCTGCAATGCTGACTCTCTTCGGGAACCCATACCGGGTTTGGAGGAGACGCTCACACCGTCACACATCAGCGCCCTGTCGTCTTGCCTCACTGCGATCGACGGTATCTTCGAGACGTTTCTATCCATGAACGTCCAGAGTATCCGCTGTATCCCGATTTTCACCTTCGTCCGGGTCGCTTATGCCGTGGTTGTACTCATCAAGATGTACTTCAGCGCCAGTAATTCGAACTCGGAGCTTGGTAAGGTCATCAATAAGGATAACATGAAAGTCGCGGAGTATCTCGAAAAGCTTCTCGAAAAGTTTCGCGAGGTCGCCGCATCTGATAAATCACGCCCAGCAAGCAAATTTCTGCTCGTCCTAGCCATGCTTCGCAGTTGGTTCTATAAGCAAGGCCAACAGGGGAAGCCTCAGCAGGACGAACCACCGGAGCAATCCGTGGAGCCTCAAGGCACTAGTGAGGCAGCCGTCTCGAAGGAGAATCACAATGATGACAACTTACGACAACAGCAACAACACCAGCATCAACAGCACCAGCAGCAGTCGAACTCGGGTCCAACCAACACCCCGCTACAGCTGCTTTCCGAAATAGCGACTGGAAATGGTCCGTCACATAGCAATGGTCAGAACCCAATCTCACGGCCGGGGACAGACCCGCACGTGCAGTCCTATAGCAGCAACCAGGCCTGGCTTCGGACGGTACCCCAACCCCCGCAACCCTTCCTGTACGACCCGGCGACAGCCTGCGCCGGAGCCACGCCCGAGTCGGCGGCGGCGGCGGCGGCGGGGGCAGGGATGCCGAGGATAGCGGGCATGACGGGTCAGACGCTCATGCCGTGGATGATGGGAGCGCCGCTGGGCGTGGGCGACTTCGAGTACTCGAGCCTCGGGGACGGGTTCGAGCAGGCTATGGGCCTGACGCTGACGGGGTTCGGCGGCGGCAGCCCGGGCGACCCGGCCAGCCTCGAGGACACGATGCGCTACATCATGCAGAACGAGATGCTCGGGCCCATACCCGACGAGTACGCCTCGGTGCCGCCGCCGCCGCCGCCGCCGCAACCCCAGCCCCAGCCCCTACCCCAGCCGCGCTCTGCCCATCCGCCGCAGGGCGGGGCGAGGGGGTTCTTCCAGTTCTGAACGTCCCGTCGTCGGAGGCAGGCATCATTCTTTGCCATTTCATGGAAATACCCCGCCCCAATATCCCAATTGTTGTCGTTGTCGTTGTCGTGAATACCCGCCCCCTTCGCCCAAGCAGGGACGCGCGGCCGGCTAGCCCGCGCCAGGCCTCTCTCTCTCTGTCATTCTCTTTTTTTATTTTTCTTCCCAGCTAACTATCGCGGTCCCTTGTACGATGAGTTGAATAGGCATAGGCTCGGGGTATAGGTAGCGCAGACGAGTCATACGGGTAGCTACCTAGCGCTACCTAGGCCAGGTAGCGTTTCCCCTATCGACAAAGTGGCGTCCCCCTCCGACACGTTGTTGCGGGGCACAGGGGCAAGCTCGGCTTTTCCCTCCCCCCTTCCCCCCCGCCTTGCGGATGGGCGGATGGGATGGACGGACGGACGGACGGATGGATGGGGGTCACGGCGAACGGCGCTACGGATGCGATGCTTCCCGCGAGCAAGCGGGAATCGGATTTCGGACCCGGGTAGGGGAGAGGAAGAGAGAACGGGGCGGACGGGCGGGCGGGCGCGCTGTGCAGCGCGGGAGTCGGCGTGGTATGGTGCCGGTTACTATCACGGGGCGTGTGTGAGTCTGCCAATATCGTCGCTTACTTGCTGATTTGATCTTGCCGTCGCGGCTGGTGGCCCAGCCATATATATATGTACAGTTTTATTCGATGCCGGTGTGTTTACTACGGGTGCGGAGAGGGAAGGGAAAGGCTCAAAAGGTTCCGGAATCATAATTGCTTGACGATCACGGTTAGTTTGGGGGCGTTCACTCGAGGGCGTACCGATCTGCGAAGAAAGTATCTCCAGCCGTAGTTTCCGACGAGTGGGAACTTTGTCATTCTTATCACTACTTCTCACAAACAACATGTGGTTCTGGCTAGATTCCGCGGGTGCTTATGTCCCCAGTCTTCCTCTCACAACGGCAGCATCCACGCGGTCACATCGTGTCATCGTATATCCCCTGTCTTCCGAGCTTAATTGCATTCATTATCTTGTGGAATAGATGTTGGGCTAGCCATTGTCCGATACGGGCCAGAAGAAGGAAAAAAATTCCCAGTCCAGCCCCCCCCGTCCCAGCCTGACGCCGCAACCATAGAAATGCAGCTCAGCCGAAGCAATCGAGTAGTACCCCCCCCCATTAACTCCATTGAATTTCCGTGATGTTCCATGCTCCGTCCATGAGAAGGTGCGAAAGACATTATTAACCGAGCCTCGGGGAAAACGGGCACTACGGAGAAAGACATCCATTGTTAGGAGTTAGGCAGTTATCACCGGTTCCAGAAAATCGTCTTAGTATCGCGTTGTCACCCCCAGACGCGAAGGGGGTTGATTGCTCCCGGCCAATCCCGCGAGAACGGCAAGTATTTTTAGCCACCCAATCGCGACGCCGTTAAATTTGACGAGACCTTGAGCTTGCATATGCTGTCAAGAGCGAGCAAAGGGAATAACACGAAGATAGCCGGGGGGTGGTGCCTGTCTGATTCTTCCGGTCGCGCGCAACCGGTGAGATACGAGTCCTGGCCGCAGTAGTTACGCCGCGCCGTCAGACATGGTTGTGTGTCTCGGTTCATTTTTGAGTGTGATGCCTGCAGAGACACCGAGACGGGGCTCAATCCATGTAGAAATCCCCCTTGAGGATGCGCTCTTGCATGTGATCTGGCTTGGGCCTCTCGGGGGGCTTAGGCTTCACAGCAGCAGCCTGCTGGGGAGGGGCAGGCATGTCGGAAACGGACTTGGCTCGGTCGTGGTAGCCGCTCTGGCGAGGCGGGGAACCGTAGGCGCTGGCTCCGAAAGTTGGGCGATGGCCTGAGACGCTGCTTTCGGCGCGAGACCTAAGCTGCTCAGACCAGTTATAGCCATTGTCTGCCCGAGCAGAAAAAGAGTCAGAAGGTGCTCTGTAAGGTAGTGTGTTGCTTGCCTGAGAGGTGCTCGCCCGTCTGGCGGCGTCCGACCAAGACGGAACACCGATACGCTGGGGATGCGAAGTCACGGAAGGGAATCTAGAATGCTGGGGAGGCATACCAGACGATCCGGGGCTGCCAGTGCGCAGGTTGCGCATAGCCTGGGCGCCGAAACTCATGCGGCGAGCAAAGGGCGAGGTGCCTGTTTTGGCAGCTTCTTCGTCATCGACAGCACTCTCGTCGATGGAGTCCGAATTGTTGGTGGAGATGCTGCCCCTCCGAATGCCAAACGGGGCCGTTGCCGAGTTGGGAGATGCACCGGACAGGCCTAACGTGGTAACAGAGAGCCGGCGGCGCTGTTCCCGTGCAGCAGCAGAGGTGGCCGATTCGCGGTTGTTGCTAGTGGAGATCGAGTTGCTTCGGTGAAAGAGGTTAGAAAAAGCGGCAGTGGTGACGGAGCCGCGGCGGTCATTAGGTGCCCCGTTGTTGGGATTGTCGCCCGACATCATGATGGTAGTGGTAATTTCAACGTTTTCAGCAGCAGGTTTCAGTATGGGTAGTAGAGGCAAGAAAACTCCGGGGGACTGGCGTGTCTTTATGTACCTAGCAGGATCGCACGATGGGCCGCGGACAGTGCATGCCCAGCCGCAGCGGTGGTATGATGTGGTGCTAAAGTGCTAGCGGAGGGTGAAACAAGAGGCCAACTGCGTGGACTGATGATGGTATACGATCGAGACCTGATCCCGGGCCTGGGGCGGAAAGCAGCAGGAAGACGGGCGGCAGTGCTTGGGTGGAGGGGGCCCTGAGACGAGATGTGTAGTTTCTTTGTGGGTACCAGCACGAATGATATCGTCCTTTTGAGGAGGAGGGACGACTCGGATACGACAATAGACAGGCGATCAGGCGTCTATCTTTCCTTTGACATGACCAGAGACGGGCGCAGGCCAGCTCCAACGGTAGCGCGTCACGACAGCCAGCTCAACAATGGTTTCCACCCTGCGTAGTATTTGGAGGCGCCGTATCGAGCTTGGCTGACTCGGGAACACGCCGACGACGATCAGTGCTCGCAAGACTCGAGCGGGGTAATCCAGACCGCCAGCGGCGATTTCAAGCGTCGACTTGGCCGAACCGAATACTGCTTTGGATATTGTCCAGGGCGGCGCTGGTTGGACTGGAGAGGGCCGGGAGCAATTGGAGCCCGGGGGACGCAGGACTGGGTACGGAAATACGAAGGCGAACCGGGGTAAAGGATTAGGGATGATATGCTATCGGCGAGGATGTTGAATGGGTGGGCTCGACATATGTAGGGGAAGAGAAACCTTACGGGGGGGACGGGGATGGTGGGATCGATTGATGGAGAGAGGGCTGAGATGAAGAAGTGGGATGGGATGGGACAGATGGGCGCTGATATCTACATATGTACGATGCCTCGACCAACGCTTGAGGTAGGAATGCTGTAGCCTGTAATGCGTACGAAGTTAGGTTGTAGTAGGGGGAGGTACCTGTACCCAGGGTTGCAAAAAAAAGTTTTTAAGTTCAGCCCGAACTTAACTTAACTTAAACAATTTCGAACTTAACTTAAACTTAATATAAAAACTTGAAACTTAATTAAAAAAAACTTAAAAAAAAACTTAAATTATAATAATTTTTAAAAGAAATTATTTTAATACTAATTATAAATTAAAATTTAATTATTATCTATATAAATATTTACTTTATTTTTTATTATATATTCTTATATTTATATTAATATGAAAATTATTTCTATATTTTTATATTTTTTTGGAATTTTTTTATTTTTATTTTTATAATTTTATAATTTTTTTTTATTTTTTTTTAATATTATATAATAAGTAAATAATCATTGTTTAATTAAGTAACAAAGTTAAGTTAAAAAGATAACTGAGATGTCTTAGGATCCACAGCATGCTAGTTTAATTACAAGTTAATATGTTTTATTACTTATACTATTCGATACTTAAGTACTGAACAGGAGCAGCGTAGGCACGCTGTGATAGAGGCACAGAAACGGCTACCCAACTGCCAACAGCCGGCCTAGTGCCGATTGAACTAGATCACAGCTGTAAACAGCTGATTAGTTGATCAGCTAGCTGAAAACGGCAGCTGGGAAAGGAACAAGAAAAGAAAAGCTACTAGATGATAGTCGAAGACATATCAAGAAACGAATAAATTATAGATTGTAATGTCTACAGGACTAAGTCTAATCGATGAAAATCTAGGTGCGAGACTCATATGAATCTTCACTTAAAAGGCTACGTAGCCTAGTCCTACCGCACCACTACATTATATGTTTTTAATCGTTGATTTCGCCGTCTACGCCTTCGCCTTCTTAATTCTTGTTTCTTGTTTCTCCTAGCTGCTATTTACAGCTAGCCGGTCACTAGATACAATTACCGTACTACCATCGCAACTAATATTCCTGTCGATCGGCACCTAGATAGCTGTTGGCAGCTGTAGTCTTTCCGAATAAGCCCTTCCCGACGCCGTTCCTCTTCGTGATGTCTACGATCGTAACATTGGAATAAGTTGAGATGTCTCCAGCGCTCTCATAAACACACCCATTCAACGCCAGCAAGCCACTATGTCAACGCGAATGCCGCACTGCAGCCGTACCCGACTAATGCTCAGGTGCACTCTGGATGATATTAATGGCCTCGTCGTTAAGGATGCCTTCATTGACAAGAGCGCTTATCACCTGCGTCAGCCAAGTCTGACAATCATTGAGCTGGATTCTGCCGTGGCGTTGCTGAGAGCGCTATTAGATCTCTAGACGATTCTCGAGGGCTATACGGTTTGATAACTTACAGAGCTCGATGCCGAGACGAGGCTAGGTCCAGGAGCAGGAATGGCGCTGGCGACTGACTCGACTTTGTCCGTGGGGGTGTCATTTTCGGCCCTGTCGTACTGTCCAAGACTGGCGTTTGGATCAACAATATGGCGGCTGCTGACTTGGCCAAGAGCGATGAGTTGATAGCGCCTGCTAGTACGGGATATGTCATAGTTGTGCGTAATCGTGGTCCGGAATCCCTCGGAGACGCTTCCCTCAACGTGAATGCGTTTGCCGACATTCGGGTTGTCCTCACCGGGAATCCAGAGGCACCAGTGAGCCTTGAAGGGACGTTGGTTGAAGACGAGTAGGTAGATAGTTCGAGACATGGCTTTTAGCGAGCCGGACGGAATCAGCTCGCATAAGCAAGGGATGAGCAGAAAGACGAACAGAGAGGTGGCAAAGAGATGAGCTTGGGAGAGCAGGCGCAGTAGCGGGCTGTGCTTAGTAGTAGAACCCTCGTTGGCACCAGGACAGGTGGCCTCCGTTCGAAACGGAGAGGTGCCACCATATCGTGTATATCGCGTATCACGATCACTATGTGGAAGAGCCTTGAACAGAGGGGAAAGCTTGATGTAGGAAATAGTAATCTGAGCGCTGACGCGGCTCTATGAGCTCTACTATATAGGCTGGGTTTGGGTCCCTGCCCTTTCTAGGGGCTAGTGCTTACTTACTTCTTGCAATATCTTCCTCCCCCGGAATCGGCGGCTCCGGCCGTTAGTTGAAAACGCCCAGGATCCAGGCACGTCTTAGCTGAGTGTTTCTTCTGGTTCCCGAGTGCTCTCCTGGTAGACGAGCTACTTTACTTCAGACTGCTGGCGTACCGTTGAGACTTTTATAAGGGCCTGGCGGCAGCTAAGGCTTATCGTAAGGATCCCCTACGGCCCGTCGAAGGTTCTAGACGCTGAAGGGTGCACCTTCCTCCTTTTACCCCCTCGTATAGATTTATTTCTTTAATATTGAAGAGGAACAGCGGGGGCACGCTGTGAGGGAGACCCGAAAGAACAAGAGGCTACCCAACTGCCAACAACTAGCCCAGTGCCGATTAGACAAGATTATAGCTATAAGTAGCTATAATCAGTTAATCAGCTAGCCGAAAAGGCAGCTGGGAAAAGAAAAGACTAGAAGTAGGTAGCGACAGAAGGTATATTAAAGAATGAGTAAATTACTGTAAACTACGATATCTATAAAATGTCTACCAGATGAAGATTAAGCGATGAGAATCCAAGTATGAGATATATACAAATACTTATCGAAAAGGCTACGTAGCCTAGTTTTACCATGCCACTATAATATTTTAAATACGTATCTAAAATCTTACAAAAGCCTAGTTCTACCACACTACAGTAAATATATAAGAACGAAATTAGTATTAATAAAACACTTTAAATATATAAAAAGAGTTATATAGTAAAAAGCTAAGCAACAAAACTAAAAATTATATAACTGTTATAATATTATGATTAATAAGTTTAATTAATTTTCATAGTATAAATACCTGTCACGGAGCAGTTGAACCAGCCTATATAAGCCTACATACCGCAAAGCGTGAAAGTAGGCGTCTACGTTTTACGTAACAATACCTTTCATTATTAATATAGTAGTTGAAAAAGAAATGCTTAATTAAGGTAGTCTGAGGGGTACTCTGTGGAGGGGTAGATTAGCTTACCTAGGTACAAAGCGATATTTGCGCGCGAAACTGTTATCGACGGTACTCACATTCTACCTCACTAAAATGTCTGAGGATGACTCGCGATTGTTACAGAATGCCCAGCAGTCTGGAGACACCGCAGAGAAGACCATTGAAAACGTAGATTTTCAGGACTCGGGATTTTTCACGAGGCCTGGCTCCCCGGTACGCCGCCTGCCAACACCCGACGAGGTCAGAGCTGCCGCCCGTGCAGCACAGCAGCCCCAGAACTTTGACCATCCCTCGCCAGTAATATTCCCATCACTTGGGCTGCTGGTGAAATATGGAGGCGGAGTTCGGGTTGCAGAAGCAAAATGTTTACGTTTTATTCGGCAGAATCTGCTGGGTCGCGTGCGTATTCCCGAGGTGTACGGTTGGCGAACGGATTCCCGTCAGACATTCATCTACATTGAGTTCATCGAAGGGGACACACTAGAAAAACTCTGGCCAACTATGAATGACAAGGAGCGAACTACTATTTGCAGTCAGCTACGACGCATGGTCGAGGAATGGCGTGGACTGAGACAGGATAAAGCTTTCTTAGGTATAACCTAACTCCTCTAGTGCCACTACTTTCTTCCTCTCGCTTTCGCCTAATATCTTATTTGCAGGAAGCATTGAAAGCGGGCCTCTACCAGACCGGATCTTCGAAGGCGCCCCGGAGACTGCTGGACCTTTTCTGTCTCTGCCGATATTCCATGACTGGTATACAACTGCGATAGGGCCGAATAAGTTTAATTGGGAAGGCAAGAAACCACACCCTTTTCGAATCAAGTTCCCGGATAATGGCCCCATTGTCTTTACGCACAGCGATCTTCACCCCAGCAACATCATTTTATCGAAAGACGCGGGACAGCTTCTTCACGTTGCTGCCATTATCGACTGGGAACAATCCGGATGGTATCCTTGGTACTGGGAATATTGCAAAGCGCGATGGACTTCTGAGGTTGGAGCAGAGTGGGACGAGAGGTATTTGCCTCAATGTCTCGATGTTGATGGCGTGAGTTCCAAGTTAGACGCCTGCGATTCTGATGGCTTAAGTCTTTATAACTATTGGGACTATTTTGTGCTGGCTCGAGGGGCTTAATATTAGCGATAGACTGTACTGTCATAAGTTATACCTGAGAGTTTCGCGAATGAATAACTCCTTCAATTCAACATCGACTAGCACGAGTTATCATGCATGTTGGTATATATTAGACAACTCTCCTTAAGACTATGAATGTACAATTAACCACCTTATTCCTAGGCTTTTCATATATAGCAACCTAAGAATGGTAAATATTTATTTTATAACTAGATAAAATTTAAATTAAAATCTTTAATAAATGAAGAAAAATAAACTTATAAGTATCAAAAGAATTTAAATAAAAATTTAAATTAAAAGGAAAATAAATAAATTTAACAAAAGTATAAACTTTAAGAAGTTAAAATATTATTAAAATAAATAAATAAATATTATATTTTTATTATATTTAACTTATAATAATGTAAGGTGCTTTAGTTTTCTTTTTCATTTTAGTAAGTTATACTTGTATTTTATATTAGCCTTGTTACATTACGGCTAGGTCGATTTCCGTCAGTTGCGCAGGGATCCTCGGATTAACGCTGCTGACTCTGGAGGCGAGGAAGGAGAGGCGGAAGAAGCGGCGGCAGCTCGCTAGCCCGCTGGCCAATTCCAGCTCAGTACCCCTGGGAGGCGAGTTGGCGTGGCCAAGGGTAGGAGAGGTACTCATAGGTACACGAGGAGCGAGGGAGTGAGGAAGGCAGGTAGGCATGTACCTGCCTACCCTAAGGCATACCTAGATATTACGTCACCTGCAATCTGGAACGGCAATCTGGAACGAGGAGGAATTGCGGGGTGAAAAGGGACCATCGAAGCTGCTTTATTATCTGATACGAGGCTACTGATGTACTCGTAATTCGCCGACTTGGAGACAATCTCTACGCTGTCCTCAATTAAGTCCCGTCCCAACCGCTCTCCACACGCTGCCTTCATACCACGGCGAGTTCTCTCTTCTCTCCCTCTCCGATGCTCTGTCTCGCAAGTACATACCTAAGCTATACCTACCTGCATCCATCCACACCTCCATACGCACATTTATATGCGTACACGTAGGTATACGTGCACACACGTATGGACCCAAGTAAGGGAGAGACGGGCGATGGAGAGGACATCTTCCCGTCGCCCACTGATGTCGGCGACTGCTAACCCATTCGCTACCATCGACAATCGACAAGGAGGAGGCGTTCCACCGTGTCCGCTGACCCGCAACGCCTGCGCCGTGCCTCCTCTTCCAGGTGTGTGTAGGCACACGTCGGGATGTCATGTCATCCCTTCTGAGCCAATTGCATGTGCAATTCGTTGTCCAACTCGCGTCCTATCATCTGATCTATAGTACAAACGTTCGATCCCTGAAAGGCCACCCCGCCGCCGGCCCCTCCTCTTTTCCTCCTGCCATCCCTACCGTCTCCCACAGTCCGCATCCGTCAAAGAAACCAACCCACCCCCCGCGAGCACGTCTATCTTGCTCCTCTCGCCTATGCACAGTACCTACATACCTAAATAGCGTAGGTGTTAGGTGTGGCGAGTCTGCTACAAAGTGCGACGGTGTCGGGTTATGGCTGATCGTGCGAAAGAGGGGGATGGGGACAGGGACGGGGACGAGGACGCGACGCCGATCTCTTATCTTCAAGTCATTATGATGCGGCACGGCGGTTGGGGTCGCATCGGTGTCGACGCGGTCTCGATTTGGGCGTGATGGCCTGCACCTGATAGGCCCAGCTATACAGGCAGCGAGCGGCCTCCGATAGCTCAACCCCAGATTCTGTTCCGGAGGGGACGGCTACGCATTACAACGCGCAACGTAGTAGCGCCCTGCACGCGCACCACCACCACCGAATATCATACCGTCACTGGTACACACATACATATGGCCGCCCGCCACCTCGTTTGCCTGCACACCTCAATCGCTGGGGTTGGGGTGCAGTACGTTACTACAGGTAGGTAGTGCGCACCTCGAGAGCCGGCGCTGACGGCCCTCGGCCATGGCCTCCTCCCTCCTCCCCAGGAACCTTCCAGCAAATGTACGCCTCGATGAATACATCACCTACACCTACCTACCTCTAGCCACGTTCGAGCACTGGCCTCCCTCCGGCATGCAGCTTACTGCACTATATATGTATACACCCAAATAGACGACGGTTAAATCCCCCTCGCTGTGCTGTCGATAGCCTTGGCACTTCTGCGGATGGGGAGGGAGAGTGGGTCGGGCTTGCGGCGCGAGGGAAAGGGCACTCTCGTCGTCGCGTTGTCGTGCGCTTATGGCAAGATAGCCAAGTTCCCGGCGGGCTCCCCATCCCCATCCCCTTCGTACGCGGTCACCGTTGGCTAGAAGTACCGACGTGGCAGCACATAGGAGCCTGCGTGAGGAGGATTCCGTCCCTAAGAACCGGCCGAACATAGTAACCTCCAGCCGGAGATGCCCGAGTCCGCGCGCGGCCTAAGGTTGTAGGCAGGTATGCACATACCTACGCGACGCTCGGGCGAGGCGGCGACACGCCGTGGCTGTCCGTGCACAAGATAACAGAGAAGCACCCGACCGGTGCGCAGCGGAGGCCATATGCGAATTGTTGTTACTTGGATTATGTCTACCTACCTGCAGATGTCGCTTATGAGACATGACTCGCCTGCCCGCCCCTTATAGATCTTACTGGAGGTCTCCCTAGTCGAGGCCCGTGCAATTACGCCGGCGGGCTTGGGACGCGTATGGCATGGGGTCCTCCCCAATCGCTAGCCACTTCCGCCTTCGATCCCCGGGAATAGCAAGAGGGGGGGGAGGGTGAGGGCTATGTGCTGTCAATGCTTCGTCTTGGAGCAGGTAGTCTTAGTTGCATCGTTAGTCCAGCAAGGGCGGCGGGAGCCTGAGCTAGTTTCGTGACGATTCATTTCTTGCCCGAATACGTGGTCGTATTCGAGCAACTATGTATTCGCCATCCTTACGGTTATCGCTACTAAGTACAGTCGCATTTGTTATCTGTGTATGTAAGATGCGTCCCTCCGTCTATCGACGCCAGAAGCCTTCGAGAGCTTCCGCGACGCCGTGGCTTGACGTGATAGGTATTTCGTGGCCGCCCGGAAGAACCGCGAATTCGACCCCCTCGGATCCTAGAACTTTCCGGACGTCTTCTTCTACCTCGTCCTTGACGATGACAGGGTCATCCTCGCCAAGGACCATTAGGACCTTTCCGGCCCGGAGCCCCGACAACAAGAGCGGGGATTCGATCCCCGCGATCCCCTCCTCGCTCTCCGCTTCTCGCGCTCGCCTCCTGGCCCTGGCGAGTACGGTAGCCAGGAAGCCCCAGTCCTCCTGCGGGGCATAGATAGGCGCGTTGCGTATCGTGCTCACGAAGGCCCCGATGAACCCGGCGTGGTGATCGACTTGCCACCGCACGATCGAGGCCACCGTGACGCCGGGCCGGGATCTGGAGATGGCCGCGGCATTGAAGTCGTCACCCCCGTTAACGTCGCCATCCTTAATTGGTAGAAAGCCTGGCTTCTTAACCTCAGCCGACACAATATCCACATCATCTGCCGCGCCTTGCCCCAAGCGGGGAAGTTTTCTTCCTCCCTCTTCCTGCTTCTCAACGGCAGCGGTACTACTAGTAGTCGTAGTCATGGTAGTGGTAACGCTAGGCCGAATCCTCCTACGTACGAGCCGCCGGACCAGGAACTCTGGCAGCAGGCCCATGTTGTACAGAAACCGGCTTTGCCAACCGACGTGATGCGACCGGATGAGGCCGGCGCTGGCCACGAGGGCGAGCGAGCGCAATAAGTGTGGGAAATAGCGCGCGAAAGCGACGCAGAGGGCGCCGCCGAGGGAGTATCCCACCAGATGGAACCCGCCGGACGACGCTGCTCCCACTCCCGCCGGCGTCGTCCACGGTAGGTTAGACGATGCGAGGACGAGGAGGATCTGCGTCGCATATAGCCGCGAGTCGTAGGGAAGATCGTCGGGCGCATCAGAGTACCCACGACCGAAGAGGTCTGCGTAGTAGTGGGGACGGTTAGGGCGAAGGGCTACCACCAGATAGATAATCTCTCGTCTCTCTTACTTTACGCCGTCGTTCTGTTTCTCCCGAGTCCACCCCTTTCAGGGGCTAAAAAGCAAAGCCTGCAGGGCAGGAGGAGGGCATTGCTCAAGACAAGAAACACTAGTGAAACTCGCATTCACATACCGAATACCATGACCCGATACCCTCTCCGGGCCAGTTCGTGGGCGAGGTCCCCGAGGGCCACCGCCGGCGTGCTGATGCCGTGGACGAGCAAGACCTTCTCCCCGGTCTGGGGCCCCCACTCGTAGACGCGGATCGACCCGTACGGCGTCGCCACGTCCCGCGCGGCGGGCAGCGCGTCGGGCGGGTAGGGCAGGTCCACGGCGGCTCCGTCGTGGTGTTCCGAGACCGTCGCGCGCGGCGCGGGCGAGGGCGAGGGCGTGAAGGGCCGTCGGCGCCGCCGGCCGCGGAGCTTCGCGCCGTCCGGCGGCGCGTGGGAGGCCCAGCCAATCAGCAGGTGCAGCGCCGCCGCGGCCGCGGCGAGCACCGCGAGGCGGGACAGCTCCGGCCGCGTCCCGAGGAGGCCGGCCAAGAGAGCGGCGAGGCGTGCCATGCGCGGCGGCCGTGGGGGGGGTAGGTATGCCCGCTATGCCCGCTATGCCAGGCTCTGCTAGTATGCTAGATGCTAGGTAGTCGGATCCGGGAAGCGCACGATGGGCGATGGCGGGCGAGGATGCGATGCGATCTCGAAAAACGGCGAGGAGCGCGGCGGATATAGATGCTTCTTACGAGAGGAAACAGTTATTTATCGGAGAGCCTCGGAAAATGGACGCCGGGAGGAGGTAGGTAAGTAGGCAGGTTAATAAACAGATTTGCTGGCAGCAGCTACGAGAAGCCAGAAAAGTATCAGATCACGGCACGCTGCGAGAAATACCTACGCCAAGCATGCCGCCGCGAACCAATGTCACTGCGGCTCCGCCCTTCGCCTTTTTTTTTTCCTCGTCTGCTTCCTACCTAAAACACCGCGAGCCAGAGAACCGAGCGAGCCGATGAGCCTCGATAGGTACATGTAGTAATACCTATAATCTACCTTCCTATGCATGCACCGGTCCTTATCCCCGGAATAATACCCTCCCTCCCCCCGTTTGGCGAATAGCCAGCCGGCTTAAGCCGAGACTCGGTCGGTAGGTAATAATAACGCAACTCATCAAATACCATACGTAGGTAACAACACTGCTCAACAGAACCTCATGTTCAAAAGCAAATATCCTCGTCCGCCCCCCCCCTTCTCTCCTCTGCGCGCTTTCTTGGACAAGACGTGTCGGCCACGCGGCGGACGCCAACTCGCCCTCCGCGAGGAAGAGCTCGCTGGCGTTGGGGAAACGGCGCGCCGAAAGATGCCGACGGGGCTATTGCTACTGCGGTTATGAAAGTCTTGCCTCGCGGCCGGCCGGATAGTTGGCTATTATCCCCGAGCAACGCGCGGGGTGACACGACCGTCGGCTTACGAGTCCAGGTGCCGTCCGGAGAGTGAGAGCCTCCTTGCCCCCCCAGCAACCGCATGCGCTCTGCCCTAGCCAACCCTCTCACCCACGTCGCAGTCGCGCCTCTTTCCCCTATGACTGTTTCCGCCTCTGCCCTCACCTTTCCGTGAGTGGACCTAGATGTGCTGTTCTCGGATGCCGTGCGGGAAACCGACGTACGGGGCGGAATCCCGTCTGCCAACGAGACCCGCCTCTGCCACGTTGCCTCTCGCGGCAAGTTCCCGAGGGCGCTTCGACCGGCTCTAGTAGGTATTATGTGCTCCGGGTCGATATCCGGACACGTCGACAGAGTGTATGTGAGATGGCTGGCACTCTTCGGCGCATCAGTGACGGGTTGGAAAGGGGAGAGGCGCGTGACATACCAGGCTCTCCCATTCGGCGCGGCGCTCCAAAGCCTCGACGGTCTTGCCGTTAGCTTCGCGTGTCTGGCGGTGCTATTCCACAGGTCCTAATACTAGTATACATAGTACCGATAAGTTACGAGACTCTTCACTTCCCATGTCGCCCCTATTCCGATTCTGGCGGTCCTCGTAGAGGGCTATGCGGTGCGGTACTGCCAAGAACGTCTTTATTACAATAGGTAGGTGAAAGTATAGCACACTGCGGGGGCGAGTCCCAGCTCTGCTCCGATCGCCAAGTAGAAATAAGGCTCCGTGACGCATAGGAAGCTGTGATATAAGCTCGCCTCTCCCAAGTCGGGATTCGGTCTAGGCGTCCAGGTATATTTCCCATTAGTACAAAACGAGCTCTGTTTGGGCCGTCTATTACATCCTCGAGCCTTACGCAACACTCAAGAAGGCAAAGGGCTCGCCATCCTAGCATAGGGGGTCGATCGGGCACGGCTAGCATTGGTTATGTACCTATGCGGTATCAAGAGAATAATAGATCAGCAGGTTTCCCGATGATCTGCAGCGGGGCTGGGTAAAGCACCATCGAGTCAATCTCGCACCTCTCGCCGCCAGAACCCCTGGAGATATCCAGTAGCGGGCTCCTCGAGCCATGTGCTCATCGAAAACACAAAGACGTCGCATCCTAGGTCATAACGCGTGTGGTCTCGGCCGTCCCCGATGACCGCCTAGCGTTACGCAAGAACGTAAACGCCTTCGCCAACCTGCGTCTCATCCCCTTTTGGCTACGTAGCCGAACACAGGCCTCCGCCGCGCCAGCTACGACGGGTTAGATGACGGCACCCGCCGCGACCACGCAATGGGGGGCGCAATGCTAAGGCCGAGGAGGAGCGAACGCCCCATAACTTCTCTTGCTTTCTGCGCGGCACCACCCTAACACCCGCGTCTTCCCCCTCATCCTTCCCGGGCAATACGACGCCGTCATCGATATATCTCCGTGAGCGATGGAAAGTACCGAGGGGAGGCGGTTCAGGGGGACGTGTGTGAGGGGAATGTGATGACGTTGGGATGAAATCAGGTTATCGTCCCGATTCTCGCGGTCGACGGCCTGCGCGTACGTGACCCTCTCGCTCACCAACCCGCGTTCCCCCGAATATACATCATCGGTAAAAGAGGATTTCCGTGTCTAGCTTCACCCCTTGTAGGTCCGATCGATTGCTCCCGACCGGCCCCGAAGCGTAGCGGGGGGAGGAAGGGGACGGAGAGGCACGGAGATGAGAGATCGAACTGAGAAGCAGGTGTATATAAAATATCTAGAGCCCGTAAGCTTCTGTTCTCTCGTTCCCGTGGCTTATGCCTGATCAATTTCTTAGCTCTCCAGCCGCCTTCTTTTCTAGACATCTTATACCTTGTCGCGAAGACGTTATTCCACAAAGCGCGCAGACACGTCAAAGAGCGGTGGACATAATAGACATGCGATACACTTACCCCGACTGTGAATAACATCGCCACGATTTCCGTCTATCGTGCGAATAAGGCTCCGCCCGTCCCTCAGTCACGGCGAAACCCCGTCTCTGTCAGTGGGCTAGGTACTCAATTTTCCGATGGCAGAGCCGAGCGCCGCTGAAAATTAAAGATTGTAGTTATAAAGGCATATTGGGGGTGTCTCGTTCCTCTCCCAAGATGAACTGTTCTCCCAAGACGACCCGGAATAACGCGCCAACAAGCACCGTGTGCCGGTCATTGCTCGTGTTCCTACTAGTTATCTCCCGCAGAAACCTTCCTTGAACCGCGGTTCTGCGAAGAGGGCTGAGATAGAACGTCGACGGGAACGGGGAGGCATTAAGGATAGGTCGATTTCTACCCCCCCTTCCCCTCCCCTCCCCCTCCTTCCTTTATTGCCTTGACTATGTCCCGAGCGCAGGACCGTGATCGATCGTGATGAGCGAAGCCACGTAAAGAAAGACACGTTTGGCCCGTGGACCGCCCTCCGTATAAGAATAAGCGCCGACTCCTTCATACCCTAACTCGCATCCTTCTTTTCCGCTCTCGTTTTTTTGGTTAACCTTGAGGGGAGGGAGGCGGGAACGCCCACTTAGCGCACGGCGCCCGCCGCCCGCACGATGTAGGCCTGGATGAGGTCGCTGCTGCAAGTGCCGTGGTTCAGGATCTCGCTCTTGAGGCGCAGCACGTCGTCGCGCAAGCTGCCGGCGCGCGCGCGCAGCGCCCGGTTCTCGAGGCCCAGCGCTCGCTCGCGCGCCTGCAGCTTGGTCGCGCTCTGCCGCGCCTTCTGCCGGCACTTGTGCGCCGCCGCGCGGTTGCGCTCGCGGCTGCGCTCGTGCTTCTTGGCGACCCCCGCCGTCGTTGTCGCGGGCGCGAGCAGCGCTCTGCTTGTCGCTGGAATCGTCATTGGCATGAGCCCGTCGCCGGCGAGAGAGATCGGATCCCCGACGTTAGCACCTGGGTCTCCGTTGGCGACGAGAGGCCCGACGAACTGCGGATGGCGCTCGTTTAGCCCGCTCGTCGGCTGCGCACCCGCATAATGGTGATAATCGAGCTCTGAAGTTACTAATCCCGGCCCCGTGCCGCAATCCTCGGTGGCGTACTCGGCGCTTAGCTGAGCTCGGTTAACATTTTGAGGGGGAGAGAGAGGGAGGGGGAGAGAGGGGGGGGGGGGCCTGAAGGTTGACCCTGCCGAGGAAGATCGCGACGGTGAGAATAAATCCCCAGAGAAACGCCGGGCGTTTGGGCTATGGACATGAGAGCGAGGAAGAACGCACAATGTCCACGCCGCGGGGACTCTGCTGGCGCTGGTCCCGAGCGGCTTGTGGACTTGTTCCGTAGGATCCTGCCGCGTCAATATCCCGCAGGAATCCCCAGAATTCAGAGTCGAGAATGGCCACCTCGCTGAAAGTCGACGAGAACATTGCTAGCGACCATTGAAAGGTGCCGTTTGCGCAGTCGTCGAACTTGGCCGTGGTGTCGAAGGCCATTATCAATGCTCGTTGCCAACCGATTGGAATTGGCAGGAGGAAGAAGGGTTGGGAGGGATTTCTTCGAACAAGTACCTAACGTATAGGTATTTCTATCGGGTACTCTGGACAGCGGCGCGGGGGCTTGGAGGCACATCGCATTTGCCGTAACCGTCGTTGGCCATCGATAAGGGGGTGGTATAGAAGCAAAGGGAGAGAAAAACGAGTTCCCGCATCGACGTGGCTGGCTCATGTAGGACAATTTCTTCGTCGAGTCGTATCCGCCACTAGGAGCTGTTCTACGCAATGCAGCACCAACAGTACCCCATCCCGTCTACCAGTGATACAGATGGGATAGACAAGCCACACGATGCGTGGGGAGCGTTCTTCAGGATTCAACCCGGCCAACGAGGACGCCTACCCCTCAAGCCACGTCGCTCCACAGCCGCCTTTCGAGGCAATCTTTCCCTCTCGCTCGCGTCTCACACGTCCACCAGAGCGCATTTCTAGGCTGGGATATGCGAGCTCTCTGGATTTGACATCACGCCGAGCCAGTCTCACGGCAAAGGCTCGCCAGGCTGCCCAAGGTCGCCACCTGCAAAGCGGTTCTAACCAGTATCCTAATCTCTGGACCCTGCAAGGACATCGACGATCGCAGAGGGTGCCGACCGAGCCGTTCCCCGCACCTGAGCGCTACCTGGTCGCACATTGTCATGACGCTTCTTCTGCCTGGGTGGCGAAGCTTTGGAGAACCGAACAACACATAGCTAGGCCTATCGACGCTTTAAACATCCGCTGCACATTTGTTAGTCTCACGTTCCAGGCGATAGAGGCTGTTTTTCTTTCCTTGTATTGATCAACGACGACAGGCTGCTTAGACTTTTTTTTATCATGTAGTCTTCAAACAGTCTGACCGTGCACGGGTTTTCCTCAGTTCATCAATCCTTCCCATGTCAAGCCAGGCTGGGGGTTCTTCCTCTATTCCGCGGATATCTGAGATCCTTTACCATCATCACCCAACACGATTCACCCCAGCGAATCCATAATGAATAGCATGCACCCAGCCACTGCAGCTGCAACCCCGCCACTAGAAGCCAGCGGTGAGCTACCCATAGCAAGTAGATAGATCGCTAGCTTCGTCGCTCCCAAATTCCCGCCTCTCGGTGTAGAAGCATATTACGCCCCAAAACGATCATGTCTCGAAGGACAATGAGACGGGCTATTATAATCCTGTCGACTGTACCAACATGGCGATGCTCCACCGAGACCACTGAAACCCCCCGAGCAAAAAGAGCAGGTACCACCTCTCGAGTTGCTAAACAAGTCCAAAATCCAACACTGTCCCCGTAGGATGTGAGAAAACCTCACTCCCGAGCAAAAAGCCTCCAACGGTGGTATATGCGCCAGACATAAAAAGCAAAGATGAAAAAAGTAGACGAATATACATCGGTATATGTGCCGACCATGTAAAATAAATAATACATCGCGCCTCATATGCAGAAGAATTCATACCGCGCAAACATTCCGTCAAGCTCGCATCCAGCGCTGGGATGGGATGAGGTCACATTCTAGTTTCCTCTCGGAGACGACTCTTGGAACCTTGCTGGTTCATCATCACGTTTCCCATAAACATCGAGCTCTCTCTCCTCTTGGATTTGTACGACTGGTCATACGCGGCTAGAGAACCTTCTGCGTAATCCTGTTCGTACGAGGATCCGTAATGCGGGCGATCATAGGTCGGCGGTCTCATGCTAGCCTCGTGGCCGGGCGGCGTGGCAAAGCTACCCTCGTAGGCTGGGCGCAACGACGCTTGGGATCCCGGCTGGGCTAGGTAATGAGGCTCGTAGGACTGGCGAGGCGGTGGTGTTGCCGTCGGCCGCAACCCCCCGCCCGTAATAGCAGGAGGTGGGGTGGGAGTGGACCGTTGATGCACCTGTTCCATGAGTCTTTGTCTATGCGGCGAGTCCGAAGCCCCTGCCGTCGACGGTCGGGGCGGTTGGGGGTCCGACAGTGTCCGCGAATCTGTGTCGGATATGGGAGAAGGAAGCTCGTACTCTTCGGGATCGATTCCGAAGATGCCCTCATAATTTTGTAGCAGTAAAGCAAATACAGGAGCCGGAATGTTTAGTGTGGGCGAGAAAACGATGCCAACGTTCCGCACAGTCATCTTGTTCGCATCTGCGTGATTGATGATCTTGATCAGGAACGCGATGAGATACTTTAGTAATGTTTCGTTGGCTAGCGGGAGTTGGCGAACGAGCTCGGCCAGGGACGGTATCTTCTCCCCTTGATTTTGCATTTCGGTCACCTCGACAAACTTCATGTGCAGGTCCCGTGTGAGGATGGTGGTAGGAAGCTCGCGGAGGTATAGTTTCAGCAGGGAGGCAACGGCATGGATGTCGTAATACGTGTTATCAGTGAGCAGGTTAACGTCACTCTCGTTATTAAAGCGCTCGCGCAGTTGCTTGATCACTACGTTAGACCCGCTGAGTCGGAAGATGCCCTCCTCGCGGATGGCGTTCTTAGCATCAAGATACTGAATGCAGCGGTATACCACTGCCGGAAGGGGGACATTAGCATCAAGCGGACCGTTGAATCGCACAGCCTCGGCGAGCGGCGCGCCGAACACCTGCCGAATCGGGCCGCGTTGCTCAAGTTGAACTGAGTTAGTGACACCTCCATTAGAAGAACCGTATAGTGGGTCCTGGTCGTCGGTCGATGACCGGGTTCTCGGGCCAAACCCGAAGAAACTGCGCTTTCTTTGCTTCTTTTCCTCGGGTGTAGGGCCGGGTGGGGCCAGACTCGCCTTACTACCCCAAGACGATGAATCAGGTATGGGCTGAGGATCTTTGGGGGCAGATATGGTGTAAGCAGGGCCATTCGTCCTATCCTGAGGCTCCGGAGTTGCGGGTTTGCGATGTCTCGGGGCGCCCTCCGGCGTGTGACCCTGCTTCGCTGAATCGTAGCTCACTCCGATCAGACCATCCTGACTACTGCTCCGTTGCCCTGCGTGCTTCCCTTGTCCGTGTGGCTTCTTCTTGGAGTTGGCACCATTAGAATTCGTGGTGCCTCCCGCGTGATGTCGGTCATGGGCGGCGGACGGCTGCGACTCCTCTTCGTTACCATCGCGATAGTCGATCCAACGGAGCAAAGCATCAACCCACTGATCACGCTCTAGGTCGCTTTCAGCGCATAGCACGTGCTTCACGTGGCTGCTAGAATCCTTTTTCTTCGGCTCGAGAACGAGGAATGCATGTCGATATTGATTATCCAACTCATCGCCGTTGGGACCAGTAGCAGGAGATCCATCGTTGGTCTGGGATTGTTTGCCGATCTGAGCGCTCTGAAGTTTGATAGTCCCCAGATGAGCACCGCCAGGTGCTTCGTAATACTTAAGTTGAGGTCCGTCAAGAACAAAGAACCGAGCCTTCCACCCGCCGAAGTTTTTGCCTCGCTTCGTCAAGTAGCCGTTCTTGAATGGTCTGCCTCCAGGACCCTTCTTGAGGATACTAGTTGCGCTGCTTGGTTCGTTCGCAGTCGGCGCCTCGTCGTCGTTGGGTGGGAGAGCATTCGTTGACAGGTATCTGCATAATTCTAGGGCGACTTGGGTGTCAAGAGGTGTATTGAGAAGTTCGTCGAGGTATCGGTCCAAGACAATACGACGGGCATCCAACTTGGCTGGGGAGTGTCCGCTAAATAGAGACCTGTCGGGAGTCTTGGCAGTGAAAGACGCGCATTGCTTCATCCTCTGATCGAGCTTGGCGAGGGACGTGCTGTCTTTCTCCACTCTCCATAGCTCGACACCTTCCGTTCGTGAGATGATAGCTAGTGTGAATACGGGATCCTCCTCCAGTTGTGTCAGGGATAGAAGACTGGCTCTCGACGGCTTCATGCGAGACGAGGCAACTCTGACCTCAACGGAAAGCAGGGCATTCGGGGGCAATAATAAGTCGGGGTATTCGTCAGTGACGAAACCTCTATAGACCTCTGTTCTCTCAGCGGGACTGTCGCCGAGTGCTGTGGAGTTAAGCTGGGTGGATGGATGGTTAGCCGCGGGAGTGTTCGGAGGTAGGGGAATCGGCTGTCGGGGAGCTCGCGGAGAGAGGGGCATGGGTCCCGCCCCAGCGATGCGAGGGGATCCGAGGGGTGAAGGCATTAATGTCCTAGATGGCATCGGTCTCGGACTTGCGGGTAAGCCAGGACTCATCAACTTGGGAGGGGGAGGGAGTATGATTTCCCGAGGATCGATGTCATCCATGACCTCGGCGAGAGACGCTGAAATCTTATCAGACCCCAACGCCGGCTGAGTGCCAGGAGTGCGAAGCGTTGGCGGGCCGCCATTCTTCGCAGGTTCCGACGCCGCAGAGACAGGCGTTCCCTTCTGACTACCTTTCTTACTCTTCTTAGACAGGCTTCGGGCTTCGGCCTCCTTTAACGCGAGGATCTCGCGTTCCTTATCATCCTCCTCCCTGGTGCGCCTTCGGCCCCGTTTTTCTGGTAGGGGCAGCTCGTCGACTTCTAATAGAGAATCATAGTCCGAGTCGGAGTCATTATCATCTTCCGGCGAAATCGAAGCAAGGACTTTTGACTCCTTATTCAATTGTAGAGGCGCAGGTGGGGGTTTACGCGGGGGCGGCGCCGATGGCGGTGAGAATTGAGATTTGCTGTGATCAACTTGCTGCGTTGCTTCGGTGACTGACCCTACCGGAGGGTGGGCCGTCGGAGGCTTCGGAGGCGGCATTCGCGGGGGTTCACTCGGATGACTTCGAGAAGGGGGCAGCGAAAAATTGATGGGGAGTTCCCTAGGTGTTTCCGACGCCATCTTGGCTTCCTCGGCTACACGATCCTCCTCTTCACGATCAAAGTGATCTAGCGCGTGCTCAGATGCCTTTGGCATGGCATGTGAAGGATCCAGGAGTTCGCCAACGACCGACGGCAATCCACTGTTGCCCTGGTCGGCTGGGGGCGTGATCGGGTAAGGCGCTAGCGAAACATCAATAGGAGAATGCTTCATGCTGTCCGAATCTAGATTCGACGGCGACGCTGGCGTCTCGGTCTCCTGCTCTCTTGGTGCATTCACGTTAACCCGCGGAATTTTCGGTGGGTTTAACTGGACAGCATCAAGCCTCCGGCGCTCGTCGTGAGCAGCCATCACCTCCTTCAATTTTTTCCTATACTTCTCTTTATCCTTCAAGGCCCGCTCCAGATCCTTGTTCAGGCCGAGGATCATGGCTCTCTGCTTGTCAACCAGTCTCCACAACTGCGCGTTCTGCTGTGATTGAGACTGCTTCTCCTTCAAGAGGTATTGTATGACGGCTTCAGGACTGCCTGCTGCCCTGATTAGATTGGCAACATCCACGGTTCCGGACGGGGCATCTTGCGAGCCCTGGTGCGAGTGGGTTCGCGACGAGATTGCGGATATCGCGGAATCGATGGACGACGTCCTCGGGGCGCCAGAAGAGGCGCCGAAGTTGGATGCTATGCCGCTCGCCATCGTGGGAAGATTCGTGGCAACAGAGCCCACGAGAGGCTTAGAGGTCGCGGTCAGGTTGGAAACACCACGAATGTCATTCGGAAGGGACACGAGCTTCGTCCTAGAGTGAAGAGCAAATCAGGTTAGGGGTACGCAGAATACAGGCTGCAAAGACAGACACGAAGGAGTGTTGAGTTCCAGAGAAAGGAAGAATTAATACGAACCCAAAGTTGGAAGACACGGGCGAAACTGGAGAAAACCCCCCTGCGTGGTTAATAACCCCCAGAAAGCCGGAATCCTTCGCCTTATCGCCAAGGGAAGGAGAGTATCCCAACGGTTCCTGCGAAGGGGGTCGGTTGGCCGAAGTGGCCGGGAATGACGAGTGTACGGACTCGGGAAATATCGCACGAGATGGGCTCGCACTGGAAGGCGGAGAGAGAGCCGTGCTCGTTTGTAGAGGGCTGGGAGCTGGAGGCTTGTGAGGTCTAAGAAACAAGTGGGGGATTCTAAGTCAGCATTGGGAGTCGAGAAGTGCACACCAAGCGGCAAGGCACGTCTTGTTTTTTTTTTCTTCTTCCTCAACCAGGCCCAGAAGTTCCGCAACAGAGAGACTAGGGAGTTGGGGGAGGGGAGAGAGAGAGAGAGAGCAAGAATAAGATAAAAATAAAATAAAACAGACTTGACAAGTCCAAATAAAAACTGGTAAAATAAAAACGGGAAAATGCTGCTCCACTCGACGTTCCATAGCGTGCATCGAGGTAACAAAGACGGCTCGACAGTGTGGTTACTTAACCAGCCCCCAACGCGATACCACCAGACAGCGCCATACAAATAAAGGGAGATAGATGCAAGGTATGGCGGTATTATTACGAAGAAGCGAACCGGGGGCTTACTTGGTGCCGGCGGCTGTGGACGGCGACGGCGGTGGGATAGAATCGGCAGGAGGAGGAGGATAGTTCACGATGACTCGACCTATGGTCGGGCTGTCCTCTTGCAGGTAGGAATCTGCTGGGCTCTCGCTCCGCTGGAGGGTGAGATGCGACATGGTCCACAATGCGAAGAAAGGGTTGATTAGAGAGAGGGCGCGAGTAGTTCAAGGGGGCAGGCAGAGGCCAATCGGCGTCGGGAATCCGTCCAAGGTCAGAGCTTCTCATTCGAGACGCCCGGATGACCCTGATTGACGCCGCATATAAACGGACCAGGTTCGAGGGCGAATATTGAGACAGCTAAGCGCGGGCGGACACTTGCGGCAAGGGAGCCTGTCTGCGAGACGCAGCGCACTTCTCCAAAAAAGACACGGACGAACGACTTCTCCCAGCATCCGAACCACGTATTCATGCCAGGGAACCAGAAAGGGGGGTGGAAGGGAGAGGAGAAATAAAATCAAGAACCTAAGAGGAACAAGGCGAGTACGGCTAGGTAAGGTAGGTCGGTAAGTAGGTAGGTATGTATGTAGATGGGTTAGGTACCTAAGACAGACAGACAGACAGACAATGCGAAAGGAGAGAACAAGACCACCCTGCCCGGGGGCGGAGGGGGTTTGTTAGGGGCCGAGCCTAGGAGCTACATACATACTGGAAGGGGTTGAGTGTAAGGTCGCATTTTCCTCTTGAGCCTTGCTCACAATAAGAGAAACTGAGATATAGGTAGGTACATGAGAGGTACCCATCGTGCTGTGCGGTGTGTACGGAAGGTTAGGGGCGCTGCGATGCAAGTATAGGTATAGGCTAGGTAGGCAGGAGGCGGTAGGGAGGTATGGCGTGGTATGTACTGCATCTGGAGGATGCCTTTGTTGACCTAAGTAGGCAGGAAGACAAGCCTACTCACAATAGAGGATGGACGGCTTCCCCCCACTGATATGAAGGGCTTGGAGAATATGTCAGGATGTACGACCCGCTACGTCTGTAAGGTTAGGCACTACATTAGTACAGACCTCGACACATCACATGAGGTGAACCCGCCTTCTCTGCGGATCTGGGAACCTTACTGGATGCGTACGTAGTAGCATAATGTGCTAGGATGGCCCGAAGTCGACCAATGGCGGCAAGCGAGATTGTTACGATAGGCCCGCAGGCTCCAAGCGGTTCCTGGATTCTACTCTAGCATGCCTACCTCCCTCCCACAAGCATTAGGTACCTCGGTACCTAGGTAACCACGGACCCATTACGGGCGCCTCCTAACGTAGGACAAGCATACAAGTGCCAAGGTAGGTATCTCGGTAGGTACCTAAAGTACCTAAGGTAGGTGTTTCTAACATATTATAGTAGGTGTACCTACCTACCTCCACCCACTTGCCCAGAGGGCGACTAAAGGCTGTTGTGTGATGTGATGTAATGTTGATAGGATGTAGGTAAGTAAGCGCCTATGTACATATATAGTATGAGGTTAAGCATCTAAGCGCGACAGGCATCCGAGGGAATGAATTCTTGGCCGGTCGTATGTAGGTATAGATAAGGGTTTAACATACCTGAATAGGTAGGTACCCAGGTAGGTGCCCCTTAGGGACGAAATACGCAGGTACGTAACGAATGCCTACTCATAATGCCGACACAGAGTACATACCTACACACCTGCTTTAGGTATGCACTACCTGGAGTAGATTCGCAGTAGCTTAGGTACTGGGTTAGGTAGGTAGGTAGCCGCTAGGGTCAAATGTGATATGGTCGCCCTGGCTGTGATCGCCCATTGGCCTCGTCCTGCCCATCTCCCATCAATCTCGGCAGGATGCGGTCTCCGACCCCGGATTCCAACGTGCTATATGGAAGGACGCACGTATTTACGTATGTAGGTATTTAATTAAAACCTCAAGCCGGGGTCCCTGCGCAAACCCTGGCATTCCCATCAGACCGCCTCGTCGCTGGTAACGCCTCAGAATCAGAGTGCCCACGTTAGGCCCATCCCAGCTTCCCCAGGTTTTTGAGCGCGAGCCCAGCAGCTTCCAAATCGGGCGCGTTGTTTCTTGTTTTCCTCTTCGCAGCATGAAACGGACCGTCACGGCCACTTTGGCCCGAAGCATGCACATCTCTGCCCTTCCCAGAATGCATACCGTTATGCGTGGATAGGCGCAGTGGGTAGTAAGTGTGGGAGGAGAGTATAGGTAGACGGGTTGGCCGCGAGCGGAGAGATGTCCAGATTGCCTCTTCCTCCTACAGCGATATTAACGACTAGCAATTAGGCAGGTGGCCTGCAAGTGGGCGTTGATCACATATGAGTATTACGCAGGAGGTTGCAAAGAAAAAGAAAAGAAAAGAAAAGACGGGTGATTTCTGCAGGAACGAACGAATTGCTACCTAGCTTAGTACCACGGCACGACGTTGGGTAACCCCCTGATGGAAGACCCCACCAAAGGTCCACACAGGCAGGTATATATCAGTCATTCGCCTCTACCATATGGGTACCACATAAGTACACCTCGCAGGTGGGAGGTACGTAACCTAAGGTTAGGCTTAGGTATGTGCTCATAGAGACGGGAACCACAGGAATGCGTGCATACTTTGGTTTTGTTTTTCTCGTTCTTCGCTCCGTCTGGAACACGCCCTTCTCTTCTCGAAGCCATAAGAGGTAGCAGCCTACCTATTGTGTAGGCACCTACCTGCATAAGTAGGTAGGTAGACAGGTAGGTATGCAGGTATGCCACAGCACCCCCTTTTTAGGGGGCGAGATCGTCCAGAGAATCCCACCATTTCTCTCTCTATGAATACGTAGTAGGATAACCTACCTACCCGGTGTCTTATCAACATAATCAGGTAGAGACCCCGTCACAGCAGAGCGTCAAACGTGCTGAGTATTCCTATTCGCCTCTCCCAGGGCCTCCCTACCCAAGATATGTCTAGTTACTCATTACTCATATCTCGGGCCTAGCAGTTCTGGGCTTTTGCCTCGACACCCTCTCGGACGTGGGTAACCCAATCACGAGCGGGAACTGCGAGGATGCTTCGTCGAGTATGCGTTGGCGGTGTGATATGACAGGCATTACAGCAGCCGTACATCGCATCCGTCGCCACAGGGCGTGGTACTGGATAGCATGATGCGACGATCTAGAATTGGAGCCTTTCTCGTCCGCATATCGCCTGACGCACACAATAACGTCCAACATGTCTCCATCCGTGAAATCGAGGCATCTTGATCTAGCGGCATGCGTCTTACCTTAGATGCCGCGCAGCCGCAGCCGCAGCGACACCTCAGCTCGGTAACCTATCGGCGTGGGACGACGGGCAGCCACACTTCCTCTTTTCGGTCCTGGCACCTCTCAACTCCCGCACTGGTGGGCTGCCTGGCACCTTTCCCCGCCTGCAAGCCTCACGCGCGCCACGACCCAGGACATGGACGACGCATTAGTCTGCCTGATTGGTGTCTCGCCATGCCACGCAATGCCACCTAGGTAATCGACGTGAGGAGCGCTTACTTGACGAAGCGCAGCGGGAGCGCGAGTCGCTGACCGCAGCGCAACATAGCCAACGAGGGATGAAGGTACAGTCGTGACCTTATCGGCCGTACTCGAGGAACGCCGCCGTCGGGACAACCTCCTTACGCAAGCAGAGTATATATAGGTAGGCTCTCGCGACCGAGATGTACCACGCGAGGCCGGTTGAGGCTAGTACTATCAGGCTTAAGGATACGCATATTCACCTCTCCTACGTCGACGATGGCTTCTTTTACCCCAGCCGTTCCAAGAAGATGCCAAGTTTCAGACGTAGATCCCCCACTGGATTGGACAGGCCGGATGCGTGGCTGCCCAGGTAGGTATGTATCTCTAAGGAGATCCAGATCTCAGCAAGGCCCGGCGGCATCAGTATGTCCACACCACGTCTGTCCCCTGGGTCACTCGGGCGCAGATAAGGAGGGGAGGGGGGGAACGGAAGACCTGCGCTGTCAGACACAAGGCGTCGTGTGTCCTCGGTGCCGGGACAAGTCTTCGGAATGGGCGGGGAAAGCCGTTGCTGGGTCGAGCCAAATGGTTCGATTATGACGCCGGCCGCTCCGCAGAGCACTCTCTTCGCAACAAGACCCGAGGACGGCTGTGGTCCGTAATTAGAAATGCGGAATGCGGAATGTGAAGCAAGCATGCAAGACCCAGCGGTTTTGTTCTGGCAGAATTACCGTGCTTTGCCTGTGGTTTCGCATCGGTTTCATCCAGATGGGCTGGAAGCGGGCGTGCCAATCGCAGGTCCTGCACTGTAGGTACCTTGGGATCCTTGGGTCAGGTACCTGCCCTGAGGCGCTCAGGTGTGTGCATACAAGAGGTGAGCCCTGGTTCTGGCCATGTACCCGGCCAAGTACCTCCCTATCACGTACCCGATCATGTACCCCTGCCATGTACCCTCAAGGTTAAAGGTAGGTATAGCCTTGGCTCACGTCGACAGCCAATCTCAGGTCCGTATCCGGGCGGGGCTGGCGACAGGGGTTCTAGTCTGGGCGCTTTAGCCTTCACTACCCGGCAATTGTGCATAAGAACATTATTAGCATATACATAAGCACCCACCTAATACCGGCCGGTGCATATACTATGTGCCTACGTAAGGTATGGTATAAGACGGATAAATTGTGGGCCTGGCCGATGCGATGCTTCTCCAGAAAAGGGGTCTCTCCTCCATCAACATCATACACCTATGAGTGCTCCCAGTTGCGGGAGCCGGACACTCCTATATCTTACGCGCCATCTATATGACCGTCATCTCCGGTCAGTTACTACATCATCCCGGCATTGGCTAATCCCACGTCATCGATAACACGCAATACCCCTCTATCCGTCCTCGAAGATGGGTGGGTTCCCATCACCAACCAGAGGGAGCTAGTCGTTCAGAAGACACGAATGCCCTGGCGAGATCGGCCTCTGCCAAAACGCACACGCCGCAAAAAAAAACCCCCCTAACCCAACTCGGTAGCTTTAGTGTTTCAACAAGCAGAGATGTCGCAAGCCAACAATCCGTGGAGAGTGCCCCAATGGGAGGCCCTACTTATCCTACGTAGTATGTTACGCGCCAAAGAGCCGACACGTGACGGAATTAGTAGAACCGAGGATAGAAATTAACGACGTGGTCGAGTCCCCATACGGTGGAGAGAAAGGAACACAACCAGGACAAGTTCTGCCCCAGTTGCTAATCTACCCAAGTCGTCTTCGTTCACTTCGTAGACCCACCGACCCTCTACCCGGGCTACAAATATCGTAGAAAGGGAGAGGGAGACCTCTAGAGGACCTTCAGCAATTGATGATAGTTACCGTCACATCAAGACCCCCAGCAGATACAGACCCCCCATCCCTGAACTACCTAGCCTAAGGTACCTATAAGGGCAGGTTTTTGCCGAGGAAGACAAGGAAGGGAGATTTCTAAGTTGCCCCCGGCTATTAAGCCGTCAGATATGGGCATCGGAACCGTAACATGGAATGTGCTAGCCGAGTACGCTATTACCCTATGTATAAGGAGCCCGGATAGCTGCCTACATTTTAAAAACGGGACAAGGGGTGGACTGTAAGATGCATAGATAGGGCACAATATTGCTACATAGTTAAGAGCGGTTGACTTATAAGCCGTGCGGTGCTGTCACCAACCTCAGCTGTGTAGGAGAACAGATTCTACCCTTTCCGCAGTCTGCAATTACAACATGCAGGACTGCCTCCGAGTCCCACAGATTGCTTCTCGACCCTTGACGTCGTTGCTGCCGGGGGTGAGTCAGGGGTAATCACCGTGGTCCGCGTAAGTAGGTTGAGGGATCAAGATAGATAACGAAGAACAAAGCTAGTTAGGTTATGATGACATCCACAAATCGGTTCCACTTCTTCTCTCGTCCATGTCTTTCAGAGACGACGTTAGTTGTAGTGGTGTCAGCTAGGGGAGAGCTTAAAGTTGCATGCATTATTCTCTGTGAAATGAAATAGTCACACGGTCATGGCCAAGTGTCATGAATGCTGTAAGTACATCAGCTGTTACTATCCCATACTAACAATCCAATATGGCCAACCCCGGTACGAGAGAATCAAACTCATCTCCGGTCGGAGATCGCAGCGGCGACCTGCTAAGCATTACCCAGTGCCAGCATCGAGGTCAATACAAATGCCCTAGGAGAGGAAGAGCGGATAGCATTCGGAGGAAATAGCTGGAGCCCTGCGAAAGGCTGCCGAACGTCTTGCGACGGCCCGGCCACGAGGAGGGACCGACCGCAAGGTCCGACAAAGTGGAGGGCGAGGAAGAAAGTGCATATTATCGATATTATAGCTTGATAAATTACCAATGAGGGAGGGAGGGAGGAATCCGCCTGAAAGCAGCTCGGCTCAGCAGGTATTTAGCGAAGTGACAAACCTAGATTGATATCAATAGAACCTAAAGTTACTCGCTCTGAGCGGGGCTCGCTAACGCTGACACCGACGCTCGCCGCAGTCAAAGCTATCCTGCATATGGTCCGGATCGAGGTCGAAACAGTGCCCATACGGAGGGATAAGCGCAGTTGAAAATACGGGCTGTAGGCCGGGGAGCGCAAAGAGACGAGAGGCACGCGCAACTAAAAACAAAGACGTGTCCAATCCAATCCACGGGCAGAGCCTTGCCGAGGTTCTCACTATAGTACTTTAGACCTATCACCCGAGGTATGTAATACGTAATAGTCTCAAGTCAATCGCGTATAATGCGGTATTAATATTCGCCCTGCTCTTCCCACCCTACAGTTGGGACGGAGATAAGGCCTAACCTACAGTTAGTCCGACTTAAGAGTTAGTTGAACAATATTAGACTGCGCCAGTACCATCTTGTTTTGCTCCTACAGCTCGGGGAAACTCCTCGAGCCGAATGCCGTTTTTACCTTTTAGTCCACTCTGGCTCAATCCCTAATGCTTCACCTTCCCGGAGCGTAGATTTGGGGAGACAGTGAAGAGACTGTCATGTTTTCCCAAGGCTGTCGCTCGAACCAGACAGTTTCTCCCAAGGCTCACATAAGCCGGCGCAAGCCCGAGCAAACTACATCTGCAGCGGCTTTTGTAGCCTTGAGGCTACCCCAGATCTTGCTTCGTCCCAGTTCACCGACCCCGTTGCCATTTTTGAGGTCCTCTGAGACTTCGTAAGGGTTGTTTGCATCACCTAGTTGTCTTACGGATCTTCCCGTTTCCCAACCAATCTAGAGTTTGGCCGGGCCCCATTCCGAGCTCCCGTCCGCTATGAGCAGAAAAGCTGAAGGGAATAATTGGTCTACACCAGTAGTCATTCGGGCGCCCAAGATGCACCATAACCACTCAGTTTATCGTAGTCAAATGTCTGTTCCGGCGGTTTTCTTTCTGAGCGTTGTGGCTCGCCTTGTGCTTCTTAACCGCCGTTCCAGATCGGTCTACTGTCATCAGCATTGGTCAGAACACAAGGACTGTTATATGCTTATCCAGGTACGGAGTAATCGGACAAGCCGCTTGGATATTATGTCCTTTACATCATAACAGATATCCGTCCACGTAAAAAAATCCGTACTATCTTAACCTGGTAACGTGCGGAAGACACTAGCTTGAGACATAGTGGCAAAAGGCGATATAAGCAAAGCAGTCAGAAGTCCTCCTTACCACCTAAATGTCTACAGCAACAAATTAAGTCTTCCACTGAGAAGGCAACAACCAGTACTAAAGTCGTCAATGGCCTGCCGGTCTATTCTATTCTATTCTTGTAGGACAGACAGCGCTCATGGATGCTCCCCCATGCAGGTCCTCTAGATAGGTGTGAATAGCTTCTCGGGGAATTGAGCCGCCGTCTCTGACCCCCTTTCGTTCTAGAACAGACTCTTGTGCAGCCCACCATCATGACCCAAGTGACACCCTTGCCCTCCCAAAAGCAAACATCGCTTGCCACTGCCTTGGCTATAGCTTTCGGAGTGGGCGGAGAAAGGAAGGGATTACGGATGATGACGACGACGACTGATAATTGGTGATCCCAGACTGGCTGCGCGACTTATTAGTAGGCCAGGTAGGTATTTAAAGCGAACCAATGCCTGCCTGAATAACCTCCCAGGTTCCAGCTGACTTACATGCAGCAAACGCATCCTTTCCTTCTTCTTATGCTGCTTTTCATCTTCATCTCTCTATCTTAGAAGGCCCGCCAGAATTACGGGGTCCCCGCCGTTGTGTTTCTTCGCCTTGTGCTTAAGAAGACAGCCCACTAAGCCTATAAGTCAATCTGCTCGCACCAGCAACCCGACAACTCGTCCCTTGTCCGCGACCATGACGGGAGATCCGGCCAAACGTAATAGCTCCACCCCGAGATCGTCTCGCCTAGCCGAATCGTCGTACCATTCACCGTACTCGCGTACTGGCGCCCCGAGCCCCCACCCCGATACCGACCCGTACGCGGCGCTCCGGGGCCGCGCGCTCTCGGTCCTCGAGGCGATGGGGTTCGAGCCCAGCACTATGGTGGAGCACGGGGTCCACTGGGCCGAGCACCAGGACCCTTACAACCACGTCATGTACTCGCAGTACGCGCACTTCCTGGGGTCGTGCATCTGGCGCAGCATCGAGAGCTACGACGAGTTCCTCGCCGAGGAGGAATTCGACGGGATGATGAAAGCCCGGACCGTCATCCCCGTCTTGGGGAAGCAGGAGCTGGCGCTGCGGCGGCAGGTGCGGTATCCCGACGCGGTTGGTATCGCCGGCCTCATCCCCCCACCCCCCCCTTTCTTGCGCTCGCGACCCGGCTGACGGCAAGGGACGGAACCCCCCCTCTCCCTCGGTAGCTGATCTCCGCCTACCGCGAGGACAGCGTCGAGCCGACGCGGTGCGTCGGCGAGAGCGTGCTCTTCTCGCTCAAGCAGCAGGCCGTCGTCGCCCAGGGCCGCTGCACAGTCACGTACGTCGACGTCCGGACGGGCCGGCCCGTCGACATCCGCACCCTCGGCGGCGGCTTCCCCGCCCTGTACCACGGGCTCGTCCAGCGGTCGGAGCGCGCCAAGGCCCTCAGGGAGAAGTGGGAGCGAGAGAACCCGCAGCCCCCGAGGCGCGGAGCGGCTAAGATGTAGTGGTGTCGCTCCGGAGGCCCGCGGCGTAGGTATAAGCGCACGCATTGAAACAGGGGCGTGGGCGTCTACGCTTTCACGTGACGCATACGGAAGGGTCAGGACGTCTCGCTAGGTATATCTTCGCGTCGCCTATGTTAGTCCGCTTAGTACCTAATAAACACACGGGCCAGTTGAAGAAATAAGTCATGATTTGTTTCGAGTGTCCCGCGTAAGCTTATGTCTGGGTACCTTCAGGTGTGGGGGTAATTCAGAATAGGGCGAGATCTCTCCTGTCGTATCGGATACTCGAGGGGGAGGCGGGCGAGGTCCCGAACACAGATTCAAGAGCTGTTCAGGTTAGAATGGTGGTCGATTCGCTCAATTTACAGTCGGAGAGCCGAGGCAATCGTTCTTTGGACCCTAGGGCGGAGCTGGAGACGACCATCTCGGCTTACAACCGTCGCATATTGGCTAGCATCTTTAGGGGGTACCTAGCTAGGTTATGGACCTATCGGATTTCTTCCGGTCGTCTCTTTATAGGTGCCTACTATCCTCCCCCTTCTGTTCGTCGACGGTCTAGACAGTTCCATGGCAGTTCCAAGTGGCATGAACATACTAATATATGCTACTATGGAGTGAAAATGTGAGTACCTGACATTATGAGTGTTTTTTAAGCAGCAGAGTGGTGGTGAAATGGCTACTGCCTCAACTGACCCTACGGAGCCGTGTCCTCGTGAAAACATCACGCCCTTTTCCTCTAGGAAACTAATACGGCCAGAGTGCCTGCGGGGGCTTTTTGACTAGATAACAAGTATGTAGTTTTACGCGATCTGCGGCTTTTGATCGTGTAGGTATAGATCGGCATACGTGCATACGTCGTAGGTAGGACGGGTACTCCTTCGAGTGAACAAGGAGCACAGGCTATGTCGCCCGTAATACCAACCAGAATGAGGGTGAGGTGAGAGCGCATTCTCATCCTTTGCCGGCTGACCGGGGAAGCTACTCTAATGTCTGCCACCCATAGGTACCCGTCTGCAGCGGGATGCGCGTCGACATTCTCATCACCCGCTCGATCGTACTATATGAACCCAATAAAACTCTCTGTCACCTTTGCCGTTGGGTTGCATCGGCAGTGAGCCTGGCTGGGTAGCATCGAGGCCGACCAAGGTCTCTAGATGGAGAGGATTGAGAGAGGGAGCCGCCCAGTTCTCCATCGTCTTCACAGTAGGTACCTATGTCGTCGGGAAGCGGCGAGTAGCTGAACTGAGCTGGAGCACTTTAATAACGGAGGGCAGATAGAGCTACATAATGAGCCTCTACTCGGGGCCTTTGGTTTCTTAAATAACTGTCCAGTGGAAACAGGGCTGCATTGATCCGTCAATATTCGACCTACAGAAAAGGGTGGGCGGGGTTGCGTCAAGTCAACACCAAGCGCTCCAATGCCCCTCCATCTAGATAGGTTGGAGCCACACAAGAGAATATTGACGATCCAAAAAGAAAAGTCTTCCTCTATAAAGCATATATGGGTCTCTCTATTCTTTCACATGTGGTTCATCGACTGAGCTTACACCATTTCGTGTCTAAACCCAGCCGACTCCCTATCACCGTTACGTCCAGATCGGTTTCATTTCCGCTTCGTTTCGATTCTCGGCACAGATAGAGGGTCACAAGGGCTCATATGCCTATCATTAGTATAACGGTCATTCTAACCGCTCCTCTTCACACCCATTATACCATGAGGGGATTCCGATGCTATTAGCCGTCATCCATCCACCAATTGCCACCCCCCCTGGCACGATCCCTCTCATTAACACGCCAATATCTAGCGGCTATTACGTCGGAAAGACAGGGGGCTTTACCTTGGAAGCACTCTTTATTCTTTCTCGTAGCAGTTCCGCATGACGCAAACCGACATTTCCAATGGATTCATCCCGTTTGATCCCGATCTGGTTGACGAAGAGAGGGGACGGAAGGTGTTTATCCTCTCTATAGTGTTTACCGTCCTCGTCCTGCTGTCTACAACCTCGCGGATTGCGGCGAAGCTCCTGAATAAAATGGATCTCCGGGCAGCCGACTATTTTATTATTATAACCCTGGTTAGTCGGTGTTCGGGGAGGGGCTCGGTTGTCCGACGGACGCACTAATAATTACAACCCCAGGCCTTCAACCTGACTGCCAACGTCTTCGACATCCAGTCGGTGTACGAGGGGTTCGGACGCCATCTGCAATTTCTCACTAGAGACCAAGTGCTCACTCTCCGACGGCTGGGCCATTACACTACCATCTGCGTCATCATTTCTCTCTGGGCCGTGAAGCTCTCCATCTGCTTTTTCATCCTAGCCCTCATCCGCGACGTCCACCGGCGAATTGAGTGGGCCCTCTACGGGCTTATCAGCGTGAGCACAATAGGGAGCATCTGCGAGGGAACCTTCTGGGGTCTTCAAGCGAGGCCGCTGCGGAAGCTCTGGGAACCCGACATAGCTGGAGAAGTCTTCTGCGACGATACCCTGGTCACGATTATAATCGCGTTTACTGGTCAGCCCCTTGATTCTCTGTATATCATTAGGGGGGCCGTCGTGGATGGGCTGATACCTGGGGATTTAGCTATTAACAGCGTGATTGATCTGTTCTACGCCCTATCGCCGATATACTTGTTTGGAAGACTGCAGATAAGTCGCGGCAAGAAGTATATTCTGATCGGATTAACCGGGTCAGGCTTATTGTGTGTGCCCCTTGCCCTCCCGTTTACTTGTCACTTACGGAATCCGCACCTGCTATAGAGTCTTCACCTCATCAATTATCCGCGTTACATTTGCCCGCGACCTACACGATCCGGATACCAGCTGGGCTCTGTCCAAAGTACACCTCTCCTCGATCGTAGAGAGGAATTTGGCAGAACTCATCGCCGACCTCCCTGCGTCCGTCATTCTCTTTCGCAGCGTCCACAGAAACGCCCGCACTCTCTTATCGTGGGGCACCTGGGACTCCATCAAGAGGGTTCGCACCAGAGGCCACTCCGGCCCCGGAGACAAGAGCTTCTCGAGGGGAGATAGACGACCCCCGTTCAGCGGAGGAGAGCCGGCTTACTGCGGAGAAGAGGATGAGATACCTCTCAACGATGCGCCCCGGATATCCAAGGACAATATTATAATAGCCAGTTCGGGACCAACAATTGGCATGCGGGAACATGCCTCGGGTGTGCTCATGAATGAGAGCGAGGTTAATAGGGCTTAGTTCGTCTGAGGAGAAAAGAAATCTGCTGAAGTACAGTAATGGTTTAACGACACATGCGGAGTTTGAGGGTTACTACATTGAGGTGTTTGGCTGGAAAATAGACGTCTTAAACTTTCGATTTCTGGCAGATCCGGATTGAGTCTTCCGTCTAACTCTGAGTTGTCGTACCGTTCGCAGAAGAGGATGGAAATGATAACATTCTATTTTATCAATTAAAAGTGTATTACGTAGATCGGGAGAGCTACGTAAGGACTGAGGTTGTTCTTCTGTGGGAGCAAGGGAAGATGGGATGAAGAGGTTGAATTGACTGACTTGCTAACTAGGAAGGAAATGGACAAAGAAGATGCGAGCTACCTATATATACACGATAGGGAGCTGGGAGCTATGTTAGGTAAGCGAGTAACCAGTGAAGAAGTAGAGAGCTAGGCATAGGTGGCTCTCTTACGTGACAAAGTGTCAACGTTTACAATTCCTAGTTGTAGATATACATACGGAGGTTCCAGGCAACATATTTCGCTGCGGGAACGCCAAGGCCCTAACAAGCCTTACCAGTCCTAGAGGGTTTTATAATAATCTATAAAATGAAAAGTAAACTCAAATACGTATTCCTGCTCGTTACTAACCTTTATGGAGAGAAAGGAAAACCAGCTAGAAGAACACCGCTGTGCTGCGGGTGTTCGTAGTGCTACACGAACCTGGGTGTAATTGTAGCTACGTAAGACTGTGGTGCTGAAAGCCTGATACCCTCTAAATTATACGCTACCCCTAGTAGGACTCTCACCATGGAGATGTCCAACGACATGCCCCCGTAACCCTTGTGTTTATAAAATGGACTCTCAGATCTGGAGTATAGGCGACCGTTGTGCGCAAGATACGTCTTACTCAGCATTGGTGACTCGTCGGTTTGGTTCTAGTACTTAAGGGGGCTGATTATATCGGAAGGTCGATAAACATCCACTTTCCTTCTTTCCAGTTGAGGGATCATAGCGCGAACAAAAATCCTCCCTAGATCGCTACAATTAATTACACTAAAGTATGCTATTGTACCGCCCTTCTCTTTGATTTTTGCCCTTCCGTATCTTACTTACCATCGCTACAAGTCGAGTGTTCATCGCAATAGGGGGAATAGTTACCCGAAACCATTTAGAAATACAATTCGTTGGTCTGCATCTTCAGACACCCGGACACCAACGAGTCCTCGCTGCTGGAAACCCGAAAAGACTACCGAGTTCCCCCTTTCTCCGTTCTGAATTAAAACCTCATGTCGACGATGAGAATGCCTAAAGAAAAGATCATCGCTGGAAGCGCCGGCACGGGGGGGAGGCGACCGTTGCCCTTCTGCCATCCCGAATATTTATTTCCATACGTAACTCCGCTTTAGACCTTGCCGTTTGTGTGTCGATTTGCGTGACGTTTACCCCTTCTTGTGCGGGGGTGGGCTGTCGTTCAGCGGTTCCTTCAAACCCTTCCCGATCAGAGTCATCAGCGGGTGGTACAAGGAGCCGTTCTCGATGGCGTCGTGGATGAGGGAGATCCAGCTGCCTATCGTCTTCTTCGGCCGGCCGTGCAGCTTCTCGCACCGGATCGTGGGGTGCTCGATGAAGCCCTGGTGGAACGGCACGCCGAGCTCCCCACGGACGAATTGGTACAGAACCCGAGCCCCCTTGCCCAGGACCTTAGGCGTGTGCGGCTCGGCGCAAAAGGCGTCAAACGTCCTCCGCCACGTGGCGAAGGCCGCTCTAGTGGCCTCATCCTTCCACTGGGCCACATCCGTAACAAGACCCCTCACGTGATTGATGACGATGGGCAAGGCCGTGCTCGCCAGCGCGGCGCAGCGGTCGACGGGATCCTTGCTGCCTGTGGCGGACCATGCCGGGAACATATGTGACTCGAGCGCCATGAGAAGAGCTTGGAGCTCTTGGGGCTTTACGGTGCTCGAGAATAGCTTCTTCGTGACTGATGCGATCGCTTCTGTGACGTTCCTCAAGAATTCCATATGCAACGCCCTAAGGTCCAGCGCCTGGCACACGGCGTACAGATGTGTCGCCGTCATTAGAGTCAAAATTTCGGTAGCGTGCATACTCATGCGAGCGGACGCTAATGCCATCGAGTTCACCGACTGGTTGTGCATCTCAGCTGCCTGCACGAACGGGCTCATGGGACTGGCATAGTACGACAACTCAGCCATATAGGCGGCCATGTTGACCTCGACCCCCTTCATGGTAAAGGATGTGCTTGGATCGTCCGCGGTCAGGTTAGCTGGCAAGCCTTGGCTCAAGTTTGGATCGATCATCTCGGATAACTGCGAGAAGAGAAGCCTGCCGAACATCTGTAGGGATAACCGAACCTTCTCCATGGCGGATGTCAGGCAGGATGCCTGGAAGTTGCAGCCGTAGTGGATACTTCGCGTCGAGACATCGATGAGTGGGTTATCGCATGTTGAGTTGAGCTCGGTGTTGATTTGCTGGTCTGCTAGATTCAGATCATCAAGCTGCGGGCCGATCCATTGCGGCGCGCTTCGTATGGAGTAGCGATCCTGTATTAGATATCCGGCAGGGCAATTCTTGGCCCGGGGATCGTCGCGGACGAGGCGGGATTCTTCTAGGAAGTAGTTGATGTTGGCAGTCACTTCGGCTTGACTCAAGTGTGGGCGTGCTTGAGCTGTGAATTGGTTAAAACTTTCACGGCTACCGTGCAGTGCCTGCGTTTCGTAGTCTATTAGCCCCATATCCCTTTTCGAGGCGGGTCGTCGTCTTGCCGAAACTCACCTCGACAGCCATCGCGGTAAGCACTTGCGTAAGTAAGGCCAAGAGATGTGCCTGGGTAATTACTATGGCGCTGACTGCAACAGACATCGCTGTCCCATTCACCAGGCCGAGTCCTTCTTTAGGACCCAGCTTTATCGGTTGCAGCCCAGCCTCTTTCAGCGCTTGGGGTGCCGGGAGGACCCTTCCATTTCTCTCAACAAGAATGTCCGGGTTTCCCTCTATGGTGCCTGCAATGTAAGAGAACGGCATGAGATCACCCGAGCTCGAGACAGAGCCGCGCAAGGGGACTACAGGATTGATGTTGTGCTGGAGCAAGGCCAGCATGGCCTCCACGACAGGCAACGTGATGGCAGAGTGGCCGCGCAGGATGGAATTGCATCTGGCCACTATCGCTCCTCGAACCCATGGGGATGGCATGGAATGACCGGTCATCGAGCCATCGGGGGAGCGTGAGAGAATGCCAGTTTGCGTCATTTGCATTAGAGAGGACTGCAGGGCTACGGCATCGGTAGTTGAGTTGCGCGCACCCGCTCCGGGGCCCGCGTTGACGCCTCCCGCCAGTTAGTATCTCGCATTCTTAACAGAGACCCGAGAAGCACACACCATAAATAGGGTGCCCTTTGGCAAGGTGTTCGTACAGGACATCCACGCTGTCCTGAAGACCTTTTAAGATTGCAGGGTCTCGCGAGATTTTCGGTACACCTCCGTGACTAAACATCTTCTTCATTAGCCGTTGAACGAAGGTATCAAGCTAGGCGTATAAACTTACAATGCGGTGGCGACAACTTCCACAGCGTGGAGTTGGTCGCCAGTCAGCACGTATTCACCAGCCCGCTTGCGGGTCTGCAATAGGTCCCATGATTGGTAGAGCTGGGTGGTATGAGAAAGATGATTTCCCATCTTGGAGTCTGATGACGAGGGATTTCAATCGAGGAGCGATCGCGTTATTGAAGACTAGGGATAGGCGAGTATATCCTTCTCCTTAGCGAGTATTTCGATGCTCTACCAACAGGATCATCAACGCACCCAGCCACGTACGCTTTACTCGAAAATTCGTCGTGTCAGTCATCCTCCGCACGGCTAGACGGCGCTGGAAGGTCACCGACTCGGGCATGATGATTTATATTCCGGGAGGGTCAAGCACATGCTGAGGAAAAGGAGGTCCAATAGGCTCGGATATGCCCCGAGACGAGGGTTGCTAGGACCAATATTTTCAGCGCACATGCACCCTCCCCGTACACCCTCCCCCTCGTCGACCCAATAGGCCGAACGTGGTCGATATTCCAACCCCGGTACAGCGCCTCCCAGAGCCGGTGAGAAGCTATGATGCTGGGGTCCGGGGATCAGGCATAGAGCTGTGCGGCAATCATCGTGCATGGATGGCGTTGAATGGGCGTCAAGGATGGCCGAGCGGCACGCAACTCAATAATATATGCAAGTCCAAGTCACGATGGGCGGCTCAAAGGCGTCGTCGAGGAAGTTAAACCCGATGCAGCCATCGGGCGTGGTGAGTCGAGAAGTCTCGCGGGTCTGACGTTATCCTGCCCAAACTCGAACGGTTGGCTGGATTGGGAGACTGGCACGTTCGATGATGTCGTTGGGGGGTTGTGATACTACATGGGGAGCTTGCATTCGGCAGCATGACAATCAGCTGTTGTTATAGGAAGATAGGGGGTGAAGAATGAGGCCCGACGCGACGGGATCCTCGACAAGTGCCGGGGCGTTGACGAATTGTTTAACTAGAGGGCCTCATTGCATATGTACGTGGAAGATGCCTGTATGCAGTATACCTATAATACGGGGAGATAACTCGCTGGCTCTGTCGCGGTTGGCGGGGCGGAGGCATCGAATGCTACGGGTATGTAGGTAGATGGAGGAACACAGCGAGCGCGATTTACTGACAAACGCATGCCTGGTATGGCGTTCCGAGACGAGATGCTTGAGCAGGGATGGCCGCTTTTAGCCACGTGAAGCATGAATGCGTGCGTGTATACCGACATGCATCCTCGCCTCTTTACACCGACCCGTCTGCGACCCAAGTAGGTCTCTTATAGATAGGTATGTAGGTACGCACCTTAGGTATATATAAGGTATATCCGCCGGATGCCATTACACGTACGTGTAGAGAGCTACCCACCCATATATCTTAGATACCTGCCTATAAGCGGGCGGTATTCCCCTCCACCAAGACCCCGGCACCTGTTCCCCGAATCCCGGCTTACTACCCTGTTTACGGTATACCGCTTGCAAATCCTACCGTCGTATCTTCGACGCTCGACTGAGAGATCCTATGGTCAAGATACCCTCGACGTGGCGGACGGCATACAGGAACACCTTCGGAATATAGCTGCGTCCCTGACATCCCTGGGTCGAACCCCATGTCTTTTTATCAATACAGTCCTGACAGCGGCTGTAAACCCGGTAGCATATTGCTCCGGACGCATGACACCCCGCTTCCGTAGCCTGGGTGCTGGTAATATCAGCACATGCTTCTTTTCTGGAAGAGGAAGAAACGCGTGCTAAAAAGCAGCAACGTCATGCCGCTCACTGTGCCAAGGTTCCGCGGTGGGGGGGGGCGGAAGAGCGAATAGAGGCGATGGGTGTTGATTCGCTCTCTTATTGACCAGCAGGCTTTCACATTGTTTCTTTTTTTTCTTCTTATCCATTTTCCTTTCCTTTTTCTTTCTTTTTCGGTATACTGCGAAGCTGGATTTATCAGCTCCCCTCCGCCCAGATTCTACTCAGTTGTCTCATTAGATACAACCCCCTCTCCTCTCCACCCAGTACTCAAACTACTCTGTGTAAAATAGGTACAATTGGTCTTCGCCTTGCTTACCTCTCTTATCTCCTAGCCACTCAATCGTTAGCCTCTCTCGTGTTTCTGCTTGGTACTGCAGATCTTCCACTAGTTGAACGGTAGTTCCCGGGAGTGAGTGTTTCTTTTTGTGGTCAGAGTATTCAATTGCCTACTTCCCTGGCGCTTTCTCTGGCCGGCGGTCGATATTGTCACGTGGCTAGTTCTGAGCAATGCGTCGATTGTCGGTTTACCGGGGGGGGATGGCGGCTGACTCGCTAACTAGAAGAAAGAAAAGACAAGCTAGGTAGGAGTAGCTCTTGGCTAAAGAGCCACCAGCGGCGTAGGCCCACGTAACAGTTACCTAGGAGAATCCAGGGAATCTCTCCAGCAACTAGGCACCTCCAATAGAGAACTCTGCTCCCGACCTGGGCCCCATGTACGGATATCGCAATGGTGGAATCTCCGATGCCCTCAACTCGGACTCAATCGCAGCCTCACTTCAAGTATTATTAACAGGGACTTACCTTGATTCGAGATTCTTGGTAGCCCCCACACTCTGAACTCTGAATGGCTCCTTGAACCGTGCGGCGGTAACTACACTACCATTACCACTTATCTAGCCCACCCATGCCTCAGGTATGAGTTGATGTTGAGAGAATAGCCAGTTTTCTCGTATGATCGACTGAAGACGAAAGTGCAACCGTAGTACCGCGTAATCATAGCTGAAATCTACGCCAGTCTAGACACACAATTACCGTCTCATTTGTCAGATGCGGTTTCGTGGCTCGAGAGACAGCGGAAGAACGTAGTGTACGTGGCAAGCGACAGCAGGAGTATAATACACTATGGCCAGCTCGGAACGCATCGATTAGACTCCAAGTAACCTACATCAGTACTCAAGCGTGGGAGCAAAGCACAACCAAGTGATTAGCGCCGTGAAGGTCTACCAAATGTTGACAAGTGAGAAAGCTCCCACTACGGCTGCGATATTAGCGGTCTCTTCATACCAGATGCCAAATCGAACACGCCTACGTTAGGCACGTGGGTTAATCTGTAATGGACAGACAATGGCGGAATGGTGAGACTGATAGGACAGCTTGTCGCGGAACCTCTAGTGCACTGCGTGGAATTGTGTACGCGTAAGAAGTGCCGGCTCCTCATCGGTTGTGGCATTGCTACTATTTCAGGTGCTTGGGTGGTGGGTTAGGTACCTGAAGTGCGCTGGGACGGAGGCCCAAGGTGGGCATAACCCACGCTCCGGTTGGCTAATATGTGCTGGGGAGGGGGTGGGAGGGGGCTCTAGGGGCGGCACGGCACAGGGTAACCAGACCCATCTCAAGTCTAGGCCTCGTCGCGCGGAGCCCGCGAGATGGGATGATTGTGTGTAGCGAACGCGTATGACTATGTCCCCCTGAGTATGTAGGTAGTTCCCAGATGAGGAAACACACGGAAGTATTGAAAAGCAGAAAATATGGCCATGGATACTAGCATGTCTATGAGGTATTTATGCACGCACGTGTACCGGTATTAGGGATGTGCGTGCACCGTCGACTCCCACCGCCAAAACAACACGTAGGTAGCTGGATATGTGGGCGTGCGAAGGGGCCGAGAGGAGAGGGCGAGCATTATTCATTGGTGAGAGCCCACCGACGTATCCGGGCAATATCACACCGTCGTATATGTAGAATATCCTTATATACTCATAGAATATCCTATAGGCTTTGGCACAGTCGCGCCAGGGGAGTCTTCGTCAATACAGTAAAGTGCCGGATATTACCTACGACCGCGAGGGAGATGCAGCACCCGGTATAAATAGACCCCGCCAGGGGGGTGGTAGGCAATGCACTCAGAATCAAAACAGCAGGATTCTTGAACCGCCGACGATGCAAAACCGCGTTTCCGAGATGCCGGTGCAAGTTTGCGACGATGCTCAATGCTCGTATAGGGAAGAGACGCGACGGTGCTATTTATGCCTTCTACCACAGAGGCTCGCGGTTTCGTCGCTGCACGGCAAGACCTCTTTTCTCTCTTGATTTAGGTATGTGTAGGTGTTGATCTTTCTTGTTTACGACGCTCTCCATCCCCAATTGCATCGGGATAATATTGCTCAAGTCCGGCGACCCACCACTCTGTCAGAATCGTGACCTCGCCATCCCCGATTTCCTTCTCCTTCACATGGCTGGTCTCCTAAGCCCCGTTCCGTGACGTACTGCGTAGGGGGCCTGCGGCGGGAATGACTAGGGATTAGGGATTAGGGGCGGGAAGATGCCGGCGTGGCATCCGGGGCCCGGACCCGGCACTGTTATGGATGCCGGAATCCTCGGAAGTTTTTAATCAGACCGCTATTCCCTCGCGAAGCAGTCTCGAAGGGTCTGGCCTAAGCACCGATGGGTTAGCAAGCCTAGTTCTTCAGCAGCTTACAAAAGGGGCATTCTAATTGCCGAGACTAATAGTCCCGCTTCGTAGATCCGTAGGGCGGCTCGGCCCTCGACGGCATTCATCGATATGTCCCGAACCCCGTGTTGGCCTCGAAGCCCCTACACCCACGCATCACCTGGCGATTTTGTGCATGGGAGATCGCCTCTCCGAATCCGCCTGGGATAAAAACGGCCACGCGGCCTTGGGGTGGCCTCAGCTTGCTGCCAGCGTCGCAACGGTCTCGGATGGTCGGACGTGTCGTGGATCTCTCCCACGCTCTGCCTCCCCGCCATGACGTCTCGAACCCGTATCGCGGACGATGACATGCATGGACGAGCGCAACCGAATCCTCGCAGACTCGGTAAATATCATGTACGCACTGATCCCCCATCGTCCGCGGCTGTAGTCTGCCCGACCCTCCGCTCATCCACTGGTTGCCTTGTTGCACTCTCGTGGCCGGAGAAGCGCCACCCCAGGCTGGCCACGAAGGCGCGAGGGTGGGGGACGAATAAAAACCATCGACAACCGTATATAAGCTGCGACGGAAGCCAGTTGCTTTGAAAAGTAAACCTGATATTATCCGGGCATGGCAGCGCATCGTACAACAACCCCATCCTACAACTTCAATATGGCTCCGCTATACACGGGCAGCCCGCTCAACTTGGCCTTGATAGGCTGCGCCCTGGTAAGCTAGCTCCCCTAGCAGAGAGACTTCAACCCTCTCGACAAGAGCGGCTCGACTGATGGCGCGTATGAAGGCAACCGTCTACTTTGTCGGCAGCGCATTCTACTATCTCTTCCTACACCCTCTTCGATCCTACCCGGGCCCGCTCCTCTACCGGATCTCACGTATTCCGAAAGCGTACCGACTGATGCGGGGCGAGTTGATATTTTATATGAGAGACTTGCATGCCCAGTATGGGCCAGTCGTGCGGATCGGCCCCAATGAGCTTGCCTTCAGCGACCCTCAGGTGATTATACCTACCTGCCTCTTCCCCCCCCGACTTGCGTTGAGACATTGATAACCATCTGTAGGCATGGAAGGACATCTACGGTCATCGTGTCGGCGGCGCCCCGGATCTGCCCAAGTACGATGGCTTCTACCGCGTGATCGATAACGTCCCCAGGAGCATCATTAACGCAAAGAGAGAGGAGCACGCTTTCTTGCGTCGCCAACTAGCGCACGGTTTCTCCGAGCGGTCGATGCAGGCCCAGGAACCCATCATCGGGTCCTATGTGGACTTACTAATTGAGCGCCTCAAAGAACGGTGCGACGACGGTGCGGCCGCTCTCAACATGCGCGAATGGCTGAACTGGACGACCTTCGACGTGATAGGAGACCTGGGCTTCGGCTCCTCGTTCGGCTGCCTCGAAAAGTCCGACTACCATCCCTGGGTGAAGATCATCGCCCTCTCGGTACGGCAAATGGGCGTCTTGAACGGCTTGGCGAACGCGGGACTCCGACCCCTGATCCGGAGGGTTCTACGCATGGGTTTGACGGCTGTGACGGACCACCAGTCCTTAGTCCGTGAGAAGCTGAAGCAGAGAATGGAACTCGACTTTGAGAGACCAGATTTCATCGAGGGTCTCATTAAGAAAAAGGACGAGAACATGTTGGATTTTACCCAGGTGGCTGCAAACTCGAACGTACTTATCATTGCTGGGAGCGAGACAACCGCAACGCTGCTCAGCGGCGCCATCTATTTACTTACAGCCCACCCGGACAAGCTCGAGAGACTCGCCAACGAAGTCCGCTCCGTGTTCAGGAAGGAAGAAGAGATCACTCTCACGTCGGTCAGCAAGTTGACGTATATGTTAGCCTGTCTAAACGAGACTCTTCGCCACTACCCTCCCGTTCCCGTCGGCTTGCCCCGAGTAACGCCAAAGGGCGGCGCGCACATCCTAGGCAAGCTCGTACCGCAAGATGTAAGTTCTCTACGAAATGGTCTCCTCTCTCTTATCGGGGGGTATTAACAGCAAAACTCTCCATCAGACCATCGTAGCAGTCTGGCAGTACGCCGTCAGTCACGACGAACGTTTCTGGAAAGATCCTTTCTCCTTCTCGCCGGAACGATTTATGGGCGATCCGGCGTTCAAGAACGACCGGCTCGACGCGATGCAGCCATTTAGCCTCGGGCCGCGAAACTGCATCGGCCGCAAGTAAGTCCCGCACGCACTTCGCCCGACCTACCTCGAACACTACGTATTCTGACTTCACATCTTAGTTTGGCCTACGCTGAGATGCGCCTCATCCTGGCCAAGATCGTCTTCAACTTCGACATGAAGCTCAGCGAGGATAGCTTCCGCTGGATGGAAGATCAGGTGGCATACAGCCTATGGGATAAGCCGTCGCTCAATATTCACATGAAACCAGTTACCGCAAAGTGAGACTGAAGATTTAACCTTGACACAGTAGGTTGGGACAGGCTGTCGCTGGTAGACAGTGAACACGTACACAAGGGCCTCACTTCTCGTCAGTCGGGCACTCTAAAGTAACAAGGCGGATTTTTTACATTACCACTCATAACATCACGCAGAGATCTCCGATGGTGGGTACTAAAATGGATATCATCTCATAATTTCACCTTGATTTTCAAACCCTTCGAAGGTTGTGGATTGTTTATGGAAGTCCACGTATGGAACCGAAGTTGCTTGCTATGACAGCTGATACGAGGTAGGGAATGAGTGTAAGTTACTCATACATACGCACACATGGCTATCCAGGGTTGGACATATCGAGTCCTGATTTCCCCCCTTCGTATTCATTATGTGATCCTATTACTTATTACTTTCATCAATACCCTACTAGTTAATGATACACGCTTCAATACCATACAGCAGTTTCCACGCTTATTATTTCTGTGCACTACTGGAGAAGTTATTAATATTGACTTGGCTGTAGTAACATTTCCAACTAGGCTTTGGTTTCTTGAAATAAGCTTAGGGCCCTCTTTCCCTCGGTCCCTAGTTTCGTTCAGGGATCTTGCCGTATTCTAAACGGCGTATCGATACTCAGGGCGGCTCTCCATTCCTGGCGCGTGCGCAACCTCGCCTGAGTCAAGCTTCTTGTTGAAACGGGCGTAGTACTGACGCATCACCAAGGCCGTAATGATGAAGACGCCCTGCGTGCAGCCGACGGTAATCAGCGCCGGCCGGTAAACGGGCGCATCCTCGGCCCGGTAGATCATCGAGGAAATCACGCCGGCTAAATTCATGCCCATATAATTCAGGCCGAGCGACACGGCACGACCGGTGGTGGTGGGAGTGTTGGACGCGAGCCACGCGGGCACGATATTGCTCGGGATGAAGGTAGCGATAGTGATCAGGTACGTCAGGAAGTAGCCGACGCGAGGCTGGTGGACCAAGTCGAGAGTGCCCAGGAGAATCCAAGCGACCAGGGAGATGACTGTAGAGCCGCAAGCATACGTCGCCCGTTGTTGGTAACGGTCCGAGAGCCAGCATATCGTCACTTGGAAAACGGACGCCACCAGATTCGGCCCGACAGTGTATAAATTGGCGGTGGTAGCTTCGTTCGTGAGCCTTTTAATCATCGTCTAATATCACCGAGGGTCGTCAGTATTAAACACCCTCAACAGCAACCCTTGGGACCTACCGGGAGGAAGTTCGAGCTGCTAGCGACACCAACACCGTACATCAGGGCCATGAATGCGTAGACCCATGTCTGCCATTGCCTGAGTTGGTTCCTAGCATCCCCCCAACGGAACTTCTTGTCCTGGTCCTGGGAATCCTGCTCGAGGCGGGCCTTGGCGAGCCTAACCTCCTCCTCCGTGTACCACCGCGACTTTTCGGGACTCCGGGGAGCAAAAATGTAGAGGTAGGCTGCGACAAAAATCGTTATCGAGCCTTCGATGAGAAAGAGGTATTGCCAACCCTTGAATTCCGCACACGTTAGTCCCATCTTATCTCACATGGCCAGGGTAGGGGGGTAATTATAACATAGCATCATAGATGCCCTACCTTCAGGTTTCCCTCCCACTGAAAGACGCTCCAGGAGATCAAACCAGAGACAGCTCCCTATTTACCATGTCAGCCACGTGAAGCAAAAGAATATCTATTACTACTCACGGCGATGAACCCCATTTGGCCAATCCAGGAGACACGGAATGCCATCTCCTTCCGGGTATAGAACAAAGACAGGTAGTAAACCTCGCAGGGTTTATCTGAATTTCGTCAACACCAACGACACGAGGGCACGCAGGTAGCATAAGGGCACGATGGTTGTCTTTGGGACGTACTAGACAATCGGTCAGTTAGCGTCCAGTAGACCAGCTGGGGACAACGTGCTGGCTACGTACCAGGCTGCTTCAACGGCACCCATTACGATCCTCGTCGCCATGATATCCGCAAATGTCTTAGACGCGGCGGCGCCCATCGTGCAAGCCCCCCAGCCTAGGATCGCAAGGGGGATCACCCGGGCAGAGTTGTACTTCTTTGCCAGAATCGACCAAGGAATGTTGAAGAGAGCATAGGGGACGTAGAACAGGACGAGAAGGAGCGAGAATTGGTTGCCAACAAGTCCCAGGTCCTTCTCGATACCGTCCGTCTTCGCATTCCCAAGGTTGGCCCGGTCGAGCGTATGGGTGAAATAGGCGAGGGCTTCGGTGGTCAGGGTTAGATCACACAAGAGAACAGCAACCGAAGAGGGAATCAGGACAGTTCTCACCCAAACCCGGCATCATCAGCAAGTCCGTCTTCCTCACAAGCTTCCTCTCGGCCGCTCTATCGTTCTCGAGAGACCCGACGTCGTCCACGAACGTAGATCCGGACCGCTTCTCCTCTCTGTCGCTTCCCGCCATGATAAAGAACCAAGGGTGTAGTATGATACAGCAACGTCACCTGTAAATATTACGACGGGCATCAGATAGCGTGGAAGCAAGCCTACGTGTTAGGAGTAACGAACACGATGCTCATATAGCTACCTTTATCTATATATAGGTATATGCTCGTTTCTTATCTAATATCTCGAAGATATCAAGCAGACGTTGGAATGCCCACCTTCGATGCAATGCCGCCTCGAGACTCCCTGCCCGCAGTTCGTGCTGTCTGAATTGCGTGATAGCTAACTATCGTATCTTCCCTACATCGAGCTGTACAGTAATATAGCGATTCGCGAGGAAATCAGAGGGCAAAGGGCCGAGAGTCCAAGGGTCTAGGTAGGAGTGAGCTTCTGCTGCCAAGGCACACAAGTCGTATGTTGGCGGACTTAGTCTCGAGCTGCAGCTCGATCCGGGCTTACCCGATGGCCGGTTCGGAGGCGTCCTCCCGAAGAAGTGAAGTATATAAGACCCGTGCCTCATCCGTCAGGCACGGGTTTTTCTCGAGGTAAGAAAACCGCAGAACCAACATGATGGGAACACGACCTCCTCGATAGGGGCCCGGTTTTTCCCATGGACGGCCTCCCCCCTAAGCCGAAGCCAAGCCTAGTCCCCCGCACAACTGTCGAAGTCGCTCGTGAGGCGATGCAGGGATAGCATGGCGTCAGTCACCTGGGCGGTGTGGGGGAGCACTTGGACGAACGACTAGACGAGCAGTCGAGAGGAGAAAATGGACTGTCGAGTTGCGTGCTACGAGCTAGCGAAAGATCAGTGTCTATGGCCACGATGGCGGCGTGCGCGGCCAAGACGAAATACTCGACCAGCCGGACGAAGCGACTCCGAACTACGACGACAGACTAGCATCGGCTGCGGGGCCAGAACTCCATGCCGTTCGGGCATGGATTCCCGATAGGCCCCCCGACATCGCAGACCTCGAAACTAAAGCTAGGCCGAGAAGACACGACGAGATTTTGGCGGCCATTGCGATGTTGATCCCCCTCTCTGCTACTTCAGGGCCTTGATCCAGTGCGTGTCCCGTGCGAGGGTTTCCGAACAATAGGTATCTATCGAAGCCATGGCTGACGTGACAGCCAGCGCCGAGACCGACCCGACGCGAGATGTTCCTCTGCGGACACCGCCGGCAGGCCGACCAGCGGGGGAGGAGGCGGAGGCTCCGAACGAAGGCGCCCTCGTCGTCCACCCCGAGGCCTCGCCGCCTGGCTGGTTGCGGCGCTGGCGACACGCCTTGGTCGCGGTCGGGTTCGCTGTTCTGATCGCCCCTTTCGCGTCGCTGGGAAGCTGGTTCCAGCCGGCGGAGGCACCCATCGAACCTACCGACTACGCTCTACGCACGAAGCGCGTCCTAGCAACTACGCCGCTCATAGACGGCCACAACGACTTCCCGTGGCTGCTCCGCGTCGAGCTGCACAACCGCATCTACGACGGCAGATATGACCCGGGTCAGCGCCTGCTCGGCCACACGGACATCGGCCGCATGAGGAAAGGCATGATGGGCGGCCAGTTCTGGAGCGTACATGTCAAGTGCGACGCGGCCCAGAAGCACTTCGAGGATCCGTCTGTAAGCCCCCCCCCCCCCAATATCCGTCTACCTAAAGCGTTCCGGAGGGGGGCGCATGAATGCTAAGGCGGGGCCCGCGTCGCTGTTAGTGGATCGTGCGCGATACGCTGGAGCAGATCGACGTGGCGAAGCGATTTATCGCCGAGTCGCCGGACGTCTTCGCGTACTGCGGGACGGCGGCGTGCGCGCGCGCCGCCTTCCGGAGCGGCCGCATCGCCAGCATGCTAGGCATCGAGGGCGGGCACCAGCTGGGCGGCTCGCTAGCCGCCGTGCGCCAGGCGTACGAGCTAGGCGTGCGCTACATCACGACGACGCATAACTGCGACAACGCCTGGGCTACGTCGGCCTCGACCGTAGCGCGCGGCTACCCCGACCGCGGCCTTACGCCGCTAGGCGCCGCCTACGTCCGCGAGATGAACCGCCTCGGCATGATGATCGACCTCTCGCACGTCTCGCACCAGACCATGCGGGACGTCCTGTCGGTTACCCGCGCCCCCGTAATCTTCTCCCACTCCGGCGCCTACGCCGTAACCGCGCATCTGCGGAACGTGCCGGACGACGTGCTCCGGGGCCTCCGCCAGAACGGCGGCATCGTGATGGCCGTGTTCGTAAACCGCTTCTTAAATATGCAGGACCCGAGCGCCGCGACCATTCACGATGTCGTCGATCACATCTGGCACTTGGCTTCGGTAGTCGGCTGGGACCATGTGGGCCTCGGGTCCGACTTCAGCGGAACCCCGTTCACGCCGAGCGGCCTCGAGGTAAATCTCTCTTTATTATTCCTCGCCCGCGCCGCCTACCCCTAACTAACGAAACCTGCGCGCTGCACTTTCAGGACGTGTCGAAGTATCCCGACTTAATCGAGCTTCTGATGGCCAGGGGGGCTACGGACGACCAGATCAGGCTCTTGGCAGGCGACAACCTACTCCGGGTGTGGGAGTCTATCCAGGGCCGGGCCCGCGAGATCCAGGCCGAGGGTGGCAAGCCCGTCGAGGAGGAGTGGGAGGGGCGGCAGTGGCACAAGGGCTACAAGAACTCGCCCTACATGTATCGGGAGACCCGCAAGAGGGCGGCTAGGGAGGACTGGGGCCAGCCCGACCAGTTCAACGTCGACAAGTCCGGGAAGCACAGGGCCGCAGTCAAGGCCGAGAAGGACGTGTGAGGCTATTCGCGGGCAGAGACTCTCTCGCGTGTCTAGCTACCCGACAGGCTGTCTTCTAGGGGGCAAAAAACCTGAGTCATGTCCGTAGTTCTACCTACGCAACAGATGTCTTGGCTCTGCAGCGTCTCCGTCTTGGTCGGGGCGGATATCTGCGGTGAGGTCGTCAACGATCCACCGCATCACGCAATTCGAGGCCGTACCTATCGAAGACAGCTAGATTCCTACCTGTAGTAGCCTGCCTTCTGGCAGTAGCAGTAGCGCGATACTACTTCTAGCACTGATGCCGTAGGCACCTATGCTGTACAGCGGGAGCGGCGGTAAGCGAACAAGCAACCACATCATCGGCTACGGGGACCCGAAGAACCGGCAAGGTCGTATCCGACACCCAAGCGTTCGGGCTTTCGGGCTTCCTCGCGTTACTTAGACGTAGGGTAAAGCCCCCGCGGCCGATCCCTCGCCGAGTCATCCAGGGTCTAGGGTTAGAGCAGACAGAAGCGGTTTAACCAGAATCGCGGCGCAGTGCGCTAACATAGGCGAGTCGAGATGCGCGCCAGGCTACGCATCTCCTGCCGGCAACACGACCTCATTACAATCCCCCGTCAGCGATTGGCTTCCCCCCTCCCCAGGCGTCCATCGCCCAGTTGTCTCATTCATGAGGGGGGATTGCGTGAACCGAATCCGGCTGGGGAGGCGACGCTGCGTTAGATGATCTTCTGAGGCGCCTCAGGCCCGTCTTCACCCATCCACCCCCCTCACCGGAGTCATGTATCAGACGGCCTGGTATTCTTCTCTACGTACATATGTAGGCATGGTAGACAGGCAGCATGATAGCGCCTGCATATACCACGTGTGAGTACACCTACATATATACCCCATGTGAATGTATGCATGCCTTAATTCCTCACTCCCCGCCTCTCCGTCTCACTCTCCCCCGTCTTCGTCGTCTGCAATCATAATCGGGCTATCTCCTCCCGCAAGGAGATGGCTGTCCTCCCTGCGTCATTGGAGGACCTTCCGGCCTTCGACCTCGCGTTCCTCAGCTTGCTAGCCAAACTGCTATTCTTCACCCCGACAGCCTTCTTAGCCATCTACGTCCTGCTCAATGAGGTAGTCCGATTACGAGCTCGGATCCCAAAGCTGCCGGGACCATGGGGCTACCCGCTGGTGGGGAGTCTTCCGTCGCTGCGCGGCACCGCGACCTCGGACGAGTATAGAATTGTACGTAGGTAGTTAGTTCCTAGTCGTGACGCGCCCCTCCTGCTCCTACAGCCTACGCGGGAAGCTCCAACATGGTTTCGTCGACTTTCTTTTCCACGATCCCATAAACTCGCCGCACCGGAAGCTCCTTCAGCTCCCGGGCACTCCCACTCCGGCAGGGAAATGTGGACTGATTCCTGTGACTAGTGGGCCCAACGCTACGGCGACGTGTTCCAGGTACAGCTCGGAAACGTTCCGGCCGTCATCGTGAACACCGCCGCAGCGGCCCGCACCCTCTTCATCAGTCAGCGCGAGGCGACGAACTCGCGACCCGTCTTCTACGTGCTTCACAAGCAGGTGCAGCAGGGCCGCCCCGTAATGAGCATAGGGACCAGCCCGTGGGACGAGAGCTGCAAGCGGCGGCGCAAGGTCGCCGCCACGGCTCTCAACAAGACCAGCACGGAGAGTTATTACCCGGTACGTGCGTGTTCTTGTGCGATCCGTGCTCGGTTCCCTAACTTCGGCCCGACAGATTCTAGACCTCGAATCTCGGGCCTTCATTCTGGACATCCTGTCTAGCTGCAAGGGAGGCAAGGCCTCTGTTGACGTGCTCGACCTGACGCGCAAATTTGCCCTGAACCTCAGCTTAACGCTGGCCTACGGTACTCGGTGAGTAGCGCTGCTCCTCCTGCCGCTGCAGCTCCGGCTGCCTTGCCGAAACGCGGGGAGGCTGACAACGTGCGATGTGTGCGCGCAGCGTCGAGGATGTCAAGGACCTACACCGGGACCTGGTGATCTCCGAGATCCTCTACATCGAGGACGAGATCTCCAAGTTCCGGAACCCGACGAGCAACTTCTCCAACTACATCCCCCTGCTCCGGCCCCTGAACACGATCGCCGGCTGGGTTGGGCGGCGCGGCGGCTCCCACATGGCCGACGTGGGGAAGCGGCGGTACGCGTACCACAACGTCTTGCAGGAGAAGCTGCGGCGGGACATCGCCGACGGCGTCGACCGCCCTTGCATCCAGGGCAACGTCCTCAAGGACCCCGAGAGCAAGGGCCTCACCGAGGGCGAGCTGCTCAGCATCGGCCTCAGCATGCTCGCCGGCGCCGACACCACCAAGCGTTCGCTGATGTGGGCCATCCTCTTGCTAGCTCACCGCCAGGACATCCAGGAGAAAGCATACCAGGCCATCCAGGCTACCGATCCCGACCTGCTCGGATCCCCCCACGCCTCGCACTCCAGGGTCGAATACGTAGAGGCTTTCACCAAGGAAGTCGGCCGTTACTTCGTCGTCCAGCGGTTGGCACTGCCCAAGGCCACGTATTCCGAGGTTCATTGGAAAGGCGCAACCATCCCGCCCAACACGCTGCTATTCCTCAATGCATGGGCGTGCGCGCGAGGTGAGTGGGGCATGCATTCCTTTTTCTCGTCTCTCCTCGTCCCCGACTCGTAGCCATGCGCGGGCCTTCTCTCGCTGACGCGGCCCCGCCCACTCCTCCAGATCCCGCCGTGTTCTCGGACCCCAACGCGTTCGCGCCGGAGCGCTGGATGGACGGCGACCAGACGGCGAACCGGCACCAGTACGCCTTCGGCATCGGCGGACGCATGTGCGTGGCGAGCCACGTCGCGACCAAGGCGCTGTACGCCGTCTTCCTTCACCTCGTTGCCCACTTCCAAATCCTGCCGGCAGAGGAGACGATGGACCCGATCGTCGCAGATCCCATAGAGGGCCTCCTGACGAGGGAGAACCCCATCGCGGGACCCAAGGCTAGGACGGTGCGGTTCATTCCTCGGAATGCTGAGGTTACGAAACGGATGCTATCCTCAGTGCTGTAAAGGGTAACCAGTGAGATACCGCGCATGATACATGATATAGAGACGGAGAAAATTACTGAAATATGTACTATACCTACTGTTGTTAAGTTCACGTCAATGCGAGGCTTCAAGAGGCGCTCCCGCGGGAAGCGAACGTTGGTCTGGAGACATAACATGCGCCAAATAATGGCAAGAGAAGGTGTATGATATAAAGGTCGTACGGTTAAGAATAGCCAAGGGAAGAAACATAAACTCCGATACCTGTGGCTGCCTACTATCCAGCTGATATCGATATGCCTTTTAAAAGCCGCTCTTATATAACCAGCCTAAACGGGTACCAACCCCGAGGTTTAGGTGTGGAACGAGTGCCTTGGATCTTCTTATGGGTAATGCTCTGAAAGCCGACATCATTTCGGCAAGATTCGATACCGGCCTATCAATAAGGTATGGCAACGCAATATTTGATGCTATGCAACGAGAAAAGACTAGGAAGAAAGCATCTACGAATAACGAAGTCGAATGCGTATACTCAGGAGTACACCTTGCCATTCTACATGAGATTCACGCCTAATAACTGGTGAGCTCAGCACAAAGGTGTACATGCCGTCAGTAAAAGGGACGCATGGCTTTACCTATGCTACCAGCCCCTGATTTTGCATGTCTTGTGATGCCCGTCAGACTCAATCCGACCACCTTCATAAAATATTCGTGGCATGAGGGGTGGCAAGTCTGGTAAGGTGGTCCGGGTTCTCGAGCAAGCTGCCGGTGTTGACAGATATAGTTTCCGGAAGACCAGGCGATTGTAGCGCGAGTGCCTATATCCACCGAGTCTAGAGGCATCGTCCGAACTTGATATGCCGACGATAGTGCCACTCGGCGTAGGGATTCGTTACCTGGCGCGTAAAAAGCCCTCGTGATACTCAGTCTTAAGAGCAAGTAAAAGGAATACGATAAGCGTTTCACTATTCCTACATAGCGGGCTGGATATCGACGTGGGACCTTTTCCCCCCCGGGGGATAGGTAATCGGAAGCGATCCGTAGGACCGACACAATCGCGTCAACCTATCTTCTTCATGATTTTGATAAGATCGTCGATTCTCGACTCGTACTTCTCGCGTTGCTGGGCTAGCTCCTCCTCGTACTTGTCCTTCAACTGCTTGACCTCGTCCCGGTGCTTCTCTTTCTCGGCTCTGAGCACTTCTTGAAACTCGTCGTCCATCTCCTGGAGCATATGACTCAGCCTCTCGATCTCGCTAGACTTCGGGCCTCCCCCGTCCACCGGCTCGCGCTTCGGGGGGATCACGGCGGGAATAGAGGCGTCCGAGTCAGATGAGCTATCGGATGGCTGGAGGTCGGAGGTGATGGGCATCAAGAGACCCTCCGTATGCTGGAACTGGTTCTTTGTCCTGGGCTGGATAGGATGCCGGCGGCGGCGGACGCGGTGCTTCCCGGCGGGAGATTCATCAAACTCCTTCTTCGTATGCGGGGGCGAGCAGGCAAGACCTTTCGCCGCGCACCGCAGGCACTTATCGGGCCAAGTCCGTCCTTTTGGGTGACACTAATCGCGATTAGCGGGAGCACCTTGGTGATCAGGGCGACGAGAGATACTCACAGTTAAGTGGCCCGTCCGGCATTGATCGCACTTAAAACGAGTCGTTTCTCTACGTAAATCGGCAGCCGCCGCAGAAACACCCGTCAGGGGTGGTTCGCAGTGTTGGCCTCTGGCTACGCACCGGTCGCAGGCGTCGCTGTTTTGGCGGTAAATACACTGCCGATCTTAGGGGTAAGCAAGCCTTCGCGGTTTCGGACGTTGCGCATCAGGTAAGGGGCCGCTTCGTAGATAACTTGCCTTTACATGGTTCTTACGACAGGACTCGCAATTCCGAGGCACGCATTGAAAGGGTTTTTTTGGCATCTCGTTTTATTAACGTCGCCTTGCGCCGAACGAAGGTTTCCGAACAGCGATAAACAACGCGAGCGCAGTGAAGGAAACTAGATAGTACGTACGGAACGGCCGACGCGCGCGGGGGTAGATCGTAAAACCGGGCGGTAAATAAGACTAGGTATATATGTAGAAAAGAATACTGTTACGTACGAAATTGGTTTTTATATCTCGACATACTATAAGTTCTAGAATATAGATATTTACGTTTTATACTATAAATAATTAAAAAGAAAATATTAATATTAATAATTATAAAATAATAATTTACAAAGAAAATTTAAATTTTTATTAATACATGATTTAAATATAGAAATTGTATAAGTATAAAGTATTTAATATATTTTATTTACTAATATATATGAATTAATAATATTATATATATATTAATAATTATAAAAAATTTTAATATTTCATTAAATTACTATATTCTTAACTATATAAAATATATTTTAATTAATTATATTCTTTTCTTATTTACGTTTGTATATTTTTACAGTTTTTATTTATTTATATACAGTTTAATAAAAGGTTAGTTTCGCGTAGTTTAATGAAACGTTAATTGCTAATTCTAATTTGTAGTCTAATTAAGTATTAGTTTCTACTTACTTCTTTTTCATCACTTAATATTTAGTAAAGTTCTAGCTCTTTGGTATAAAAACATACTTAGAGAAGCGCAGAGCGCTTTAACGTAGATATATCAATCATCTGCTTTACTTCGGATAGAATCGTATTTTAAAGAGGTTTATACTTACGCAATCAGTGTAAATTGGCGGAAGCATTCGCTGATGTAATAATCACTTTTGTGCCCCATCCTCCGATCATCTAGGTAGATGCGCGCGGCGATAAGGCTAAACGGACGTGCTCTCCCTTCCCTTTTCACAGCGTGTAAACCAGCTTGCCCGCGCTCACCCGGCCAGCCCGCAACTCGTCCAAGCCCTTAAGCACGCCCTCTAGGCCGCTTCCCCCTCGGTTTACGAACGTGCGGATGGGCCTGATCGTGCCGTCCGCCAATAGCTGCGGCGTCAGGCTCAAGAATCGGGTCCCGAACTCCAACTCGTCCGGCTTCGGGGGCACATCGCCGTCCCACCACGGGTACCCGTCGCCAAACGCATCGTAGGCGAGGTGAAAGTACGGGCCGTCGACCTTGGGGTTGAGCTGCCTGAGGAGGTCCTTGTCGACGGATATGATGGTCGCATACTTGCTTTCCTCGGCGTCGCTCAGCGCCGCCGCGCACACCTCCACGCCCTTCCCGGTGCAGTCCCAGGCCAGCTTGAGCTTGTTGTTCGTGAACGCCTTGATATCCGCCCCGCACGTCGGCGACTTGTAGTCGAACACGGCGTCAGCCCCTAGCGACTTGACGTAGTCGAAGTTGTGAGGGGACGCCGTCGCTATCACCGTTAGCCCCGATGCCTTGGCGTATTGGATGCCGTAGAGCCCGGTGGCGGTACTACCGCCGTAGATGAGGATAGGATACGGCGTCTTGGTCGGCTCGCTCGGGAACGGCAACCCAAGGATCTTGTAGAGACCTTGGCCCTTGTGCGATGTTAGCTGGTATGTCTGTCGTCGACCTGGGCCCCAGGTCTGGCTTAAGCAACGTACCAGTGTTGTTACAGAAACACCAAAAGTAGCGGCCTCTTCGTCGCTAATGCTGTCGGGAACCTTGAATTGAAGCGCGGCTTTAGCAGTGAGGTAATCACCGAACGAGCCGAAGTCGTGGTTGTGTCGATTCCTGGAGGTATCACGCTCGAAGCGTTAGCAACCGGCAAGAGCGGCGCTATATAAGTCTTCATAAGTCTTCAGTAACCAACTTACCCCCCGTGGACCCAGCCTGCTATACGATCGCCCTTCTTGAAGGGCTTCGCGACGCCTTCGCCGACCTCTTCCACGATCCCGACGTAGTCCAGTCCTATCCTTGCGCCAGTGCCCGCTAGGCCATATTCAATCGTTTTCCAGTCGGCAGGGTTGACGCCAATCGCCTTGACCTTCACGAGGACGTGACCCTCACGCAGTCGAGGCTTAGGCACTTCCTGGATCTCCGCCTTGCCTCCCTCTCCCCGCACGACTGCCTTAACCATGGTTGCTTTTTTTCTCGGCTTAGGTGGATGTGGTAGATGGGAAGTACAATCAATTTGGATAGGCAGCCGACTCGTCCAGTTGTACTGCGTGCATCGGTACGGCTGCACGCCAGGTTGGCGGGTTCCTAGATATTTATATCCGTCTTGCTTCCGGGGCCCCCCAGCGCCGAGTTCTCGATAACATCGTTACTGGAGCATAGGTACTATTACGTAGCAAATCCACACTACTCAATATGCCGCGCAGGTTCCAGGGCGCAAGTAGATGGTCTATTAGTAATAACTAACGACCCTGCTGGCGTGTAATGTAATAAGTAATATATGCCATACTACGCTGTTGTGAGAGGAAGTTGTCTCATGATGATAATCCCCACCCTCACTAGTTATATCTGTATTTCAAAGCCAGATTGATTGATAATCAACAATGCCGTCTGTTACATACATGCGACTAGAACCAGGCACGGTTGGCGGCTTGGCTACATGGGCCAGGAAATAATATTTGCGGTAAAATAGCATATATCTTGTAGTCCAACCGACTTGAGAGTCTGCAAAATCCTTAATAGCCCAGCCGTCTAGTAAAGGTCATCAAGAGTCCCGATTCGCCCGCGCAAGGGTGAACCGATCCGACCCGATCCGATCCACCAATTCGCAAAGCCGACGCAGAAAAGACATAGAACTCCGATTTGGTATCTATCATGCTATCTAAAAAGGGGTAGTCGCCTCGGCACAGAACGAAAAAGAGGCAGCAATAGATGGGAAAAAGTCAAACCGCTAAGCATCGCCTAACACGATGTATTAGTCCCTTACCACCGTGAGGAAGTGGCCGGTCCACTCCGATGTATACAGTATCAGTTAGTCTTCCAAACCCGGGGCGTAACTACCGGCCGCCGTAATCGCTGGAGTAACCGATGTGCTCGCCAAAATTCTGCTGCATGCCGCCTTCGCCAAAGCCCGTCCCTGGACCGCTGACGTAGCCTGTCTCCTCGCCATCGTCGTAGTCGGAGTTGTCGAAACCGGGGCGGCCGCTGATTTCGTCTTCGACATTGCCGAGGTCGTTTTGTCCCCAGTTCATCTGCGCCAGCGCCGGGTACTGCGCCAGTAAAGCCGCAGGTAAGGCGTAGCCGCCAGCATCCATCCCCGGATAGACGGTGGGATCCATGGCTGCTTGCTGTTGAGCCATGTTTTGAGCCATGTTTTGTATCCGCTGCTCCTGCCACATCCTCTGTCTCTCGATCATTTCTTCATCCAGCAAGGGCTTGATGCATATGCGGCCTGCCTCAGATCGGAAATGGCGTCCCAGTGCATCCGCTCGGGCAAACCGTCTACCGCAGCCCCACTGGCCGCCCGCCTTTAGGTCGCCCCTGCAGACGAACTTCTTTTCGCCCGAGTGAAGGCCTTCGTGACGTTTCCTGTCGTGCTGCCTCGCAAATGCCTTCCCACAGACGGTGCATACGAAAGGCCGCTCGTCGGTATGTGTACGCAAATGGGATCTTAGGTTATACGCTCGGGTAAAGCGCTTAGGGCAGAGGGTACACTGGAATGTGGCAGGATGCTTCTGGACCCTCTTGGTGGTGCCGTTGTCCTGCGCAGCTTGGTACTCCGGGTCTGCTAGCCGAAGCGCAATCACATTGTTGGGGACTGCCGACATAGACTGACGTCTCCTCGAAACGGCATTTGCACTGCCGGACCTGTCATTAGGCGACAGTGATCGCGAAGACGACTCGGATCCGGAACGGCTACGGTTAGCTAGGTCGTCGCCGAGGTGTGGCGATAGACTTCCAGGGGTATTCGGTCGCGAGAGGACGGCCCCTCCGCTGTTGAACGGATCCGTGACCGCTCGCGGACGGGATCGGGGGCGGCCTAGAAACTTGTCAGTGATGCAGAAGCTCGCGATGTCGAGATCAATCTCACCTCTATCGGGTGGCGTCAAGGACTGCGCGTCCATGGGCGGCTTCGGCAATTCAAAGGTATTCTGCCTCGAGTTGGGGGCAAAGTCGATGTTGATCGAAGGGGGGGCCATCGATTGCGCGATAGTTGGATCTATCGGCGCCTCTTGGGATAGAGTCGGAAATTGCTCCGAGGTCTGCATAGGGTAGCTCATCGTAGGAGCGTTTGGGTATCCAGCATTTAACAATACGCCCTGGCTCGGCTGTCCACCGTCAGACAACTGCTGAGGGAGCAGTCTAGGGGATATGGCCGGACTGTGTGACGGACTACGGCTGTTCTGGTTGTGATCCGATATACTAAAATTGCCCAAGTCAACAACCCCGTCGTAGAACCCATCCGTGGGCCGTTGCATGGGAGAATGGCCATGCTCCGTGTGCTCGAAACTGTCGCGGCCTGTCAAATTTGGGGACGCAGCGGCCGAAGATACATCAGAGTACTCAGACGGCGTCCTGCGGTGGCCTTGGAATTGAGGTGCCTGGCTCCAGTCAAATTGTCCCGGCAACAGGGCCGCTTCCGGGCCGAGTGAGGTATGTCTAGAGTGGCGGCCCGGCGGAGAGGAGAATTGATGCTGGTTAAAGGATGGCGACTGGTGGGCGGAGCCGGGATCAGGCTTTAGGAGATGGGGCGGAGTGGGAGAGTGGTGTGTCTGCGGGGATGTCATGTTGGTGAGATCGTTGGGATTCAGAACTTGCGCTTCGGGTTGCGAAAGATCGCCAAACAAGGGCGCCGTGTTGAACTGGTCCCCAGGGGCGGACGGTGGAAAGAGCGAGAAGTCGCTTCCGCCGCCGAAGTCGATACCGAGGAGGTCCTGGGTGAACGAGGCTTGAGGCTGCGACGAGAGGGCTTGGGCGAAGTCCTGATTCGGGTTGAATGAGGCCTGGTCGACGACAGCCTGCTGATCGAAGGGCTGCGATTGCGACGGGCTCAAGAATGGGGCGTTGCCGCTGTTATTATCGTAGGTGTTGAAGTCGGGGGAGGTGAATTGGGGGCTAGCTGCTGGTGCTGCTGATGCGGCGTTGATACCAATGCCGAGACCGATCGATGGCTCCGGGGATCGATATGGTTGAGGCGAAGGAGAATGACTATTTCTTATATGAGGTTGCTGATGACCAGCGGATGGTGAGCGGCCGCGAGCCGGACCCGCGGGTTGGACAGCTTGTTGATCCATAGCGCGTACGTTGTTTCTGTCTTTAGAAATCCCAAGTTGGCGAGGTTGACTGATCTCGGAATCTGCCTGACGGGTGGCGCAGCCCCGGAGACGCTTTTTAGGGGCTGTGCTCGTTAGGCGAGTCTGACCCGTTCCAGGATACTGCTTTTCCCCGTACCCAACGCGACCAAGCCAAATATGGTGGTACTCGGTCGTTATCGTTCTACTCTACCCAAACCTGGCCGTCGGCAAGGGGGGAGTCTTGGCCCAAGAATGGAGTAGGGAAATTGTCTAGAGGTTCTAGATTTAGATTTAGATTTAGACGGGTGGCCGGACGAACAGCTCTGTTGGAGTACGGACGGGTCCGCGGAGACAGAGGCAACGAGGGGGAGGCAAACTAAAACAGGGAAGACCGGCAGGCTCCAGATTCCGGGTGACGGCCTAGTAGTTGATCCGGTTGGCTCTGGGAAAGGGATGTACAGCACGTTTCGCGGGCGGGATCTGCGACAGTGAGAACTTGGCGATTCGGGAGAAGATGTCAGGCTGGCGAAGACGCTCGGAAGCCGGCGTTCTCGAGAACGTGGTGTCGCGCAGATTGCGGGCCGCTCAGCGGGATGGCTTACGAGGCAGTGTAAAGTGGTAAGGTGAATGACCGGTATTGACGCGAATGATAACCATTAAGCAGTCAGGTTGCCTGGGGACGGAGGGCGATTGATTCGGTTGTTCCCCACTACTGGAGTTGCGTCGCCCGCTCTGCGTATATAGCAGGTATAGCACGAAGGGATGTATGTATGCCTCGCCCTCGTTTCGACTCTCCGAAAAGAATGCATACACAGACGAACGGTTGATTTGTCGGACCGGACCGGGTTCGAACAAAACCGCTCGAGTGGTCGTCGTCGCTACTCGTTGCGGAGGAATGCGACAGCCGGCCTGCGTGCGAGAGAGGCTTTTTCTCCCTCTCCCTCTCTCCAATTCGCTTCCTTTGTGATGCGACGCCGGGGGTGATGGACCGCCCTGAAACTAGAGGAATGACAGGTGGGGTGGGTTTAATTGCACTCGATCAAGCAGTTTGCTCTTGGGGAGGAAGTTCGGCTCTCTACGTCGACGGCGGGTTGAGCAGACACCATGCGTAGGACCTCGAGAGGGCGATGGCAGGTGAAGGACTCAGGGGAGACTGGTAAAGAAACTTGCGATGGACGGACAGGCTCATGTTGGGACAACCCTCGATCACCCCGCCCTGGCGCCCCACCATGTTTTGCACTACCTCGTAAGGTCCTAACAGGTAGGTACTTAAGACATGCCTGTAGGCACATGTAGGCGGGTTATTTACAGGCAGGTGGGTGTGTACCTGCTTCACATGTCCATATTGGTATGTACCTATGTATGTAAGTAGATACCTGCCTACTTACTCATACCTACGCACCCACCTCCCTGGCCCTGGGTTAGGTGCCTATCTAACCTCTAACCAGAGTCCCTACACCTACCTAACGTTATGTACAGTACAGGTATTTACCTATAGTTAGGTACGCATACGATATATACCTCCTGGGTACCTGTATATATTTAAGGGAGAGGCATGCTTTACGTCGGGAGGAATGCGGCGATTCTCAGAATTGTCTAGGAAACGGAAATGGGGGAAAGGAAATCGAAAAGCTGTAAGCACTTAGTTACTTACCTAGGCATCTAACCTATAAGGTATAGAGGAAGTATGTTAGGAGACAAGGCACATACCTACGCGTAAAAGGCAGAGGGGTACTTAGGACTGCGAGAGTGTGCCCTAAGCGCACAAGATACCTAGGTATATACCTAGGTACCTCTCGACCTATACACACGCACATATAGAACACGCTTACCTACTGAGTATACCTTGCATGGAAGTTAGGCAACCCCCGACTCATGGCGTCGTTGTTATTAGGTAGCGTGATTGGGCCGTCTGGGCCCTCCCAGACCTACCAGGTTCCGTCCGTCCCAAGTTATCCCGACTTCTCCTGGGCTTTAGGGCTGGCCCACTTCCTGAAAAGGGTAGCCATGAGGCCATTTATCGCCCAACAGATGCGCTCGAAGTCTAGATCGCGTATCCTCGAACGCCTTATCAAGTACGCGCTACCTCTCAACGTACACCGGCCTTAGGTGCCTAGGTACCTAGGTAGGTAGGTACTTAATCCACCTTTGGAGGTATCCAGCACCAACACAGGTGTTGTACCTGCGAGGTTGGCTCTGGCTTCGTCAGGGTCTTGCTAGCTAGGTACCTACCTACCTAATATACAATACATATATGCCTACATACAGGTACCTACCCGTACTATGTTAACCTACCTAGCCTATAAGTAGGCCCTATAGGTAGGTACCTAGCTTATGTAGGGTGGTGTGGGCGTTTCCAGGACTCGGTGAGACAGGTCAACTTAGGTACCTGGAACCTTGGAAATGTTCAAGGAAGAAATTAAGCCAAGTCCCGTAATGCCCAATATACATATCTGTACATAGCACCTGGCGCGGACGTACATAACCGGATACTCAAAGTACAGGCAGGAAGTACCTAAGGAGGTTAGGTAGGTAGGTAAATACGAGAGGTACACACACCATAGAGTCTATATAAAGCACTCGAGGTACTGTTAAGTACCGTTCTATTATCGTATTACGCGCGCGGCTTCTATCTCCATCTAGGATCAGGATGTTAGGCAGCGATTGGATCGCGGGAGGGAGAGCGCAGGTATATTCGACATTCGATCGAAACAAGATGAGGTGGGCCTAATTCATGCCCACTCCCAAGCATGCATTGCCACACCCTCGCTTTCTTTCTCCTCCTCCCTTGTCCTCTCTCCTCCTCCCGCTCCCAATGCTGCTCGTGGCAGTCAACCCGACGGTAGGCAACCTCGCTATTGTTTCCGATAATTTCCTCCCCTCGAGGCGGTGAACGAGTGACCGTCGAGGATTTTCTCTCGTCGCATCTCGACGCAGGAGGAGGAGCAGACTTTGGATATCGATCCGTCCCATTCGCCGTCGTCTTCCAGAACCTCACCTCCCCCCTCTTCCCCCCAGCTCGATCCTGTCGTATCGTCGGCCGCGGCACGTACTATGCATTCATCTCTTGGCTGCGTAGCTGGATCGACCGGTTTAGCCTTGAGCCGACTTGCTGGCTTCCTGAGCGAAAACCGCATCCTACATACATGCAGTATAGTATGTGCCTTGCTGGCTGGCCGGCCATCTGGCCGACTGGTTGAGTGACAGGCTCCTTGTCTGGTTGGCTGGTGATCTAACGAGATGCAGAGGTGACTCAGGCTGCGCTTTTCATCCTGTCTTGGTCCCCCCCCTTCAGCCCTACTTCCATCCCGTCACCGAAACTCTTCCCACCTGCCTCATTCTTCCAGGCCCATCCTTACGTGCCGGGATCGTGGCTGTGACCTCGCAAGAGCCGTATCGTCACTCTCTCCCCCGGTCCGCCCCTCCCGGTCGGTTATCTTTCCAGAACACCTTTTAGAAGCGCTTCTAGTACAGCCCACCCCTCCGCAAATGCATACCGTACGATTCCCTGGCCTGCGAGGTGCCCCCCGCCTGCTATTGTTGCCTCCGGTCGGCCTAATTGGCTCGTGTCCGTTTCATCGTTTCATGGAAGTGTTTCGACATGGACGCGCAGACGCCCACCCAACCCACCAACTATAGCCAACCCATGGAATGCGTTGTGGCGTTGCCGTCCCGTTCCCGTATCTACGCTATCTAACAACACCCCAAAGGCATGCAAATATATGTAGGTACGTGCATACAACCTCGCGGGGAATGGGGGGCAATGTCTACCACGTAGTGTACTGCGCAGGGCAAGGTCTCTGCTACGACAGAAGATGCGTACGTATATACTCAGGGAGGTGGGCGGTGTTCTAAAGAAAGCTCCCGTATAGGTATATGGAAATAGTAGGTATGGCTTGCTTGTACGACAATGCCCACGACGCACCTAGAAAAAGAAAGACAACACGCGAGTTAGTCGAAAATCATCTCCCTATCCGGGCTCTCCCTCGTGTTAGCGATTCGCATCCCACTCACATAGAGAGAGCAGAATGAAGAGGACAGGGTGACAGACCCGTCTCGAGCCTGTGGCCTTAGACACGTGAAGGATTAGGGAAGACACGGCATGGAGTTTGCCTCAGTCAATCAGTCAAGCCAATGCAACGAGCACACACGCTCACCAGCAGCTACCCGACCGACTTAGCTCAGGTAAGAAAGATGCTAAGCCAGAATACGAAGTTCGGTTTATCACTCAGTGGCAGCATTTGCAACTCTCCCTTCGCTCACGGGTAACAGCCGGTCCACCACCGTCTTTCTTCTACGCTGCCGCCCGCTGTCTCACTGGATCTACCTTGAGGCGGCGCGGCGCACAAAGAAGGGATATAAATAGCAACGCCCTCCGCCCTATCAACGCAACATCAGAATGACCGTATTTAGTCGCCATCAATATGTACGCGTCTGCCCTCCGCGCAAGCCAGCCAGCGGGGGAGGCGTCTCCACGAACGGCATCCAGTCTAGGGCCGGATCGGTTCTGGTGCTGATGAGTGAGCCCCCCCCTTCTCAAATACATCCCGGTTTATTATTAGGCTCGTCGTTACCGCCGTCGGCGAATTAGAAACGCCTCGCGGCGGGTTTCGCCCAGTAAGATCCCGTTCTCTCACTTCCGCAATACGGCCAAAGACGACCGACATAGATCCTCGAGCTTGCGCAGAAAAGTAGAGATCTTTTGAAATCTATGTAGGAGTTGGGATTCAGACCTGAGCAAGTAATGCCGTAGCCCCTCTCGGCTCCCCCCGCCAACGCCCTTCTATTATGGGTATTCCGTCTTTGCCTTCCTCTCTCCCCCCCCCTTCTCTTTTAGTCAGTTATGCCAGTCCGGGGCTCATCGTCTAAAACACCTTAGTCTTTACCTAAAAAGTCAATCCGATGCTGGCCCCCAGAGATCCTGTCTCGCAGCGCAATAGCCGACCAACCAAACGCCCCACCCCAGCGCAAAATACAATATCTGCGGCGTCGCCCCGTCGTCGTTTACGTGGACCCGAACATGTGACACCCTAGGGGAAAAAAAACAAGAACAACCACAAGAGGCTTCCTCCCAGTGCACACGCCCTGTGTCTCGGCGGAATGGGCAAGAGACGGGAGAGAGCGTGCAAGCGTTGCTACTCTCCGATCTACATGACCTCTTCCCGCTCGTAGCCCTGCGCTTTGAGGGCGGGCCTTGGCGGCTGCTGGCCGTCCTTGTATTCGCTGACGAAGGGGTTGGGGTCTTCTTTCTGGTTGAGATTGCTTAGGGTGTGGTTGACACCGCGGTGGCAGGCTTCGTCGGCGCGAATGTAGAGGATGAGGTCCTTCATCGTCCGCTTACCCTCGGGCATGTGCCAGTACTGGACGGCGATGTCGGGGACCACGAACTTCGGGTCCGACCACTTCGGCAGGTGTCCTTCTTCGATCTGCTTGATGGCTAGCGTGTACGTGTGCACGGCCTCTTCCTCGAGGTAACCCACTGAACACATAGAGAAGGTTAGTCTACGGGCCGAAGCTGGTCCAGCGTTGTCGGGATTACTAACCAAAGCGGTGGGTGATTTTAGGAGATATCAAGTAGGTTACGAAGAGGGCGTTGAAGTAAACCCCTTGGGCGGCGAGGAGCATGAACTTCATGAACCAGCCCGGCTCGCACATCTTGATGAAGGTCAAGAGGTGCATCCGCTCGTTATAGCTTTCCTCGAGGAGTGTCTCGATCCAACCGTTGTCTCTCTTCAGCCGTCGGATGCTGTGCAGATGTCTCAGCATCCCGGCGACCATGCCAGGGACGCCGGCGATGGACTCGAGGAATAGGAAACGTAGTAGCCATTGAGCCTCGGTCAGCGGCTGGATCGTCTCGACGGCAGTTGTCGGGTTGGCCTTGTCAACCTTTTGGTCTTTCTTCATGCCAGTGAAGAAATCCATTCCCCATCTACATGTGCGTATGGCTTTCCAGGCAACCCAATCGCCCCAGGTCTTCACCGGGCGGTGGGCCGGCACGACCTGAAGCATTTCCTTTATGCCAACACGGTCCATTAGTTACTGCTCGCAAGCTTGGACGGGCCATCGAAGAACGGTGATGTCTGCGTGGCAACATGTGGGCGGGGGGGGAGAAAGAGGGACACGAGAACCTGCTGGGCTCAGATTTGGGAGAGAATCTGCTCTACTACTGACCTGTTCGGTGTAGCCATGATGCGGCCATGCTGCCGGCGTCGTGCGAATGTGCTCTGTCTCCTTGGAAGGGAAAAAGTCCCTGAAAGTGGCCACCGGGGTCGTGGAGAAGGCTCGCGAGGCCCCCTTATGCTGGACGGACACGACCAGGCCGACACGAACGGCCGTCGGATAGCCGAGCGTAGACGACCGAAACAAGGCGGTCGCTGCTCTGGACAGGTAGGCGGCCTGTCTTGTGGCGCAAACGTTGGCTTGAGCTGCGGTTGGCAACATGAGGATCACGCGGACACTGACACGCCTAGTGGCCGACTACCTGTGCTGGCTACAGCGTACGGGTTGGGTAAATAAGGCGTGAGATTCTGATCTGGACCCCTAGGTGAAGTGACGGAGGGGAAGGCTGTCTGGATTTTCTCTTGGGCGGAGGAGTAGAAAGTTTGCCTCAAGAAAAGTAACACTCTTATATGTGGCCCCCGGCTTACACGCTTACCGTTGGAGGAGTGACCGTCTTGGCCACCCCCCCCCTATGGGACAAATAGCTTAGCAAAGTCTGACCCGAACCTTTGTGACTAGGTTCGAGGCACAGTGTTACGGGCCAAGCGGGCGGAAGAGGATCCAGGATGGCTACGAAGAGTGCCCGGCATGGCTAGGACGGTGAATGGAGGCCGACCACAGACGCCGAAGAAGAGACGGGCAGCGGCTTGGGGCAGGCCCTAACTCCTCGTGGCCCTCCTTTGTTTGCCGTGTAACGTGTAGCGCCGTAGCCTACGGAGCGCGTGGTGTATTGGGTAGGTAGTTATCTAGGAGGTAGATTGGTAGTGTAGGTACGCAGCGTGTACGCAGTGCGCGGTGCGACAGCGGCTCCTTACTCATGACCCGACAGCGTCGAGCCCGGGCACGGGAGCGACGTGGTAAAAGGGGGAGGGGATGGCAGGGCCAATAGCAGCGGGCGCGATTCTCCTTAGCCAGGAACGCTCTTTGGGTCTCCGCCAAGTCGAGAGTCAGGTGGACGTGAAAAGTCGGGAATTGCAGGAGTTTGGGAGAGGCGCAAAGGAGCAAGATGAGAAAAAGGTGGGGGGCGTCTTTGCTCCGGGACATTTTCGAGTGGGGCGCATCTATTAAAACAAAAAAAAATAAAACTGGCAAACCTCTGTATCGGGTTCTCGCTTTGAGCAAGTAAGTATCTTCATGCGCCAACGACCGTGGCGCGCGACCACTTCAGTCCAAACGCAAAGGCGTCCTTAAGCAGAAAACACGGCAGAGTTTAGAGTCGTAGGACTCCACGAATCTGTCTCTTGCTGCCGGACAGCTTTTCTCGTCTTGGCCGCGGGAGGTTCGTCTTTCCCCACCGCCCGGGCAGGTCGTCTCGTCGCAGAGGGGGCAGGCCGTCGGTACCGTCGCCCTCGCAGTAAATAGCGCGCGCACCCATTAAAACAATCGGGACTCGGACTTTGCGGGCCACTCTGATTTCCATTATGCCCCCCCCCCCCCCCGTCGTCCACAACCCGCACCGGCCTTGGCCGCCTCTAAAACGCCTCCGCGGACGAGGGTGACTCATCACCTAACTTGTCTTACACCGTACTGGCGCATGTAGGTGTAGTTTAGGTATTCCCTGCCTAGGGAAATACGACGAGCTTCTCTCCCAGCCGCACTGGACGACACATGTGACCGAGATATGTCCTGGGCGCCGATCGGCGAGATGCCGCCGCAATGCAGCGGGATACCAGGACCTGTGCTCCCCGGGGAGGGATTGAAGCGAGGCTCCTCTTCAGCTAGCATGCTCGGGATATGTAGGCTGCTTTGCTTTTTATCTGCTTCTCGATTTGCATGCCCCCCCTCTTCGCGATCGGGCGGGTTGACGAGTGTTGGGAAGTTGGAATTCTATATTACCTACCTCTTACTAGCTGACGACGCATGAGCTACCTACCTGTAGCAGACAGGGAACCTTAGTCCTCGGATTCCACATAACCTACCTTGATTATCCGAGTACGCAGGGTGATATGAGAAGAGGGGTGCCCTTAGCCTAACCATGGGCAATCTTACTAAACGCAAGGACCGCCCACTACCAAAGATAATTTAGCTCTGCGTTGTCTGCGTCTACGTGACTACATCACGATTTCGCCCAGAAAGGAGATCCCAGAGCGACATTAGTACCTACGAGTAGACATACATAGGTACCTACCAACGTTCAAGTGAATAATATTCCACACAGGCTTGAAAAATACAACAGAAACCGCTCGAGTCGGACACGATATAAGACAGCATACCGGAGGATCCTAACTAGTTCCGTCACGTGAACCGATGTTGGCCCCAAGCGGTAGGTAAAGGTAGGTATGGGAATACGTAGGGGGCCTGGTCTATTTTAGGACCGTAGCGACGTCACTCAGCATGCCGTCTCTCGCAGGCCCTCTCGTCTCAGCGAGAGGTACCCAACCTCCAACCCCTGATTCCGTACACTAAGTACCTACCTACTAGGAGACTTGCTGATGTGTCTGCCATGGATCGTCTCGAGTATTTCCCCCTTAGGTACATACCTACCTATCTACCTACCTATCTAGGGGCACGGGTAGCTCTGCACAGCGGTATCCTTATGACCAGGTGGTGGCGTAAATATAGGCACGCAGGTGACCGGAAGATAGGAGGTACCTAAGGTGGCTCGCCATCTTACCGCGTAGGAGGTACATACCCAGGTACCTTGGAAAAGAACAGAACCTGAATGCCCCGCTGACCCCGCGTTCTACCGCCCTCTTAGAAATTCCCCTTTGCCTATCTTAATGTATGGGGGAACTCGTAGGTACGGCATAAATAAAAACATTAGAAGAAGTACCTACCTCCTATAGGCACACCAGCATTTCGGTCAAGTAGGTACCTACCTGCCTTAGGCATGCCTCCAGTCCCCTTCGGCTGCCCCCACCCCCCACACCGTCCTGTGGCGCACAACATCACACAACGATACTTTTTTGAGGGGCAGCCTGAGAAATAGCGCTCTCCTTTTTTTCCTTCTCTTTTCGTGCCCAACCTTGTCGAATCTTTACCAACGTCTACCCCTTGATCTCGTTCTTCCTCCTGATGCCTCCTATAGGCACTCCCTTTTCCACTTCGATATTACCGTCCTCCTCCAGCAACAAGCTCCTCGCAATCCAGCAGCGCCCCGAATAGCTCTGCTCTCCATACCTATCACCCACCACTGTTCCGCATTGACCCGAATCCGAATCCTTTGACGACAACCACTACCGACCTCGACCTGATTCAAAATGCCTCCAAAGCAGTGGGGTGAGTCACTATATACCCGGTTGGGCGGAAGCGCGCCTCTCAGGAGTCCTCATTGCCGCATCAGACGCGGGTGAGGCAAGTTGGAACCCGAGAACCGAGCAGAAATGGTGCTTAATAGGCCTCCACGCACGAGCCGCTCCGATTACTGTCAACGCGACTTTCCCGCGCGGCCCCTTTACAACGTACATATAAACCGCTTTTGACAGCCTTAGCTGACTGGCCGTTTTTGGCCCACACAGACGACGAGGAAGAGGGATCCAGCGACGACTCCTCTTCTCCCCAGCCAGTTGGCGCTATCCGTCGCAACAAATTCGATGACGAGGAGGATGATGAAGGAGATGTAACCCATCCCTTGCCAAAGTCCTATCTCCCTTTCTACCGTATTGACGATGTCGCTTCTAGGTACTAGACTCGTGGGACGCTGCCGAGGACTCCGAGGTCGAGCGCGAAAAGGCAAAGAAGGCTGCCGAAGCAAAGGCCAAGGCCGAAGCCGAAGCCGCCGCCAAAAAGAAGAGCAAGACCCAGCGCATCGCAGAACACCAGGCCGAGCGGGCTCGCCGCGAAGCCGAGGATGAGGAGTCCGAAGAAGAGGAGTCGGAATCACAGCGTCGTGAACGTCTGAGACAAACCGAGAAGGAGTCCGATATGAAGCACGCCGAGGACCTGTTTGGTGATGCCGGCATCAGCCTGAATGTCGGTCGTAAAGCTACCACTGCCGGCTCTGCCGTGGCTGTCGACTCGCGCGACCCGACCAAGACCGTCAACCTCGCCACCCTGCCTCTCTTCAACCCTCAGACCAAGACCCAGTTCGAGAACCTGCGCAATACGCTGGTCCCCATCATCGGCGCCAATCACAAGAAGGCACATTATTCGTTGTTCCTGCAGGAATTCGCCAAGCAACTCGCCAAAGACCTGCCCAGCGACCAGATCAAGAAGATCTCCAGCACGCTCACGGCCCTGGGCAACGAGAAGATGAAGGAGGAGAAGGCCTCCGATAAGGGCGGCAAGAAGACGAAGGCACAGAAGACTAAGACGCAGCTGGTGACAAACCGGGCTAACACGGCCGACGTGGCTACCTACGAGGAAGAGTTTGGAGAGTGAGTCGTATCTCGGTAGACTACCTTTGCGCCTTCATCCGTGCATTAACACCCTCTGCAGTGACGATTTTATGTGAGGAGCTTCCAACAGATTGTTCCTCCAGAGCCCTTGTGGCATCGTGTCGTAAATGTCTTTACGACAGGCCCTCTCCATGGCAAAGAAAAAAAAAGGTTCTTCCTGGTTGCGGTTTGTACGGAGCTATCGCCCATGTCCCACACCTTATACCCTCCCCCCAATGCACGGCATCGACATCGGCACATCACACCGTCGTCAGTAGAAGTAGTAGTAGTAGTAGGCCAATGTCATCCCCTCGGTTTCCTGCCCCCTCCTCACTTTCCCCCCTGCCACCCATAAGCTACGGGTTTTACAATGAGACCGGCGACGAGGCACGCCAAAGCCGAAGAAGCCGCGATGAAAACTCGGAGCTGCTGCGTCAAGACACGGTTGAGAGAGGGGGAGGGGGGGGGGGAAGGGAGGCAGGGGCTCAAGAGACCCTGCGTCCCGCGCCGCGCTCTTAGGCCAGCGGAGGCGGAGAGGGAGAAGGGGGGGAAGAAGGAGGGGAAAGACGGGAGCCAAGTCGTGCCCGGGGACGCTCCAGAAGAACGGTAGCTAGCTAGTTAGGTATAAGCGCCAGCTCGCGGGGATTGTATGTAAACCTAACTAATAGTTGGCCGGGACACGTCGCAGTTTTGACGAGAAGAAATTGATCCTCCATACCGCCGACGCTGCATCTCCGTGCTTCCCAGTGGCAGACGTGCTCGCTGGCTACCGACTTCACTCCCTCATCATTTGACGCTATCGTGTGTAGTTACGGAGGCATGGCAATAGCAGTAGGAAGCGCGTATTCCATAAATATAGTCCGCTTTGTCTCTTTCCATCCAGCTCTGTCTCCTCTGCTTGTTTAATTATTTATTTATTAAACCCCCTCGAAAACAAGACCCGTCCGACCTGCCACGCCTAGTCCTAGCCAAGTCGATAGTGATAAGATGGCGTAAATGGGAGGAAGAAGGGTCGGGGGGGTATTTCTTCCGTAGCAAAGGGAGACCGCCCGTGGTTATCCGTTGGTCTCATATGCCAACAGGCAATAATAATAATAATAATAATGGTAATCACGATAGATAGACAAGACACCGGACACCACCACCACCACCACCACCAAAAAGAAAAAACTCCAGTCCCCTAGCCTACATAAGAATATGTTTGTTCGTGGTAATCCCCATCAAGTGCCCCGTTCCCCATCCCGTGTGTCCGTGAAATGTATCAACTTCTCTTCTTTTTTTTATTAAAAAAACTCTCCTCTATGCAAAAGCAGCGCGCGCCGGCATCATCCCCGTCGTAAAGTGAAGGTTTTCGGGTTTATTTCAGTTTAGGGTCGTGTGTAGGTATTTACAGAGGTCGAGTGGAGGGGGGGAGGGAGTTGAGTGCGTCGGACCTCATCTCGTGTTTCTCGACGCGCGTACAACAAGGAAGGGGGGGGGGGGGGGGGGGGAGGCGTTAGATGACGTTGCCGGCCATGCCCATGAACAGGGCGTGGATAGCCAAGCTGAGGGTCCAGAAGCCCACCTTCTTGAGGCGACGAGCCCGGCTCTGCTGGTCCTCGACGTCGTGCGCGAACGCCGCGTACACCTCGGCCGACATATCGTCCATCAGCCCGCAGTCGTAGATCGTCCAGGACCCGTCGAAGTCGGAAGCCCGCTTGATGATGCGGCAGCTGATAGGTATATAAGTGCGCTTCGCGTTGATGTAGGCCACGATGGGTCGCACGAGCGCCTGGTTCACGTACGAGAGATTCGACGTAAAGACAGGAACCGTGGCTTTGACGTCGTTAAGGTGGATCCGCAGGTCCATGACTAGGTAGCGAGGCCGTTCTTCTTTCGCCGTCGGCGGTGACGGGGTTGGGGTTTCGTCGAGAGAAGTCACTGAAGGAGTTGCCGCGGTGTCTACGTTGTCTATGCCGTCTAAGTCGTCTACGGACTGCAGATAATTCGGGGCGTTGAATATGACCTCCTCGTCTCGGCGAGGGGTGTCGAGAATGCGCAGGTAGCGGTTTGACGTGACAGCCTCCTCGAGCCTGTCATAGAATTCCGACACGACCTTCGTGATGCCCTCGTTATCGTCGACGGGAAACCTCATGTCTGCTACAATATCGACATTGCCTTCGTAGATCCAACCAAAGGGACCTTCGACTCCGCGGTTGAGGTGGTCTATTCTGAGTCCGTCTATTCGAATGCGACTATGTTTCTTCCAAGCATCCGGTTCCCCGAGTGGGTCTATGCTCATGTGTTCGCGGCCGGCAGGAACCCCGTGAATCTGGCGAGGATGTATCGTAAAGAGCGATCCGTCATACGACCCAGACATATGGTTTGCGGATAAGAAGTCGTAGAATAAAAACTGCTTCCTCAACTGAGGAAGCTCACACGAGTATATACTCACCGTGAATGGGCGAAACCCGTTTGGCTGGTGGATTGTGACGAGCAAGTCCTCTAGCTTGAAGGAGTCGATCTCGAAGTCGCCGGGGGTATGCTCGCGACGATATGATAACGGATCGACTTTCTCCTTGGACCACCTCACCGAAGTCCTATCGACAACCCCTCGGACGCCTTTGATTTCCACGTCCTTCAGCAGTCCCTTGCCGCCCCACCACTTCACGAAGGAGAGCGTGACGTTTACGGTGTTGAGAGTGGCATCGAATTGAGTGTAGTTGCCGTCGTCCACTTCAATGGCGTGAACTTCTTTATCAGTCCCCCTCTCTGCAGCGGCGACAGCCGCGGCATTCGAGGAAGATCCTTTGCTGACGGAAGACTTGACCTGGCCGGGCCTCCGGGACACGAAAACGTTCCTGAAGGAGATGACACCATCCTTCCACCTAGGAACAATGGCCGACTCGAAGATAATAGTCAACCCGGCGGACTCGGTAAGGTAATCGCCAACCCATTTCGCAAGAGTTTCTGTATTTAACGTTAGCTATACGACAACTCTCATCGAGGAAGGGTGTGCAGGCCCCTTTACCTTGCGCGAAAACGGTGTTTATAGAGAGGATGACGAGCGAGAAAAAGGTCGTGGTGCCAACGAGAATCCAAACAAGATGACCGAATAGAACCCAAGACACGAAAGCGCCCCATTCATCTATATTCCACGGCCTCATGCTTCTTATAGAAAACCACTTGAACCGAACCTTTAGACGCTGCCAGAAACCGTTTGTAGCAGCTAGAAATTCTTCCTTCGTCGGGCGATGAGGTAGGTGTGGCATGGCCGGTAAATGAAAGTAGTTAGACACGGGTGCCGGTGTTGTTGGCTCCGGCTCGGGTGCCTCCAAATTGGGCTCCGGCCGAGCGGTAGGCTGAGGCGGGAGCGCATTCTTCTGCTGAGAGGCCGCTAGAACTTCCTTGTTCTCTTTCGACTTCGAAGTGTTCGCTCTTCGATGAACCCTGGGCGCTCGAACCCGACCAGTGTGCACAGCCCTTGTCCACGCCTGTCTTGCTAGCTTGCCGACAGTTGCTGGTTGGGCGGCGCTCCCCAGGATAGCGGAGTCCGCAGCCGCGGAACATGTCGCCGTGACGGCCGAGGTAGTAGACGAGGGTGATGCGAATCCGACAAGTAGGAGCCCGCTGGAAGTGAAGCTGCGGTAAACGTTGTTTCCGTAGGTCTTTGGTGCCCATGGGAGCGACCACGATGACCGCGACGACCACGATGCAGAGGAGTAAGATGTAGTCTGGTGCGGGCCAAGGCGGCTCACCGGATTCTGCTTTGGCGATATTCGGGAACTGCAAGCATCGATCAACTCGTAGAGGGATCGCCACGCAGAGCGTCCCTGGCCTACGATCCTAGGCCTAGCTGCGGAATACATGGCGGAAGCTCATGGTGATGCCGTTCCCCGCGAGCTTGTGAACCGAACCGAGCGCCAAGCTGGAGAAGAAGCGGGAGAGAATGAAGACCGCAACGGCGCGGCAGCGTTGAACCGTCGGAATCCTTCGCCTAATAGGTAGGAGGAGGAGATCTAACGAGGGGCATCGTTCCACTCTTCTAACGGCGGACAACGAGAATCGGGGGACGCATGCAGGTGGAGGGCATGGGTAGAAGAGCGGGCACGAAGCAGAGCCTAAGCCGTACCTAATGGATGTGATTCCCAGAGTTTGCCCTAGTTCCGGCCCGGGAGGAAGTGGATAGAGAGAAAGACGCAGAAAAAAAAAGGTCGTCATTGGCACGAGTAGTACGAAGAGGTACTTGCCTACATATGCGATCTGCGTGATGGGACCAGTGACAAGGCCCCGCAAGTATGCAATAGGTACTCATATATGTGTACATGCCTCGTACCTAGCGTGGGATCCGTTCTGCGGTTGGCGTTCGCGGGAGGAGGGGTTCGGTTGAAACGGGGCACCGGGTACCCGACAGGTACCGATCCTGGTATCCGTTAGCCCATGCAGATAGAAGATATCTAGGTACCTAGGTAGGTAGGTACCTGCCCACCTCCTCCCCACCTACCGGGTACTTCGATACGTAAAGAGGGGTAGGCATCAGTTGATGCATATCGACGTCGGGTACTGAAAATGGATATGTCTGAAAGAGAGCGGGAGTTAAGACACTACGTCAATGCCCCTATACGCCTGGTAAGGGCATTGCGCTTAGACTACGTCAGGTACCCGCCAACGATATAACGACAGCTACCTAACTCGAATCAACACATAACCAACAAATTAACCGAGGAACATCGTTCTACACGGTAGCTATGCAAATATGCAGAGTGTAAAGCACCATCAGTGCAATTTTACCCTCTTCACCCAACTGCTCCGCCGAGACGCTATATACGTGTTGAAGCGCAGCATCTTGGTCTGTGAGGGGGGGGGTACCTAAGCGAGCAATCTGAAGCACTCTTAGTGCCACTGGAGCCCTCCAGGTGGATCAATTTTAGGTGCTACTGAGTTGACATAGGGCCTAACGCTGAGCGTTACTATGGCATGTCGGACGGCCTGGCCTACCTGTCGGTAATATCGGGGTTGCCGCAGCTGACTTTTGTATAGCGCACCCAGGTTCTCTTCTAGTCTATGTATACGTGTGGCACCTGAGGAATCAGGCATTAAGAAAGGAGCCCTGTAATTAATAGAATTAAAGAAAAATACGTAACAGCTAACTATTCGTAAAACGCTATATTTAAGCCCTTTTAGTAGTTTAGTTTTTATACCTTTAATTAATTAACTAGGTTTACCTTTTAATTCGTTTTACGTACCTTAAGATTAAGGTAGTAAGGCTACGAAAGGAACCGCTACTAAAACGTATAAATAGCTATTTATTATAAGTAGAACGCTAGTAGTATAGCTATTAATCGATTAATAGTAATTAAAGTTATTCTTAATCTTTCTACGGCTTTACGAGCCGTTCCTAATACTTTACGATATCCTTACCGCTTATCCTAGAGTCCTTTCCGCCCGGAGAGACGAGCGCCGAGCTTATTACCGACCTAAAAGCCCTTATAGGTAATCGAGTTACTTACGGCAGAATAATGAACGGTACTTATAAACGTATAGAGCTTTTAGCTCGTAATCTCCGTATAGAAACGACCTTCCGTATAAAGGAGCTTCGAGCTAGCCTCGAGCGGAGCTTTAAATAACGTTTCGATAAACGCCTCGAACCTATGTAATAATAACTATAAATAATAATAAAATATATTACGAAGCGTAAGAATCGTAAGATTAATTAATCCATAAGCTAATTACTTAAACGGGTTACTTTAAGCTTTCTTATACGAATTAGGGCTACTTAATTTACTTTACCGCCGATAGGTAAGATCTTAAGAAATACGAGGCGATAATAACTTAAATAGCTTAGGTTTAAGGCTATTCTATAGTATAGTCCTTAGGGCTTAGCTCTTATTTAAGCCTTATTTTTAATAATAGGTATGGTTCCTTTTATAACCCTTCCTATCGCTTCTCCTATAGTACCTCTTGCTACCCCTTCCATAATACCTCCTACTACTTATCCCGCCGTACCTTTAGCGACTCCCTATGCCGTTCCGCCGGTTAGGCCGCCGCTAATAGCGGTAGCTACGTATCCGATACCGTTTCTACCCGTATAAAAAGCCAGACCTAACCTACGATATACGTCGGGAAGAATTAATTTTTACGGATATACGGCGCTAGGCGTAGCGTTTACGCGGTAGGAGGTAAGAATTAAGGCCTTATAGCCGGGAGTAATCCTCTCTAACGAAGTAATATATCTTTATTTATCGAATAGTAAGAATAAAGTCGTAATATCCTTAAGCTATCGATTAATATAAGCCGATAATATAATCCTTTAGAAATTAAACGATATTTAAAACCGTTTTTAAGGCGTATAAGTCCTATATAATTACTAAACGTAACGAATAAGGATCGAATTAATAAGCGACTTTTAATAAGTCGTTATCTTCGCTCGAAATTACTTACCTTCGTAAGTAACCTTCGTAAAAGGTATCCTTTAAGTACTCGTAAATAACTACGTACTTTATAGCTTAATAACGTCGCTTACGACGTTATTACCTTTCTAAAACGAAAGTATTATTAACTTCGTACGCCGCTTACGTAAGGCATTTTATAAATTACCTTATTAGGAATAATAAATAATATAAATCCGCGAGATAGTCCTCGATCTAATCCGTAATTACCTACTTAATATCTAGATAGTTATAAAAGACGGCCTTTCTATATAGAATACGTACGATATTATCGAACGTATACTTCGTTACGTAAGATCTCTTACGCGTAAAGCGATTAAAGCTAAAGTTTACGGTACGCTAGTAATTATAATATAACTATATAGCGGCTCGGCTTCGTTTTATTAGCTAAATATATCGGTAGTTACGTCGTCGAAACTAAATATAGCTTAGATTCGGTAGCTAAATGCCCGAGATACCTTTCTAAAGGTAATTAAGGTATCTTAGATCTCCGATCCGAAAACTAACGATCGTAAGGTCTACGTAGCTAACGAAGAAAACGGTTTTATAATTAAAGTATCCGAAAGCGAATATTTTAACTACGGAAAGAAAGGATACTAGGCTTACGACTATAAGTAACTATTAAAATTCCTACGCTAGTAACTAATTAAAGGTAAAAAGGTTACGTTTAAAGGTACTTTATACGACGTAGTAATTACCGGACGTAGTAATTTCGTTAAAAAGATTAATAATATATATAATAAATAAAAGAATAAAGGTAAAGGCAAGGGTAAAGAAAAGCGAAGTTACGTCGCCGCCGATTACGAGCCCGACGAAGATAACGAGGACGACCGTAATCCTAAAGATATCCTCGATAACTTAGAAGTCGAGGAATAGCTAAAGGATATCTTCGAAAACCTTAGGGCTTAGGATAGCCGCGTTTACTAAGTCGAAGTAAACGCCGGCGATAGATTACTACTATATAAAGATAAACCGCTACGAAAAAGCGCTAGAAAACCTTATAACTTATTTCATATTAAAACGATAACGGGTTAAACGATTATAATATTCTTCGATTACGGCTATATTACCTATTATATCTTAAAGGTAGTTATAATAAACCTAAAGTTATACGCGTCGAAACGACGATCCGTTATACGAGGTATTAACGGTATAGGACCTACGATAATATATAATACCATCGTAACGGCTCGATTTAAAATACCCGACGGATAGTTTAATCCTTTTACGTTATCCGCCGGAATCGTACTGAACAGGAGCAGCGTGGGCACGCTGACGGAGGCACGAAACAAGGACTGCCCAACTGCCAACAACTGGCCCAGTGCCGATCAACCAAGATCACAGCTGTAAACAGCTGTAATCGGTTGATCGGCCAGCTGAAAACGGCAGCTGGGAAAGGGAACTGGAAAAGGGCAATCGAGGAGGATGGCTAGAAAGGCATGGCAAGAAACGAGTGAATAGCTATAGGTCGTAATATCTACAGGTCTAAGTCTAACTAATGAAAATATAAGTACGCGACTCATATAAATATATATCGAAAAGGCTACGTAGCCTAGATCCACCGCACTACTATAGCCTCCCTAGTTCAATTAATCCGCAAAGAGTAATTAAACTCCTAATAGTAACAGGTACGGTAGCTCCCGTTCCCTATTAATCCTAAATAACTTAATCAACCTAATCCCGATTAACCCTAATTAATTAAAAGCTAGCTAGTTTAATCAAAGGCTAATAGGATAAGTTAGGAAGAAACAGGTCTTTAACTAGGAGCGATTGTAATAGCAATAAGTAGGTAGTGGGGTAGGTAACTGCAACCGTGCCTGATCCTAAACCTAAACCTAATCAATCCCGAACCTATTCAATCGCTACTAACTAGGAGCTAGCCAGTTTAATTAACGATTAACAGGAAATAGGAAAGATCTAATAATAAGAACTAGACTAGCGGAGCTATAACCTATAAACTAACCTAATCAACCTATTCCTAATCAACCCTAATCAACTAGGAGCGAGCCAGGTCCATCAGGGCCACTAAGAAACAACAGGGATCAATCGGAAAACAGGAACTATAACGGGTAGGTAAAACAAGCGTAGCTCCCGTAAGAAACGAAAGAAACAATCCCATACGATGCAACGTAATCCCGTCCTTCTCGTCCATAACTAGCTTTACCGATCCTTTCAACTAATCCTAATCCTATAAACTAACTAATATATCCTATTCATACCCGTTCCTGACTCGTTTCTAGCTATTATTCGTATAACCGTTCCTATATTCGTCCGGCAGTATCTACCGGGCTTCCCTTAACCCTCGATCCCTCCCCTATACGTAGTTCTAGGGGCTCTCTAGGCTCTTCCTACCAACTATATATCGGTAAGGGCGATAAGAGGGGTCTCCGGGCATTAACCTATAACTCGTTTCTTTCCTATAGCTATTTCTAGGCTTTCTTATTTAATATCCTATTTAATTCGTATATCGCGGTATCGTTTATAGGTCTATCGCGCTAATCGGTAGGTTCCCCGATCAGGTTCGTAAGTATAAGATCTATCGGTATCTTCGTATAGTAATTAAGGGCATCGTAGCACCTATCGGTTAGGAAGGCAAGGAGAGACCTCCCCAGGTACCGTAACTAGCTAAAAGGGATAAAACAAGGGCGATCGGAGCTATCGGCAAGCCTCTTGCAATTAAAATAAACTAATCGGTAAAAAACGGATACCTTTAAGCTCGTGCGAGGTTATAAAAAGGAGTAGTAGCGGTAACTTAATTAGATCAATTAAGGGCGAAAAACTACTATCTAAGCACTAGTAAAAAACGACGG